ATTATCAATACCTCACGACTAGAATACGTTATAGTTTTTTTATGCCCGTTAACAATTATTCTAAACATATCTATTCCGTTTGAAAATACCGTAATACTTATTTATCTCTATGTGTTTCTTTAAATTGGCAGAGTAGCTAAAATAACACAAACTACTGATATCAGACATAAGTATTCCACAGTTTGAATATCCAAATTATCCGAAATGTTTTGTAGCATTTTTTTGTTCAGAAAAATAAATATATTATAAGATTCTAAAAGGAGGCATCGTAGATAGACACAATTTCAACACTCAAACACATTTTTATTCACTCAGGACGGCATGTGCAAAGATGACCGTTTATAAAAATACAACATCGACAAGTGATTCGTTCTGATGCTACGATGCTAATGACTAAACCTGCTTCAATCTTCCCCAATCTACTTCCAATTTTGCTCGTACTCTCTTCATTTTCATGCCAAATATACACTTATGTATGTGAGCGAGTATGTGAGTATTTTTTTCGATTTGTTGAGAGTGATTTTTTCTGTTTGAATATTAATGTTCATTGTAGACAGCTTAATTGAGATCATTTATTCCATTTATGGTATTTTGATTACCATAGCGTTTCAGGCGGTAATTAATTTTCAAAATCTGTCATTACCGTTTGGAAGACTCCGAGAAAATGTCACTCGGTGTAATTCAAGTTTAGCTTTAAGGCTTCAAGTACCTACACTGATTTCATGAGATTCTTTTTTCTGCAAAGTTTAGGTATATCCTGGGGTATAACCTCGGGTATAACAATGCATTGGGACTATTGGGAGTTGACTGAGTTGAGGTATTTCGAATTAACTACATACCTATTCGAAATCTAAATAAAAACAACACATACAGATTACTCACTGCAGTGAATGATTGGACAGAAATAAAGAATATACGACCCTCTCCACTTTATTTCGCTGTTACGTCATTCAATGCAGTTTATTCCCGACTATTGCCGATCTTCTGCCGAATATTTCATATCTGCCTAATAATTTCTTCAATGCCGACTATTGCCATTTAGTGCCGATCATTCTCTAATATATCATATGATGAAGAAAGTATTGACAATACCAAATTTCAAAATGATATATTGAAAGTGAGTGATATATTTCAATTAATAGAGAAAAAATAATGTAACTTTGAGCCCCTGTATCTCCGCTACTGATCGAGATCGGGCACATATTTATACCCAATTTTTTGATCAAAATGATGAGATCTATCACCCATTTCAGTTTGTACCTTACAACCTGAATAACCCTGTTTAAATACAATTATTTTACCTCGTATTTTATCATCTAGAGCAGAACATTTTTTCTTGCCGATATTTTGCCATGTGCATTAATCGCAATCGAGATCGCAATTGATTTCCTGTCCGAGTCTGTCTATTCACAACTTATCTGAATAACATCCTTTATTCGATTTAAAAGGAAATTATTCGGTGCATCCTATCAGTTTCCCATTTTTTATAATGACTTCCTTTCCATATAACCACTGATGAGAATGATTTCTTCCAGATCATATTCGAAGCATATCTCCTGTTTTTCAATGTAGTCAAGGTCCCTCTTAACTACAGGAATTTTGGAAACGAAATGGAATGATTGATGATGATATTATGAAAACTTCACAAACACTTTGATGATCGCTTTGATGTGTAGACATATCACATCCTGTCAGTACGTTTAGTTTCATGAGAAACATAAACAACACATTCCAATTATTTCAACAAGAAAATCATTGGGTGTCAAGTCCGGTGAGCGAGCTGGCTATGTGATGGTCTTCTACAACCTATCAATTTCTATGAAAAATGATGAAGTCTAATAAAACGAAATTCATACCTAAACATTGAGACCTGTATCAACATATTCATCAACAGAAGTAATTGTACAATCCGATTTTATCGGCACCACCTTTTTTCATGCTACATAATGATGAAATGACGGATGTACAAAATGTTTCCAATGATATTGGTAGGTCATAGAAGACCAAGTGAATGGCCAGTTCGCTCGCCTGACTTGGCACCCTCTGATTTTCATTTGCTGATGCCAGGCAATTACCAGTGAAATAATTTCAAAGGTGCTGTGGGAATTTGCAAAATGACTGATAGCCAATAATAGAGGTCGTTTTGGATAATTTGTGTGTAAATATTTTTGATAACATATTTTGTACATCCACTTATTCACATATGAAAAATGTACACTCGTCTTCAGTGAACATATCGCAGTTGGACGGTATAAGCGCTCTTACTGCAGCGGTGATTAAAAGAGCTGATACCATGTGCGACATGTTCTCTGAAGACGACTGTACCATTGGAACTCAAATATCTCGAGAAAGCGTTGTTCAAATTCAAAAAAACTATGCACTGCTAGTGTTACAATTCAGAAGTTCCCTATTGAATTATTTTTGTTGCGTTTGTTGATTTATAATAGTTTCAACTGAAAGATTTCAATTCCTTAATTTTCAACAAGTAAAATCACTAAATTATCATCAAAACAAATGGTTAACGTATATTGAATTTGTTTTCTATTAAAAACAATTATTTGATGTTCATGAATGAGGTGGTTAAACATTCAGCTTGTCTCTCCAATATACAGGGTGTTTCCTAACTACAGGGGGTGATTTGTTAGGTCATTTTAAGAAGAAAAGTTTCTATGAACATATGTCCGGAGTTGCTTCCTTTCTGAGATACAGGGAGTTGAAATTAAAGAAAAAAAAAACGGTAATTATAAAATATCATGAATATCCTGGAACCAATTTGGTTGAAATTTGGTACTTTTATTTGTCAAATTTTCTAAAATTTCAGCATATCAAGTGTCAGTTATATTTTTGGCGGAAATAATGAAAAACTCATTTCTCCAATGCAGGTGTTCATGATTATGCCTCGTGATATGCAATACAGTAGCTTTGTTTTTTTTCTCGAAAACGAAGCTGGATATGAAGGAAATACAAGAGACCAAAAAGTTGTATTTTGAGTGATTTAATCTAAAAAAAATAAGAATTTACCAAAAAAGTGGCGTACTTTTATTTACAATATTGTCGGCTGTGGTGTCCACTGAGACGCCACTGGCCCCAATAATTTCAATCTAAATAGAGCTAGATAGGCGCCTCATTAGTTCAAATAAAAGTATCAAATTTCAACCAAATCGGTTCTAGGGGATTCATGATATTTTATAATTACCTTTTTTTTTCTTTAATTTCAACGCCCTGTATCTCAGAAACGAAGCAGCTCCGGACATATGTTGATAGAAATTTTTCTACCTGAAATGACCTAACAAATCACCACCTGCAGTTAGGAACCGTGATTAGGAAACACCCTGTATACCTGAGGCGAGGGGTCAACTGCTATGTCCAATATGTGTACACTTGGTGTCCAATCCCGATAAAATCTGTCCAATCCAAGGTCCATCATTCTTAGCCCAATATTCCTATTCTCGCAATGCAAATGTCTCTGCAAATGTCCAATCTCGTATTTTTAATATTCGATATCCGATAATATTGGACCGATATCCTTCCTCCAATCTGTCCAATCCGTTTTTGGGAGAGTGGACTACCCCTCGATCTGAGGGCAAGATCCGATTTTTCCGAGGATTTTTCGAATTCAGATGTTGTCTTAAATTATTTTCGATAAACCGTACGTGTTATTATTGAGGTTTTCTGTTCTATTAGCAACTTTCAAGTCTTATTTCTGTAATAATGAAACTGATTTTTCTGTTGAACCGAAATTGTAAAGTTGAATATTTTTTTATGGTAGAAGAAACTACTTGAATTGGTTCATTACCGAGGCTCTTAGAAAATATATTGTCTATTATTTTGATGATGATGATGTGATTATTACTGTGTCAATCCTAATGATAATTTTCCAAGGTCCAATATTAAATGATTCTTGAATGACTGCTTTATTCAATTCATTTCCTACAATGGAGAAGTATCTACGTGCCTAGTATTCATTTAATTTTAATTCAATGCCTCATACAAAAGTGTGCCATCCATTCTAAATCGAAAAAAGAATACAAAGTGACTAAGAAGATGCATTGAAAAGGTTCGTCCTTGGGACATTCAATATCGTTTAATATCCACAGGAATGAAATGCTCACAGTTCTTGTTGTGCTATATACAGGGTGTTTCTTAAGTACAAAGACTCAAAACACATGTAGGTGGCGTCACCCCCGCGAAAGAGACAAAATTATATAAAATTTGATATTGTCATTGAAAAATACCCCTAGATACCAAATTTCATTCCAATATCACAATTATTTTGAAATTTATTAACAAAAAACAAAAATAAGAATTCAACTTTGACACTCTGTATCTCAGAAACGAATAACTTTGGGACATATATTTATACAAACTTTTCTTCTTATTTTGACGTCAGCAACATGCTCCTGAATTTTCTACACCTACTTAAGAAACACCCTGTATACAACAGGGTTTACCTACAGGGTATGAAGACATTTTCGATTTTCATTATAGTGTTCAAGTCTCGGTTCAAGTTATATCACAGGGTACCAAAGAATGCCAAGGAATAGAGTAATAATAGGAGTTCACAAAATGAAAAAGAATCCTAAAGAATGTCTAAAAATTCCAAGGATTTCCAAAGAATTCTCAGAATTTCATGACATTCCACATAAACTTCAGTGATAGAGATGTGTTTTAAAAAATGTCAAATCCCAGGTAATCCTCAGGAAAGGTGGATAGATATATACTTGGAAATTGGAAATAGTCATTGGAAAAAATGGATTAATGATTAATAAGTTGATGTTTCATGTCTTTGAGAAACATTCCATGAAACCAATAAATATCTGACTAGAGATCTGACTCCATATCTGATTTCCAGCTAATACATTCATAAAACATTCCCCTTGGCGAAATATCACATCACATGCAGCATTAAATAATAATAAATTCCAAAGGTCAGCAGAACATCCGGTTTGCATTAGCATTAGTGCATTTATGGAATATTCCAAAAAAATACATAAACTCACCTTCATAACAGAGGGCTATAAAATCCCCTTCTTTATGTTCAGCCACGTCCCATCTCAGCAACCAACATCCGGTCTCCTCTTGTTTGGCAAATATTCTATTTCCTTGGAATCCTCGGGTATCTTGATCCGAATTAGAAGTATTCGGCACCTCGGCCTCCGCATTATTTGTTGTTCTTTTGAGAACGACGTGCTTCGGAATATTTTCGCCGTTAAATGATGGACAATCGGAGCTTTCTCTGGGGTGGCATTTCTGAAACCGACAGGATTCTTCCGTCTCATCCTCCTCCAATTTCGAACTAAGATCTGTATCGGTATCACAGTCTTCATCTTCGGTCATTTTTGACGTAAGGTACCCTATCTACCCCTATCACCCTATCTATACTAGGATTCACATTTTTTTCAGAGGAAAAAACTCACTGCAGACGGCAACGAGATGGTTGCTATGACGACAGACATTCAGGCGACAAGATTTCATGTTTTTGAACCACTTGGATAACATTTCTGTGTCAAATAATGAGCCAAAACAAGAACAAAGTTATTTGCCAGCCACAGTTCTCTATTTGTCACTTGATTTCTCGTTTCGCCTCAAAACATTACAAAACCTGTAGGGGCAACACTTATTTAATTCAAAGAAGGCCTTGCAAATGATTATTTATTATTCAGTTCTAGAACGAAAATAACTTATCTCACTATTCTCAAATATTAATTTCACTAATATTTTTAACAAACAACGTTTTTTCTTCAGATTGAAAAATCATTGAAGATTTAACAAGTTGAAAATGAAAAGGGAAAAGGTATGTAAACAATAAACAATTGATTTTGATTTGACAGCTAACAGGAATTAGGAAAACACCTGGCCTGGCATCCACTCGGCGTATGCGCAAGATTATTTAGGTAGTGACTATTGTTCAACTGCCGTCCATATAAAACAGAAAACTTCTACAAAACCAGGGATTACCCGACTATCAAATACGATTACGACTTAAATTGATTATCGAATCCATGTGAAATACGCTACGTTGAATGCAAGATGAACATTTGAAGGAGAGTAATAATAGAGACTCATATCCTATTAACTTAACATTGCATAAAATTATGAACACGACGGCGTGGTAGCACCTATGGCCTTACGGCTTACTCTCTTCGCCACTCTTCGCTGCGGCTGCGCTTCACGACCCCACTACCGGCGGTTATGTTCAAACTTCAAACGTCCTGTACGATCTACGCGTGATCCTTGTTACGTCAATCAGGCAGCTCAAATTTTATCAATTTTTGAAGATTTGAATGGAATTATGGAAACCGTCAGATTGAAACATTCTGTGATGAGTTTATTCCTGATTGATAATGATCCCCAATCAATAACCCTATACTTTTTCAGAAACCACAAAATTATTCCAGCAATAAAATACTAGTAGGCAACTGGTTTGAACAGCAATGTGAATATAAAAAAAATAATTTCAGGCATAATACCGAATATAAAGATCTATATAAACCCAAACCTTACACCACTTACCCACCTGCAGTTCTTTGGGATGCAAGAATAAAGGCTAAAGTAGGTAGATATTTTTTATGGATTGAGTACCTATATATGGGTGTGTATACGGACTGGCTATTTTCAGCAAACAAATCGTTGTTTTTATTGCATATCAGCTCATCGAACTACATGATAAAGTTTCAGATTTTTTTCACTGCTTCCCCCAGGGGAGCACTTGACTCGTGTTTTTTTCATAAAAAAAACAGGAGTAAAGTGCTTCCCAGGGGGGACAGAGCAAACCATCCATTGTATAGTTCCATGAGCTAAATCAAGATATGCAATAAAAACAACGATTTGTTTGCTGGAAATAGCCAGTCAGCAGCATTTTATTCCAGTCCGCAAATTATACACACCCAGTACCTATATACCTACCTACTTACTTAACTTTTTTATAGGGTGATGGATTCTACCCTGAAAAATCGACAGAGGCAACTCCCAACTTCTATGACAATTTCTCAACGACCTATGACCTTTCCTATAAACATTTTCCTCATTTTTATAAAGACTCAATAATTCCCAGAGAAATGAAATTGAAACTTCATACATATCATCCTACTGAAGAATATCTCAAAAGCTATGTGAGAAAGCATTGCTATATCATATTTGTAACTTATATATGGCAATAATAGAACTTTGCAGGGCAACATTACGAATTTTGGTCTATTTGATGCCAAAAAGAATGAATGGACATGTGATGTTCAAGACACAAGGGTTACAGAGTATGAAGCAGACTATATTCCCCTTGAAAAACACTCATACAAATTCAGCAGATGGTATAAATGAGCAATCAAGTTAAGGAACATTCCTTACAGGTTGACATTTTTTTGTTATAGGACAAGACCTACAGCAGTCAAGTCAAAATATGGCAAGGAGCATAGACCCTACCCTCCTGATCATCCAAGATTTTCAAAATTCGACCCTATAACATGGGAATGTAAAAACCACTTATTCTGAAATAAATTTTGTTCTTCATTTATTCATTGGTTTTATTCAATAGGTATTCATTGTATGATAGTGTATATTATTTCATGCTCCAATATCTTGATTCCAAAAGTACCTACTCTCAGAATAATCTTCAAAGCAGACAGTTTCTGTATGTTCTGTAATAGTAATTCAAACAAACTATTATTAGGTACGATGGAATATGTACTTTTGGTATCTGCTATATTATGAAACTTTAAGAACCTCAACCAGTTTAAAATTAACAATGTTAATATTATTGGCAGTGTATTTTCACAGACAAGTTTTACAGGGATATTTGAAATTGTTGTATGATAGTAACCTACCTACCTATATGAATATTTATAACCATTCTATATCTAATTCACATAATTAAAAGTTATTAAGAACAGCACAAAAAGCATGTACATAAATAAAAAGAAATGAACATTTGTTTGGTTATTGAAACAATCTGTGAAACTTGATGGATACCTATGTCACTATCAAACCCCAAAATAGGTCCTAGTTAGAATTATAATATTAGAAAAAAATTTAGTTTTAACAATTCTGAGTAACTAAAAAAATTAACTTTTTTTTTTCAACCTATTTTAGGATTAAATAATAATTACTTAACAGACATAAAAAATCTAGAAGCTACCTTATCATCTAGAAGAAATACACAAATTGAAATATTCCTATAAACTTAATCTAAATCAGCTCATTGTTCAACAAATGCCCCAAATATAGGTTTATAGTCTCTAAAATTATCCAATAAATAACAATAAACATCACAAAATGCTCACATTCAGTTGCACAATTAAAAAAAAAATATAACAAAATTCATCATATATTTGGAGCAAAACTCGTTTTAAAAAAATATTAATGTACATAAGGAGTTCAAGGTAACAAACCATTTTGTTAGCTGTAAGTCTTAGCAAAATGTGAAAACTTCATAAAAGATTTCCAAAAAAGTGTGTAAAACTTCGGGTTCCATTTTTACTGATCAAAATATGGAAAATAATTCACAATAGAAAATAACATGTCGCCCCATCTGACGGCAACATTTTGAACATTTCTGAGCGGTTTGTTTTGATGATATAACCAATGAGCACAAACAAAAAAAACAAATGTGATCCAATACAAACAAAGCATAACAAAGTAAACCGGCCGCTTTGACAGCTTTCAAGAATTCCCATAGGTGGCGTACGCTTATTTTCTATGGTGAATGGACAAAAAATCATTGACAAAAAGTCATATCCTGGTGAATTTGAAGTGGAAAAGTACTCAGTGATTCATGCTTGGAGTTTCCACTCATCAGATTATTGCAGTAATGTATCAATTATTGTAAAGTTTAGTTTAGCAAGAAATGATTTTTTCTAGAGATTTTGCCTGCCAGTATTGATGACAAGCTGAATTTTCAAAAGATTATGCAAAAGTAGGGCCGCCTCACTATTTATTTACTGGAACTTTGATATTCATCAATGATTTTGAATTAAAAAAAAAAAAAACGGTAAAATTACTTTATCGCCCGAGAGCATAAAAATGCCACTTTGTGCTCATTGAACCGGTCGAAAAAGTGCAACTTTACGCTCGGTCGTGCATTAACACAATATTCATGAACAATTATGCTTCCATCCATATTATCCAAAATATGCAGTCAACAGAATCAATGTCACATTATTCTGGTTCAGTTCATTTTCTAGATCCATAGTGAATTGACTAGAGGTTGATTAAGTCCACATTTGATGAACTGAAGAAACTAGGTGTGGATACATTTTGTAGTCTTAGAAGGGGGTAGTTTTGGGTTGCTACATAAAACTATGATGGAGATGATTTAGCAAATAACAATAAAGTGTGCAGCAGGCAAACATTTTGAATGTTTAGAGGTCTCATTACCCTCATTACCCCCCTTGAATAAACATCTGGAACAAACTCAACTTTGAATGAACCTATAGACAATTAGAATTAATGCATTCTAGAGGCTTGTAAAATATAAATCATCTTTTCAAACTTACAAATACATTCTGTAAAGATAGGGTTAAAAAATATGAAGTTAGTGGATACAAAACTGGTACTCTGAGATATTTAAGAACATTCTTCAAAGTACAGTAAAATGAGGTAGCTGTAATCCTGAAAGTCTATTGATTTCTGAAGTTAAGAAACCATGGATCATTAATAATATATTGAAAAGAATGAGTCATTTTTCATTTAGAATCTGACTTCAACAATCACCCTGCTGGTGACATTTGATATTCTCTGAAAACTCCTACCCTGAAATAGAATGAGGTTTTCTAAAACTATGAGAATCTGAAAATTTCCCTTGCAAATTCCTGAATAAAGCACTAACAGGTCTATCAGGAGGACATAATAAAGGAGACCCTACCCCAGTACTGAAACTCCTGAGGGACTGATTACCAAAACTGCTCTGCTGCGGCACACCATTTTGGATAAACAGCATATTGTTTTGGCCCAATACAGGGTAAAATGTATTGTTGTCAGTCTTGTAATAAAGTTGTTCACTGGTCAATTGACTAGCATTAGAATTGATAGGCAAAAAATGGTATGCAGGCTCTGATAGCACAGAAGTCCTTTCCACATCCCCACCTAAAGAGTGTTCTCTGGATGCAGGAAGAGAATTGAAATTACTAGAAACAAAGCCAGAGCTCTGACTTGAGGATCGACTGAGATTTGTTGGGTGTACATTGGCTGAAAGCACTTGAGAATCATTTTTCCAGAAGCCACCAGCAGTCCAAGGATTTTGGGTGATATTTTTCAACCTGGGTGGGGACAAAACAGGCCTCCTAGGAGAACTCACAGAAAAAACAGGAGAACTACAAGGTGGGGGTATGAGATTCATACTATTCATACTATTCAAATTCAGATTATCCATACTGATATTCAAATCACTGTGTAAGCTATTGTTAGATATACCATGTGAACTGTTGAAAAAGGGGGCAGTGCTGTTACTTTTGGCAGTGGAAAAGCTTTGGTTATGTCCTACATCATTCTGGTAGCACCTAAAAGGTGACATTGCTGGATATGATTGGCAGTGAGAGGTATTAAAATCCTGGTATGTTGATTTACAGGAATCTAAGCAGCTCAAACTATTTTGAACATCTTCTATTTCTTCCTCAGAACTGTCTTCAATAGATTTCTTCACTTTCACAAACTGGCACTTTTTTCTAGATTTCTTCACTTTCTTTTGAGGTTCATGGGAGATGTAGCTATAGAAAAGGCTTAGAGATGAAAGAACCTGAAAATATTTGATTTCAGCCCTATTCTTGAACCAAAATGGAGGTTGAATCAACTTATGACTAGAAACTGGTTATGATACCAGAGGCAGTTCATCAAAAATTTCCTGAAAGGCAGCAAAGAATAATAAGATAAGGTTACTCACCTGTAAAATATTGATGAACACAGAGGAGTCTGAATCCAAAGGCATGGTAGATGACAAAACTAGCACTAACCAACCAAGTGAATCATTAATTTTCCACCATACTGACTTTTTGTCACAGATTAGCAACACAAAATTTAGGAGACATCCAATGGAAGTAATAGGAACTAATTTATTTCTGATATCCACTGGCATAAAAGAATTTAAATTGTTCATTTTTTCTTCAAATTGTTTTGTTGCATTGAACCAAACTTCTGTAAGAATAATTTTGTAGCTTCCAAGTATTTTGGGTACCATGATTTTTATATTTGGTATAGGAAAATCTATCTTAACATTCAATATTTGGCAGAGTATCAAAACAGTGAACACAATTAGTGTATATCTGATTATTTTGAGGCAAAAAGACTGCTTTAATTCCCTTGTTAGGCCATTAGATTTTGTCAGGTCTATTAATGAAATGCCCTTATTTTTCAGATTCTTCAAATTGTTTCCAAAAATCCATGCATTTTTATTGTCTATTGATGTCTTGACAACTTTTTCACACTTCTTACACAGTTTATAAGACTTTTCCAATTGTTCCCTAAAAGAAATTCAGCTATTATTGCACAAATATGAGAAATGATGACATATCTTACTGAAAATGTTCCACTTCCATATCATAATTATTATCATTGATGGGAGTGAAATTGGCTAGTTGATAAACTTTCAACTGCTGGTTGTTATTACAATAATTGCATAACCCATTGGTATAGGGTTCATTCTTTTTGATAGTCATACTAGTAAGTTTACTGAGGGAGTGTTGTGCTTCTATTACTCTGTTATAGCCTCCATCCTTGTCAAATCCATTATACTGCTGGCAAGTGGGACACTCAAAGCTATTCCGATTTGAATATAAAACTTTAGTCCAAGCATTGCAGAACCAGCAGTTGACACTCACGTGAAAACCATTCCTGCAATAATAAAAATCAGGATAGAATATATAAAACAATCATAATTAAACCAAAAATAAACATGACATACTGCTTTATGAAGTACAGGTTCAGTATCACTACGAAAATCAACAAACACAGTGCTAGTGAAGATACTAAAAGAGATAGGCCTTCCATTGCATGATTCATCATGGAATCATCCATTATATACAAAAAAGATCACTTTTTATATCCCGAGTCATCAGAGGGTTTTCTATGCCCACAAATTCGGCGCGGAACCGGATCAACTTCAACTTTCCTTCCTCACCATATGACATAACCTCAATTTTTCTCGATCGAATCGTGATCGTCTCTCAAAAAGTTTCAAATTTCAAATTCACCACAAGGCAGAAAGAGATCGCTGACTAATAATTTGTCAATATCAGTTGTCATATGTGTCAAATCATGTTTCTGTCAATGTCATTTTATTGTCAACAACGTAATGTCATCAACATCATCAACATCAACGTTCAACGTCAGAATTGTCAAATCAAATTGTCATCAAAATTTTGGCAATTTTGAGCCGCAGTGTTGTGACGTGTAATTTTGCAATAATTTTTCAAAAAATAAAATAATTATTGCTGTGTCGAAATGGCCTCTTTCAAAAGAGACAAGAAAGAGGAAGAAGATGGTATGTGTATAATTAATGAGAAAATCACATAATGATTTTCTTTTTCAGGAGGCGGCAACCCGTTCCTAAACATTGAGAAAACCACCGTTCTACAAGAAGCTCGAGTATTCAACGAAACTAGTGTCAACCCAAGAAAATGTACTCCCATACTAACAAAACTTCTGTACCTTTTGAACCAGGTATGTAAAGTTGGCCATTCCCTTTACTATTAATGAAACTGGTAACTGGTTAATGGTTATTCTAGGGGGAGACTTTGAGTGTAAAAGAAGCCACAGACGTATTTTTCGCAATGACCAAACTTTTCCAATCCAAAGATGTAATTCTCAGGCGCTTGGTCTACTTGGGTATCAAAGAATTAAGCTCCTTAGCAGATGATGTGATCATTGTAACATCCAGCCTGACCAAAGACATGACTGGTAAAGAAGACATGTACAGAGCTGCTGCTATCAGGGCCCTGTGCAGCATCACAGATGCTACAATGCTTCAGGCAATAGAGAGATATATGAAACAGGCTATAGTTGATAGAAATCCTGCTGTGAGTTCAGCTGCTCTTGTCAGTTCCTTGCATATGGCCAAGTTTGCCCCAGAAGTTGTCAAGAGATGGGTGAATGAAGCTCAAGAAGCAGTCAATAGTGATAAGTATGTATTATTATTCCTTAGATTCATATGAAATGCATATATTTTTCTAGCATCATGGTACAATACCATGCACTAGGTCTCCTGTATCATATCAGAAAAACAGATAGGTTAGCAGTCACAAAACTCATTGCAAAATTGACAAGGATGTCCCTAAAATCACCTTATGCTGTTTGTATGTTGGTAAGTAATTTTATTTTTTGACATTCTCATGTAAATATAATGATAAATGATTCTCATGTAATGCAAATTTTGTTCTGTATCTGTATAAAAATTTGTAGTTTTACATTTTTATGACCATACAATTAGAATGTTTCTTATAATTTACTAACAAATTTACCTGTGCTGTGCTATTTCTCTTATTTCTTTATATGTATGCTTATGTTGCAATTTTGATTTGTTAGGTCATAGATTTAGGATCTATGGTTAGGTAGATATTTCAATGATATTTTAAATTTCTAGCAATGATTTCATTAAATATGTATAAGCCCCTGAAGTTCCTATTTTTTCAGGATTTCAAAAATATTTTTTGACTCCTTAATATTAGAAAAAAATATGGCTCTGAAGTTGCCAATGAGTTGATCAGTTTATCAAATTTCTGAATTTAGCTGTGCTCCTCTTGGAACTTCTCACCTAGAAAAAAAAGTCAATAATTTTATGTGATTTTGAAGTTGCAGTTTTACTTCATTTTCTAATAATAGTGTGAAGGAAATTTCCTAAATTTTATTATTCATTGAGGATATTTTAAATTTCTGACTCATTTTTTTGAAACCTACAATTTTCAGGTATTTTCATTTCCAACCTCTTTTAAGTAAATTGGTACATTCCTGAAGTTGTACTTGACTTTTACTTGATACCTTCTCAGGATAATAACACCTCTGAACTCTTCCTAATTGTGTTTCTTTTCTTTACTTTCCAATAGCATGGAAACAGTTTCAAAATTCCAAAAAAACATGTTTTTGATAACCTTTCAAACAAAATTGCATGCATCTATTATTGTCATTTCATTTCTCAATTTTTTTGATTAATCAAATAATTGTGTACCACAGAGGAAATTCCTCAGGAAATTCTGAAATTTCCTCAATCTTCTATTTTTTAACCTTAGAAAAGATTTGCATGTACCTTCCTAAGGATACTACTGTAGGGTGGCCCTCTTTTCAGGATGGATGTAGATTCAAAAATTAAACATCCATCACACTAACATCATTATTTATTCTCCATTTTGTTACAACCTGCAACATCCAGTATCAGGCAACAAGTGAGGTCATAGTGAACAAGTCAACAAGCAACAAGTGTCCCCTATAATGACAGTCCTTTCATTGACACAATATTCAGTGTTGCCAAACTAAACCGATACACATGTGGCGGCAAATTTGAATTTGAATTATATCATCCTACACTACAATGATATAACTATGAATTTATGCTCAAACCCCCCTTAGAACTTAAGATTGTAGGTACTCAATAAATCTAGATAAAATAATAATTTTATTTACAACCATATATGTAATGTTGTCATTACTAACGTCATTGAAGGTTGGGAAGTGTCATATTACACACCTCTACTTCCCGCCCTCTCTACTTCCCGCCCTCAATTATGTAATATTTCAGATATGTTCAGAACAAAACAGAGATAATAATATATTAATTTTGATCAAAATATGATGGTTGTAAATGAAATAGTATACAAACCTCGGTAGGAATTTTCATTCCTGTCTCGAGATTATAGCTGACCTCAACGCTTTGCGTCTCCTTTAACTAACTAATCTCACGCCAGGAATGAATCACTTCCTACCTCGGTGTGTAATACACTATTTCAATAAATTCATTGACAAGTGTATGTATACACATGGTGAACTGTCAGTGCTGCAACTCAAAACTCAACTGAAAATGGAGTTGGAGTTGCTTCTGATTGCACAGGAAGTTATAAAATAAATATTTTTTGTCAACGCAAGGCAATTTGGTATACTTTCTAACCTCCAAATCTCAAGATGATTCAGAAGTTGGAGCTGTGCCTTTTTTTGTACAGTTCTCTGTATGAGCCTGTTTAAGTTAAGCAGAAGTTAAGCAAGTCAATGTTGAATGAAATCATGAGTATTTCACTTGAAGAAGTAGAATAACATGTCTTGATTTCTGAGGACTTTGTGGTAAGCTTATTGTTTGTAAAGTTTTTACAGAACTTACTTAATTTTATTTGTGACTAGCATGGGCGTCCACACAGAGGGGCCAGGGGGGCCACGGCACTCATTCCTACCATTTTCAACATAGGAACAGGAGTTTGACCCTTTCGTAATAACAGACAAAATGGAACATTTACATACAATATATATTCCTTTTGGAGGTTTATATGTATCTCCGAATTCTATTTTATTAAATAAAACTGTATGCCAAATATTTTATGACAATTTCTTTATATACGTGAAACAACTACGGTACAACTAAACTTCTAAACAAACGTTTTTATGTTTTTTCCAAGTAGGACTGCTTGATATGATTTTCACATATATAGCAGATGATCGCTACATTCCTAATAGTGCTTAGATTTTGAACAAGCAAAAACTTCCAATGAATGTTCTTACAAATTCTGCGAGATATTCAATTTTATATTTGGCTTATTTTTTTTTATTCTTGATATCACGGTTAGCGATTTTTATACAGGGATTACAGTTATTCCAATGGAAAATGTTCACATGGATGTGCAAATGGAAAATTTTAGAATAAATCCCATGCGCTGGTTTATTGTTACAGCCTGCAACACAACACAAACCCATTCTTATTAGTCAAAATAATGGCAATAAACTAATGCTAAATGAAGAAGTGAGGTGTCTTATTGGATTCCAATCGGTATACAAGTACACTGTGTTACCCAGAAGCCTAATGTGAAGACTATCGGTATACGCGAGAGAGTGCCGAGAAGTGCTGAGATCGGTAACGGGGCAGGAAGGGAAATTTTCGGACGGAGCTGAAAGTGGTGCTTTTATTAGTCTCGGTTTATGTTCGGTGCTACAGGTCTAGAGAATGTGATTCTGACCCCCCCTTGTGAAAATTTCCTGCGGACGCCCATGGGCTGACTAGGATGTAGGTTATTCCCCTAACTTGGCTAGTCAATCTATCATTACAATCTGGAAATTTTCCTGATTTGGTCAAAGTCGCCCATATTTTTCCTCTTTTTGATAATTATCGTCAGATATCTCTTTTGCCAGTTACATCTAAGATCCTCGAACGAGCAGCATATGACATAATTATGGGTTTAATTGAGAAAAAGAATATATTATCAATATCACAGCATGGTTTCAGGAGATGTACATCTGTAGAAACGGCAACAAACCACCTTTTGGACTATGTATATCACGAGTTAGATTGTGGAAAATATGTTGCTTCATTGATGTTTGATTTGTCTAAAGCATTCGACAGTATACATATTGAATTTATTCTTGAAAAACTTTGCACCATTGGAATTAAAAGAGTCATGTTGGATTGGATTCATTGCTATTTAACAAATAGAAAATTATTGGTTGAAATCGAAAATGGCCTGTCAGAAAGTCACGAGGTACCTCTTGGTGTTCCCCAAGGATCAGTTTTGGGCCCTCTCATTTTTGCAAATGATCTACCAAGAAATATCCGCTTAGGTCAAATCACTATGTTTGCGGATGATACTACCATAACTGTACCAGCAGCGACCCTAGAGGAGTTACACGAAAACATCAAAGTTACCTATAATGAGATGACGTCTTGGTGCCAGCGGAACAGACTAATATTGAACAAAGAAAAAACAGAATGTATCAATTTTTACCTGCGTCGTGCGGTGCCTTTAAACTTCCAGTTACCTGAAGAATTGTCTTTCACCAAGGAACTTTCATCGACTCACAACTTTCTTTTAGTGCCCAGATAAATCATGTATGTACAAAACTCAACAAAGCATACTATGCATATTTGGATGAGGAAGGTCTTATAAACTTGTACTATGCTTTTGCGTTTGCGTATAGCCACATTTCATACAACATCATCTCATGGGGTTCATCAAGTGATTGGGAACGAGTTTTCATTGCTCAGAAGCGTCTAATTAGACTGGCATTCCAATTAGGATTCAGAGATAGCTGTAGATCTACATTTAAAGAGAAGCGGATTTTATATTTTCAGGTATATTCATTTTGAAATGCCTCACTTTCATTAAGAGTGATTTAAATAACGTTTCACAAAATCACCATAGTTATCAAACTCGCCATAAGAACTTTGACATACCGAGACATAAAACTGCAATGTTCCGTAGATCTCATAAATTCATTGTTTTAAAATTTTTTAATGCCCTTCCTAATGAACTGAAGAACATCTCTTGTTACGAGAATTTCAAGAGAAAATGTAAAGAATTCTTAATATCTGACACTTTCTACACAGTAAATGAGTTTTGGACAGGAATAGCCTCTAGTCAAGTTACAGATAATTTTATATTGCATATTTTATTCAACGCTCGTTTATTTCACTCACTGTTTTCTAACAGTACTTTAATTACTGTATTGTATGGTTCTAATATTTTATGTATGTATTTGAGGATGTTTTAATCCAATTTATTTCAACACAAACATACCTACATAAATGTACATGAATGAAAACTAGACCAAAAATAAATTATCCTTCAATGGTTAATTGAAGTGTCAGTTTTTCTTCCTTCTTCTCAGTCACCCAAACAGGAATGCACTAGTGCACACACAGTATATCATATACCATTGTGCACTAAATTTCAACATTAATTGAAATAGTGATAAATAGTCAATGTTTATTTTCACAAAGTATTCATTATTTAAAATTTCTAATGCAATAGTAGTTTTGAGTATTTAAACTTATTCAAATTCTGAATGATTATCTCATGATGAGTATGGTTGTTATCAGTTTGATTGTTAATGCTAATTCATATATTATTTCTCTTTGAATATGATTATCTATTTTCTTTTTCTATTTGTAAACATGTATGTCGTGCAACATCTATACCTCTGATTACTAGAAGAAATATTTACTGATTAACAAAGTTATTTTTTTATTATTCAGATAATATTTGGTTAGGAATTGAATTTTGTAAGATTTTCTCTGTTTCATTTTGATTGGTTTTGATTTTGTTTGTTATTTTCTGATGTGAAATATATTATTATTATTATTATAGTTTGAAGTGAGACAAGCTGCATTATTTTTGTATATTGTATCATAATTAGCCTACCAAACTTCACCAGTGGTTATTAAATCAAATAACGAAAAAGTTTCAATTTTACACTAGGTTTAAACAACTTGACTTGTCCAACACCCTTATAATCGTGCTAATTTATGGATCAATAAAGTTTATATTTTCTATTCTATTCTATTCAGCCGTGAGTTGTTTCCAGATTCGCATAACGGCCAAACTCCTCGAAGAAGAAGACGGCGGCAACGACTCCCCCTACTTCGAGTTCATCGAGTCCTGCCTGCGTCACAAATCCGAAATGGTGGTCTACGAGGCTGCGCACGCCATCGTGAATCTCTCGCGCACCACCAGCAGAGAGTTGGCGCCCGCCATCAGCGTCCTTCAGCTGTTTTGTGGGTCGCCCAAGCCTACTTTGCGATTTGCCGCTGTTAGGACGCTCAATCAGGTGGCCATCTCGCATCCTGCTGCTGTTACAGCTTGCAATTTGGATTTGGAGAATTTGATTACGGACTCGAATAGGTCTATCGCTACGTTGGCTATTACTACTCTTTTGAAAACTGGTTAGTTGAAAGCCTTTGAATTTTCTTTAATTACCTCTATTTTCTGAAAACTCATAGTAATACTTCCCAACTTCTTTCTATCGCCTGAAATTCCTTTATATACCATAATCTTCTTGTAAGTTCTTGGGAATTGTTGAGGATTTTTTATAGATTTCTTGGATTTAGAATGTTCACTATATTTCTTGTGAATATCTTAGTAGGTAGGTATTCTACTCAATACAATGGGTTGGATCGCTTGAGATCGACGTGGCTTTTACATGGAACGATGAAAACCGAGAGCCACCTGGTAACATTGGTTCCCGCGAATAATTAGGCTGATCAGCTTATTTGGGTAATAGATTAATAAAAATAAATAAATCACTTCATCATTTCAGGTGCCGAATCCTCGGTGGACCGCCTCATGAAGCAAATAGCGACATTCGTGTCGGAAATCAGCGACGAATTCAAGGTGGTCGTCGTCCAAGCCATCAGAGCGCTGGCTATGAAGTTCCCGCGCAAGCACACCGTCCTTATCAACTTCCTGTCGGCCATGTTGCGGGACGAGGGCGGGCTCGAATACAAGGCCTCCATTGCGGACACCATCATCACCATCATAGGTATACAGAAAGTCCCCAATTACAAAATAGTACATTATACACCTTGTTGATAAAGTGGTATTTTAAATCCTTAAACAAAAAGTTTATAGTCCGACCAACGGGAAGGCTATAATTTGTCGAGAGATTTAAAAACACTTTACAAAAATTTTAGAGTGTTTCCATCCAGTGACGCTAGTAGCAACAAACAAGTACAATGCTCTGTCGTAGAGCTGTGTATTCTTCCAGCTTGACAAATAAGTCTTCTTCTTTTTCTTATAGAGGACAATCCGGACGCAAAGGAATCAGGTTTGGCGCACTTGTGCGAATTCATCGAGGACTGCGAGCATGTTTCTTTGGCCGTCAGGATTTTGCATTTGTTGGGGAAGGAGGGACCGAAAACCAAACAACCTTCGAGGTATAATAGTTATTTATACAAAAAAGTAGTAAATAATATGATCAAATGAAAAAAGAAAATGCCCCAAGAATTAACAATCCACTAAGTGAGGCTCTCCATTTCTCTATACCCTTCAGAGAAGATAAATTACACATCTTTCTGATATATGTACATCATACTTCAGTAGAAATTGAAAATACCATATTCAACAAAGCTGCAATTTATAAATACTCCTTAATCATAGGCGATTTCAATGTTGACAGAACGAGAAAAAGACAAATTAAAAATTTCATTGAAAATTCAAATTTCAAAAAAGCGGAGACACCTCCCACCTTTTTAATGCAAAATAACCCAGACAGCACCCCAGATTTGATATTATTTACGAGCAATTTGGAGAACAGTATTGTAATTGTGGAGACTCTGGCAGACCTTGGCTCAGACCATCTAGCATTTCAGATATCGATTGAACTAAACAGACAGTGTCCTGCAGTAAATGAGTACAAATTAAATTTCAACAAATGTGACATCGAAAAAGTTAACGAAGACATGGCGAGATTTACGAGCATCCCACAAGAAATGAGTAATGAGATGATACAAGAATTCAACAAAAACTTGGAAGAATCTGTCAAAAAACACTCACCTAAAGTGGATATTAAGTTCTATCTACACGAGTTACCTCCCTTTATAATAAGTTTGATAAAAAACAAGCGCAGAATGTATCGAGAATATAAAGTATCACATGACCCTGCTATTAAACAACAAATCAACTTATACAATAAAGATATACATAAGCTTATTAAACAGTATAGAGAAAACAAATGGTTGGAAACATGTCAAGAAATTAACCAACAACAAGGAAGAAACTACTGGAACCAAATAAACAAATGTTCCCGATATAAACCTCGTTATATAATCCCAACAATAGAAGAAAACGGTCAAGTATACAACTCGGAGGAGGATAAATCAAACATCTTCGCTCAAGTATTTGAAGAAAATTTCACCGCAGCTGATAATCCCAACTTCGACCAGGAAAATTCAGATTTAGTCAACAGGTGGTACGAAGATTTCTTTGGTAGGGACATAGAGCTCCATGAATTCGAAACAAACGAAGAAGAATATTTCACTATCTTACACAACCAAAGAAATTCAGCTCCTGGCAGCGATAACATACCCTGGTCAATTCTGAAAAAACTCGATTACAATATTCATCTCTATATAATGAAAATTTATAACTTCTGCATCAAAAACCAATATTTTCCGGACATCTGGAGGAGAGGAACGATCGTGGTTTTTCCTAAACCCAATGCAGACCATTCCAGAGCAAACAACTACCGACCAATCACTCTGCTTCCGGTTCTGGGAAAGCTCCTGGAAAAATTGATTAAAAACAAACTTTCGGAATTAGTGAGACAAAAAATTCCACCATATCAATTCGGATTCAAAGAAAACTGTTCCACACTCCATCCATTAGTTATTCTGGCATCCAATGTACAAACAGCTAGAATCAACAACCAATGCTCTAGTGCGGTATTTCTAGACATTAAAAAAGCTTTTGATAGTGTCTGGCATAAAGGCTTATTATTCAAACTCCACATGCTAGAACTCCCTTCCTGGATGATACATATAGTGAATAGTTTCCTCTCATCAAGAAAACTCTCAGTGAAAATTAACAATGCTTTCTCCAACGAATTTTTTGCCACACAAGGTGTACCCCAGGGTTCGCCTTTGTCACCTTTGCTGTATAATGTATACTGTGCTGATTTACAAGAAATACAGCAGGTTGTAAATCAACAGACATACATTTTACAATATGCAGATGACACAGCATTAATATCACACCAGAGAACCAAAACAGCCGCCATTCAACAACTCCAACAATTAACAAACCAAATCCATACTTGGTTCAACAAATGGAGACTTCAAATCAACCCTCTGAAAACGGAAATGATAATTTTCAATCATACCCCATCCATCAACTCTCCCACTATCACTATCAACAATCACCAAATACATCCACGCTCCACTGTAAAATATTTGGGGGTCCATCTTGACCACAAGCTGAATTTCAATCACCACACAGCAATTGCAAAAAATAAAGTTAAGGGAAGAGCAAAGCATTTCAAATCTTTAACATATAGAGACCATGGCATCAACATCAGCACCGCTAGTAAAATCTACAAATCAATTTGCAGACCAATATTAGAATATGGCCACCCTCTATTCCTGAACATAAGAAATCCCGCAATGAAGAACCTGCAAATCGCCGAGACCTCCGCACTACGAACCATCACTAGAATGCGTCATCCAGACAATGTGCTACACAACCCACCCAATGATCTGCTATATTCCACGACCAAGGTGCAAAGGTTACAGGAAAGACTGCCAACACTGTCTAAGAAATTTGCCTCCAAGCCTGAGAACATGAATCTGATAACTCCACTGATTCTAGAAAGGACCAATGCTAGACCAAGAAACAAATTTCCAGAAAAGTCGCTGATAACACTACTTCAGGATCTAACCGAAATTCCATAATATTTTTTTATTTAATGTAAAATATTCTTGTTTTTTTTTTTTTTTTTTTTTTTTTTCAACAAAAACTGTCTTCTCTCTTTAACCAACTCAAAAGGAAAAACATTTCAAAAAGAAGAAATAAAACATATTGGCTGAAGGACTCAGGTCGATGGCCAGTTGATTGTATTGTACATATGATCAATAAAGCACTTTATTATTATTATTATTATTATGATCATCATCCAGGAAGGGTATAAGATCCGGTGGTGTGGTAATAGTGCAGAGTATGCAATTTTTTTCCGCGGTATCAGTATTTGAAATTTTGACTTCCTATAAACGTTCCTCGGCTTCTTGGATTCCTTGGTGAATTCATGAAATTTTTTAAATATCGATTTTTTCAATTTCTCCTAATTTTTCACAACTCCTTTTAATTTTTACCAAATACTCTAATTTTCTTGGAATCTTCATTCAACATAATATGTTTGTTTAAATTGTTCCGATTTCTTTCAAATGCCTCTTAAATTCTGGCAATTCCTCCAAATATCCCCGAATTCCTTTTAAATCTTCTGATTTTTTTAGAAATCTTAGGAATCCCTCTAAATTCGTTTGAATTGTACTCATTTTCTTGGAATAACTTGATTTTCTTGGAATACTTGGAAGTCCTCCGGAATCTTTGGAATTCCTTCATAATTCTTGCAATTCTTCCAGATTTCCCCTAAATTTTCATTTAACCGCTTGTCATTTCTCTAAATTCCTTCCCTGTGGATTCCTTGTCATTCTAATTCCTTTGGATTCATTCAATTAACTAAAAATTCCTTCAAATTCAAATAATTTTTTTGGAATACCCTGATTATCTTAGACCCTTATACAATTACTTGGAATTTCTATGAAACACTCAAAATTCCTTTGAAATTCTTTGAATTTTTCTAGATTTCTTATAATGTCTGAGTTTCTTGGAAATCCGCTAGATTTCCAACGAGTCGCTTGTCCTTTCCCCAAATTTTCAGTCTCTCATTTTCAGTATCACCAGTTGGCGCTACTAAAACGTGAGTTCAATGTCAAAAAAAAATCCCAAAATTTTGCCAGATTACCCTAACAGCTGTGGCCTGTTTTATCAAAAATATTCGTAATAATGATGTGGACCATTTGAACAAATAGAAAATAGAAAAGTTATGGAAAAACTTGAGCAGACTGTCAACGTGGAACTTCACGACCTATTCTCACATTGACGGAGAAGAAGATATCATAGGAAAAGGACAAATGACACTAAAATAAGAAGTATATTCATCAGTTCTAGCAACTCTGACCTCATGTTTCAGTGGCGCGATGTGGTGGACAATAAATAATGTTGGCCCTCATTCCTTTGAATTCATTGAAATGGGAGATTTCTGATTTTCTCTCAAACGTTCCAGGTACATCCGTTTCATCTACAACCGCGTCATCCTGGAGTGCCCTTCGATAAGGGCGGCCGCCGTGTAGAACATCCAGAAACTCTTGGAATGTTTCTAGATTTCTCATAATTTTCATCTCGTTTCGCCGGTACTTCTTCTTATTCCTTTTAATTCCTTCGGATTCATTCAAATCCCTCGAAATTCCTTCAAATTCAAATAATTTTTTGGAATACCCTGATTATCTTAGACCATTATACAATTACTCGGAATTTCTATGAGACACTCAAAATTCCTTTGAAATTCTATGAATTTTTCTAGATTTCTTATAATGTCTGAATTTCTTGGAAATCCGCTAGATTTCCAGTGAGTTGCTTGTCCTTTCCCTGAATTATCAGTCTCTCATTTTCAGTCTCACCAGTTGGCGCTACCAAAACGTGAGTTCAATGTCAAAATCAAAAACCGCAAAGTTTTGTCAGATAGTCCTAAAAGCTGTGGCCTGTTTTATCAAAAATATTCGGAATGATGATGTGGACCATTTGAACAAATAGAAAAACTCAAGTTATGGAAACACTTGAACAGACTTGCGTTTTTTTACTGTCAACGTGGAACTTACGACCAATTCTCACATTGACGGAGAAGAAGATATCATGTGAAAGGACAAATGACACGAAAAGAAGAAGTATATTTATCAGTTCTACCAACTCTGATCTCACGTTTCGGTGGCGCGATTTGGTGGACAATAAATAATGTTGGTGTTTCCTGATTTTCTCTCAAACGTTCCAGGTACATCCGTTTCATCTACAACCGCGTCATCCTGGAGTGCCCTTCGATAAGGGCGGCCGCCGTTTCGGCGATGGCCCAGTTCGGGGCCTCCTGCCCCGACCTCCTGGAGAACATCCAGGTGCTGTTGGCCCGTTGCCAGATGGACATGGACGACGAGGTGCGCGATCGGGCCACCTATTACAGCAACATATTAGCCAGGCGGGACAGGAGTCTCTATAACAACTACATTCTGGATACTTTGCAGGTAAGTTTTTTTTTTCCAATCGCACGATTGGGGATTCCCTATTTCTGTACTTGTTTTTTTTGGGTGCGTAGCGCTATGCCCAATTCCCACGATGCCCAATACCCACCATGCCCACCAACCTTGGATTTCCACCATGCCAGGTCATAAGGAAATATCAAAGAACTCACAGAAGATTCTCATAACGCCCACTTTTCATACATTTCCACGATGCCCAATTCCCACCATGCCTACCTTCTTTGGATTCGTACCATTCCCACTTTTCATACATTCCAAAGATGCCCAATTTCCACATTGCCACCTTCAACATGGTGGGCATGGTGGGAATTGGGCATTGTAGGAATTGGGCATCATGGGAATGTATGAAAAGTGGCCATGGTGGGAATCCAAGAAAGGTGGGCATGGAGGGAATTGGGCATCAGAGGAATTGAGCATCGTGGGAATCCAAGAAAGGTGGGCATGGAGGGAATTGGGCATCAGAGGAATTGAGCATCGTGGGAATCTATGAAAAGTGGTCATGGTGGAAATCTTGTGTTTTATGAATTTTTCTCCTAACCTGGCAATGTTGCACTCTTCGGCAATCTCTCTACAATTTTCTATTAATTTTTTACTTCTTTTTAGTTCGGCAATCTATGAAAGCCTATTTCATTAGTTTGTTGAAACACTATTGCAAAGCTAGGTCGACATATTTAATCCGCCATCTTGAATTTTTCGATTATGACGCAGAAATCATGATCTCCGACCCAGAAAACCCTCAGAGACCAATTTTTAAATGAAATCGGATCATAATTATTAAACTTGTATGCCGTATTGGATCTGCCATCTTGAATTTCCAAAATTTGACGAGAGAATCATAATCTCCGAACCCGAAAAATTTTGAACAGAATCGGATCATAATTACAAAAGTCGTCCGCGATATTGGATCCGCCATCATAAATTTTGAAATTTTGAGGAAAAAAATCATAATCTTCCACCCCGAAATCCCCCAGATACCAATTTTTAATAGAATCGGATCATAATTACAAAACTTGTTCGCCATGTTTGATGAATGATTCATAATCTCCGACCCTGAAAATATTTAGATACCAACTTTGAATAGAATAGGATCATAATTATAAAAATAGTTCGCCATCTCGGATATGCAAATTTTGAGGAAAGAATCATAATTTCCGACCCCAAAATTCCCCAAATACCAATTTTGAATAGATTCGGAACATAATTACAAAACTCGTTCGCTATATTCTTAGCTATATTGGATCCGCCATCTTGAATTTTCCTATTTTGACAAAAGAATCATAATCACCGACCCTAACAACTTCCAGATACAAACTTTGGATAGAATCGGATCATAATTACAAAACTCGTCCGCCATCTTGAATTTCAGGTTGTCCCCACCGCGCTATGAGGTTGGCGGGAGTGTTAGCTACGCCATTGCTTTCCTGCTGATCTCTGTAGGTATACATTTTAGTTTTTATTTCAGGTTTCGATTCCTTCCTTAGAACGTTCCCTCAAAGAGTACGCACAGAACCCCTCAGACCAACCATTCGACATGAAATCGGTGCCACTGGCAGCGGTACCGAACCCAGAGGAGCGCGAAACGAAACACAAATCCGAAGGCATGCTGATAGGCCAAGGTATTACCATTCTATTATTAGACAGGTTAAAATAAACATAAGGAACGCAAAAAACACATACTACACAAACAAATTTAAAAAATGTGATGGTAACCCTAGAAAAACCTGGGACACAATAAACAAAATATTAACAAACAAAGGGAAAGATAAGAAAGATAAAATATCATCAATAACCTCTAACAATAGATCCACCAGTGACCCTAAAGAAATTGGAGAATGTTTTAATACTTTTTTTGCTAAGATTGGAGAAGATCTAGCATCCAAAATTAAGCATCAAGAGATAGATTTAACTTTAGAAAAAACTGAACGGGACAGCATATTTCTGAAACACACAAGTGAAAGGCTATGATTTAGTTCAGGTAAAAACTGTCAAAACATGCATGAAGGAGGTTACTCCAATTCTTACAAAAATAATTAACAAATCCTTGGAATACGGGAATTTTCCATCCATGATGAAAATTGCCAGAGTGTCACCATTATTTAAAGAGGGGGAGAAAACAAGTTGTAATAACTATAGACCTGTATCAATTTTGCCTATGTTCTCTAAGATAATGGAGAAGGTAATTAATAATCGCCTCTTGAATTTGTTAAACAAAAAAAATTTCTTTTATGAACATCAATATGGCTTCCGCAAGTCGAGTGACACAGGGTCGGCAGCAATAGATTTAGTCACTGAGATACAACAAAACACCAATAATCATGATAAAACTGGCCTGGTGTCTCTCGACCTGAGGAAGGCGTTTGACACAGTTGATCACCATATTCTATTGTCCAAATTAGAAAGGTCAGGTATCAGAGGCGTAGTTTTGAAATTTTTCAAAGAGTACCTCTCAGGCAGACTACAACATGTAGCAATTGATGGTGTAGCTAGTACTAATCAAACAATAACATGTGGTGTCCCTCAGGGCACAATATTAGGACCAACATTATTCCTGATTTATGTCAATTCAATGTCAAACCTGCGCCTCCGAGGGAAAATAAAATTGTATGCTGATGATACCATACTACTTTATTCAGGTAGATCTATAGAACAAATAAAAGAGGACATGATGCTTGATCTCCTACTTGTTGAAAAATGGCTTGCAAGTCACAAATTGACTTTAAATACCGAGAAGTCACGTTTCATGTTTGTCTCTAACAATAAAATCAATTCAACTGAACCTCTTATCTTTGGCACTAACCAAATCAAATATACCTGTGAAATAAAATATCTAGGTCTATACATCGACTCAACACTGTCATGGAGTAATCACATAAATCGTTTGACCAAAAAGATTAGTGCCCCAATTGGCATCTTGAAGCGTCTGTCATGGTATGTTCCAAGATTTTTACTAAGATCAGTGTATTACTCTCTAATACACTGCCACCTTCAATATCTGGTAATGATTTGGTTTCCAGCCTGTAATAAATTGGTGAAACAAGTGAGGACACTCCAAAATAAAGCCATCAAAAATATATACTCACTGCCCTATAGATATAGTACAGTTAATCTTTATAAAAACTTCAATATTTTAAGTTTAGATAATATGTATGAACTCCAAATATCCAATCACATTCATCAAACCATTAACGGTCAAAAATTTTCAAATCTGTCATTTACGACATGTGATAGTTTATACTCATACAATACACGCAATAGCAAGAAGTTATTCTTACCCAATGCATCTATGGAAGCCTATAAAAAATCCATTTGCTTTAAAGGTGTTCAAATATATAATCAACTTCCTGTTGAAATAAGAGAATGTAACAGCAAATTATTTAATAAAAAACTGAAAAAATACCTTATGAGTAAATAGACGCTTTGAATTGGCTACATTTGTAATCTTTTCAAGATTTTTTTGTAAAAACGCAAAGTAATGATAGGTAGTGACAAATTCTGTGATATAATTAGGCTATTATCAATACTACGCAACCAATGTACCTGACAAAATGTACTCTATAATTTTAATGACTCCTTTTTTTTATATGACATGTTTTTTTTAGAGTAAGGACCTCTATGAAAATGTAATTTTCCGTGGTTCAATAAAGACTCCTTCTATTCTGCTCGTAAGATGCCACGTTCATTCCCATATCTGATCTATTTTTTCCAACCTCGTACAGTTTTTTGATTTTGTATTTCTGACCTCAGAGAAAAATCGAGACGACCCAGAAGAAGTGGTCTCGCTTCTCAGTCGACTTTTTTTCTAAACCGTCCAATTTTCCGAATTATTCTCATTATTGATTCCCTCACTAATTCATTTGGGGTGTGTTCCGTAAATCAACTTGGTTATTTCGATTAGTAGTTTTCCGTTCTGTAAATATGAAATGTTCGGTTGGTTCCTGTAAAAATGGTATTTAGGGAACTCGGTTGCTGAAAAAGCGGTGAATTCACTGTCACCAGAACGACCGTGGATTTTAATTGGTAGGTTCGGTGAATTTGAGTTGACGTGTTTCAGTTTTTGGTTTGATTTTTCGATTCACATATTAATTATTTATTGCGTCAAGTTCCGATGGGTTCATTTACTGAAATAAATTAATAATATTCGATGTATTTTAAGTTTGATGACTTTTTTTCTAATTCAGGACACTACGTGATTTGCTCGTGCTTACTGTGCACAAGAATTAGGGACTTTTGGGTTCCATAATTGAAAATCAAATACTGGCAGAGCATGCATCTTTAAAACACGATCAAAACTATAATTTGACAAATGACTGGTAAATAAGCCACGACCATAGTCACCAGCAGATAACCACTGTCAAAATTGTTGGTACCGACCCTGAAAGCATCGGTATCGGCACCTTCAGTTGATTAACGGAACATATCCTTGAATATGCCCTAGAAGTGGTGATATTGATTCTCAATTGACAATTTTAGAAACTTCGAACTTTTTATTTCATTAGTTACGACACTAGACGAGCTAGTATTGAAAAAAAAATTGTCTTCTCTATCCTTCTCTTCAAGATTCAAACGTGAAAAAATATAATGTTATGGTGGCAACACAAATAATAATTGATAAAAGGAGAAGCAGACCAATCGCACCTCAATATAAAACGCTTAGAATGGTCATATTCTCCATTCTCATTTTTTGTGTAACCAACATGAAAACATTTTACGTTGGAAGATAAGGATAGGAGCGGAATACAACTTTTTCTCTCATGCTTGCTGAACTTCTCAATTATTTCATATCTACCAGTTTGATGAAACAATAATTCAAGAGTGGGTACACCAGAGACAATATCCATATTTCCTAACCTCTCGTGAGGGTGGATAATCAAGATCATTCTAGACATTTCTGACAAATCCCCGATTTGTATGAAACTGTCATCTTTTGCTATATAAGAACCAATCAGAATGATGTGTGTCTCGATTCGCGATAGAAAATAAGCGTACGCCACCTACCGGAGTTCTTGGAAACTGTCAAAGCGGCATGTTTACTTTGTTTTCATTGGTTCACATTTGTTTTTTGTCTGTGCTTATTGGCCATATCATCAAAACAAACCGCAGGTGGAGCGACGTGTTATTTTCTATCGCGAATAGTACGCTGCTTCTTGCTTTCGAACCTGTCACGGCAACAACGAATCTAAGTAAAACATTTGAACACCTGGTATGACATGGAGATGACAGTATTTCATAGCCATATATTTCAAGATATATTTTTTCTAGAAATTACTGGAAAGTCTCATTGTGCTCGTCTAAATTTTATTTCTTTGTATTCCTTCTGTACATACTTTGGGACTTTTTATACGTTTTATGAATACATTCATCATGTTTTTTGACATTCCATATGTACCAAGTCACCAAGTGTATCAAAAATGGTGAATAAATATTATTATTATCATCATCTTGGATCGCCACTAAAATGCAGACGTCAATTATATTTTCCTCAGGCCCCCCGCGCCCCGTGCCCGTGTCCCGCGAAGAGAACTTCGCCGAGAAGCTCGCCTGCGTGCCGGGCGTCCAACAGCTGGGCCCGCTTTTCCGCAGCTCGGAGGTCATCGAGCTCACCGAGTCGGAGACGGAGTACTTCGTGCGGTGCGTGAAGCACTGTTTCGCGCACCACTGCGTGTTGCAGTTCGACTGTTTGAACACGCTCAGCGACCAGCTGCTGGAGAACGTGCGAGTGGAATTGGAGCCCAGCGAAGGGTTCGAGGTTAGATTTTTTCGTAAAAGACGTGATATTTACCGATAAAATCATTTTTTTCTGATTTATACTCATTTTTTTGGTAATAATGAACCTTAAAATCAATTATTTTCATAATTTTTCTTGATTCGCGAAATTTCTGTTCTCTTGAACTGCTTGTTGCTGCCCGTCAAAGCTCCAGCTGCTTGGCAATTAATGCTTCCACAGGTAGTCTTGAGTGCTGCTTTGTATTCTTGTGAAGAACTTGGCAGTGTTGAAGGTTCGATTTGAATAGATCCAACTCGAAGGACCAATTTGTTCGACGCTTGAAAGATAGTGAACGCTAAACACGAATAAATGAATGCAATCTCGAATGGTGGGGATAACTCTGCGGAATCATTGCCAGAGAATTGTTATTCTTCATAGATATATTTGATATATCTAATAATTCGGTATGTGCATTAATGAATCGCCTGCGTGCCGGACGTGCAGCAGCCGGTATATAAATTATTTTTATTATTTTCCTCTACTCGCCCAATGCTATTTGTTCTCTATATTCACAGTTCTCGGCAACATACAAAAACAATTGTGTTGACATGAAAATTTTTGGCAGCGTGCCTCACCTTTTCTGTATATTAAATACATTATTGTTGTTGTTGTTGTTCTTTACTACCCCAACAAACATCTTTGTTCATAAGAGTGATATATAAACATATCAATATCATTATAGCATATATTGGTCTTTCGAGCCGGATCTATTCAAATCAAATCTTCAAGATTGCCATACAAATACAGTCCACTATCTATCAAGTATCGAACATATTGGTCCTTCGAGTCGGATCTATTCAAATTAAACCTTCAAGTTTGCCATACAAATATAGTTCACTATCTATCAAGCATCGAACATAATGGTCCTTCGAGCCGGATCTATTCAAATCAAACCTTCAAGATTGCCATACAAATACAGTCCATTATCAATCAAGCATCGAACATATTAGTCCTTCGATCCGGATCTATTCAAATCAAACCTTGACCGCCAACAATTAGGCGCGCTCTTCCGCAGCTCGGAGGTCGTCGTGCTCACCGAGTCGGAGTACTTCGTGCGGTGCGTCAAGCACTGTTTCGCGCGCCACTGCGTGTTGCAGTTTGACTGTCTCATCACGCTCAGCGACCAACTGCAGGAGAACATGTGGGTAGAGGTGGAGCGCAGCGAAGGGTTCGAGGTCGGTAAAGATCACGATTTTTTCCTCGATTGAATAATGTTTTTTGCGGTTAATCCTGATTGATGGTGATGATGAACTTTAAAATCAATTATTTTCATCATTTTTCTCTATTCGCCAAACTTTGAAAGTTCCAGCTGCTTGGAATTCACTGTTACTCCAAGTAGTCTTGAGTTATGCTCTTTATCCTTTCGGATGAACTTGGCAGTCTTGAAGGTTTGATTCAAATAGATCCGGCTCGAAGGACCAATATGTTCATTGAAATTCGTATTGCAATCCTTCTTTATTTATTAATTTCATTGATAAATCTCATGTTTCAAGAACACGTCGTCATGTTAACAAGAATTGAAAATTTTTCATACCGTATAGGCTAATACAAGTACCAAATTATTATACTGGGTCATACAAGTACTAAACAGCTTTGGTGCATCCCTAGTTGGAGCCCAGCAAAGAGTTCTGTATGTCAAAGAGTTCCTGATATATTGACACCTTGTATCTCAAAATCAGTGCATATGCAGTACCAATTTGATGGGAACTTTGTTCTTGAAATTGGCCAGGGAATCCGATCCTATATTTTCCGACACACCGATCTGGAAGATAAAACTCACTTTTTGGTTCACATATTCGTTTTTTCTAGATGTTTTCAATGTTTCTTCTGTGTTTGAGCATTGAATGCAATACCTTAATCAACGTTTTGAGTGAAATTTTGAAACATTGGGCCTTGAAAACATTGTCGTCAAGCTAGGCGTTGTACAGGGTTATTCCGTATTTTATTTAAAGAACTTTTATAGGGTGCATCATAGAAGATAGAAAAAACTTCAAATTAATGCAAAAGTTTGTACTATTGTCAATAGATTTTAATAATTCTTTGTGAATATAAAGAAATCGCCCAAGTATTACAAAGTTATTCATGTTTTTCAAGAAAAAAAAACTAAATAAGGAAAGGACATCTTTCTTTATAGAATAAATCCAACACTCGCTAATTTGTATTTTTTTATAGATAATAGCAGTGGTGCCTTGTTCAAAATTACCCTATAACGAGACAGGATCAACTTATGTTGTTTTGAAATTCCCTGAAGATGATCTGCCTGCTTGTGTTGGTACATTTGGAGCCGTCCTGAAATTCATGGTCAAAGACTGTGATCCCACCACTGGATTACCAGATTCTGATGAAGGCAAGTAGCAAATCCATATTCATATTTCCATCCATATATCCAAGTTCATATTTTCACAATCTTCATTCATAACCAAAAACATGACTTAAAATATTCTTTTATCATTTTGAGTCCCACAAAAAATCTTAGATCTGAATTGCTTGATTCCAAAATCCACAGCAAATTTTTGAAATTCAATCAGCCATTATGGGACCAACTTTTCCATTTCTTTTTGACTCCTTCATTTGAATGCTGAACTACATCCAATTTTCTCCCCAATAAATATTTAGGTTATGATGATGAATATATGCTGGAAGACCTGGAAGTCACTTTGGGTGATCAAATCCAGAGGGTGAGCAAAGTGAACTGGGGTGCTGCATGGGATGAAGCAGCAGAAAATTTCATAGAAAAAGAGGACACTTACTCCCTGAGTTCCATGAACACTCTGGAAGAGGCCGTTAAGAATATCATCCAGTTTTTGGGACTTCAGCCTGCTGAAAGAACTGATAAAATTCAGGAAGGAAAGTCCACCCATACCTTACTCTTAGCAGGTGAGGAAATAATGATGGTGAATTTTTTATTTGCAAAAATTGCATTTTGTTTTTTTTTCAGGGGTTTTCAGAGGTGGCATTGATATTCTTGTGAGAGCTAAACTTGCTCTAGCTGATGGTGTTACTATGCAGTTGACAGTTAGATCACCTGATCCAGATGTTGCAGAATTGATTACATCTTCAGTAGGTTGACTTCTGATGGAAATAAATTTATATGTATTGTGTATATTAATCAAAACTTTATTATTTCATTAAAACGCTTAGTCACTATGAGAGCTATGAGAAGTTTATTTCACATCATATAAAAACTATGCCTATATGCTATAAATATGAATTTGTCCCTAGTTAATATTCACAACATGAATTGGTTGTCTTGAGATTTGGCTATTTCATCTTTGAACATTGATATTGTTTCCTTGGCTAGTTTTAATTTGTTCTTAAGTATGGCAATTTCACCTTTGACTTTTTGCTTGGCCTCTATAATAGTCTTCAATGTTTTTTCTTTTTTCAGTGCAACTGGAAAAAAATACCATTAATAATGTGATTGATGACTAGTGCAATGAATTATTAGACAATCATATTATTATTTACTTTATAAGTATACATGAACTCACAATTTGTATTATGATCCCATCTTCCCAAAGTTAGCTGTTTAGTATTTGTTAATAAATGGTGCATGAGCTGAGTTGGATCTTGAAACACAATTTCATCATAATTTTCTGACACCAAACCTTGGCTCTGTTCAATACCAATATCTTGAGTATTACCAGAATGAAACAGTTTGAGTATGTGATACATGGTCACCTAGAGATAAAGACACCTATATTTTTGGAGCATAGAGACATTACAACACTTACTGGCCTTTCATTGGGATCATGAAAATGTATTTTGATGACAATTTCAAACTCCCCCCATCCTGTTTCACTGATTTCATAGGGTGGTTTTACTACTATTCTATTCTGATTGGCATAACTCTCATGTAACTTGAAATGGACTTTTTTCACATACATAGACATGTCTTCGTTTTGATGAGGCTTCAAGTATACAGTCCATTGATGAGTGTGGCCATCTTCCTCTCGTTTCTTGCCAAAATATCGAGCGATGTTACCATAGACTATTGGTTTCACTATACAGATACCCTACAATGAAAATAATGGAAACGCTGTGGAAGAACGTGAAATTGCACGATACCTTCATTCGTCCGCCAGAATCAGGTCCAAAATCCGTTGGAAGGCTCATATTGAATAACAATATAACAATATTAACAACAAATGAAACTTTAGCTTTCCATTAGGTTGTTTGTAATTTTGTATTTTTGCAATGCAATTGCAAACTGTAAGCAAAGAGGAGCTGTAAGTAAACAAAAACATCTGTCAGTGTGAATTCTTAATTCTTCTTCTTAGTTGTTCTAGCCCGTTGTCACAGATTAACAAACCTTATTTGTTAATCTGTGCCGTTGTGGGATTCGTTCACAGCCAGTTTCTCCCATTCTCCTACTGGAATCACAGAACTTAAAAGTGTTTAATTTTTATGGGCTTCATGGATTGGCACTGCTGTAAGCAAATACGACGTGACACGTGACGTGACGTAATATTTTGGTTTGACACTTTTGTCAGTTCGTTGGAAAAGCAAACAGAAAAGCTAAACAAGTTTCCATAAACGCGATGTCTCGTTTATACAAACTTGCCCAAAAATTTAACTGTTTCTATTTGTCAGGTCAGTACTTTCAGTTTTTATAAGTTCAGCATATATGTCCATATCGTGTTGATTTATAAATCTCTTGATAACTAGGCTTTTGCACTTTATAGGCATTATTGATATTGATCCATGGAGCTACACCCTCATTGTTTTGGCAAAAAAATAACTTCCTTTTATTTCAGGTTTAAGATCTTCCGAGTGCAAACCTTTCTTTATAGAGGGCTTCCAAGTAGGCCTGGTTAGACCAGATGTCATGAAACAGCTACTCAAGTATCCAGAAGTAAGTTTCTCATCACTCATCATCAGAAAGTTTCATTTGCTGGGGAATTGATGATCCACAACTATTTGCCGTTCTCAACTTGCCCTAATTTCCTGAAACTGATTCTGAATCAGTTGGTTATGTCCAATATCTTCATCACATGAAAGAATCTGAAAGCATTATGTTGTTCTACCTTATTTACTGTAGTCTATCTGAACTGAAGATGCACAACCAAATGATGATTGAATAATTTTAGATAGTTTTAATGTGATCATCAAAAGTGAATATTTCAATGACTATTTATTGGTTACTTGAATTTCAATGTTTTTTTGAAGGTTTTTGTGATTTCTTCTGGATCAGTTGAGTTGAATCCTGCTTTTCGTGACTATGAAGAAAGGAGTACACATGTAGACAGGGTGTTGAGAGAATTAAGGGCTGACAATGTATTTTTTGCCCTGAAGGGATGGAGAGATGAAGTGGGTACCTAGGCAATAACTTATACTTATCTAAATACTCTCTTATAACAATACAAATATCATTTTCAGTGTTATGAAGTGAAAACAGAATTTATTTCCAAAAGTCTTCTGAAAATGGATAGATCAGCCACTTGTCTGTTTGGAATAAGGAATTATGGTGTAGATATTAATGGTTATGTGAGACATCCCATAAAAGGGTTATGTTTATGGTTCCAAAAAAGATCAGCTACAAAGGAAACTTGGCCAGGTATCTTGAGATGACATGTTAACAAAAACAAGAATGAGTTACAATAATTGAAGAAACAAATATTCAACACACAAAATTAAAAAATTTCAGGAGTTTTTGTATTTTTTATTTTTCTGTAGGGAAATGGGACAATATGGTTGGTGGTGGTCTATCAGTAGGCCATGGAATCCTGGAAACAGCTCACAAAGAGGCAATGGAAGAAGCTTCAGTGCCATCACATCTACTACAAAACCTAATAAGTGCTGGATGTGTTTCGTAAGTAGAGAAAATGTTATTTATAACCAAAATATGTGATGCATGCTGGGAAAATGACAATTATCAAGAGCAAAATATATTAATAAAGGAAATAAGGGAATTTCCTCATTGTCTTTATTATCAGTTAATTCTACATGTTTTTCTTATGGCATTATAAATTTCTTCTGGGTAATTTGATGTTTCTGTTTATTTTTTGTTTAAATTCAGAAGCAGAATGGCCACAACAATTTTGATAAAATATTCTCAATGATTGCTGTAAGGTTTATAAGGTTTCAGAATAATATAGAGAAAAACAATGGAAACAAATTTGAAAAAAATCCTGAATAGGATTAGGTAAGGACATTTCAAGCCAAATTTGTTTATTTTGCAGGAATTTTTAAACTGAATTATTAATAATCCTGTTTTCCTAGAAATGCATTATATCCAACCTCTGTGCAAAAAAAATACATTATGATTTGGATTTATTATCAGTAGGACCTAAGTATGACACATTAAATCTTCTTCATGGTTATACTTTATTCTAACACAGTTCTTCATCTATACTGGAAAATCTACTTAGTGGCACATAATTTGTTTTGATATTTGCTCCTCAAAGTTGCTCCTTGAAAAGATGGTGATATTTTAAACAAAACATGTACAGAGGTTAAGTAATCAAAATGTTTGAAATATGTGAAAATATAAGTACTTATAAGTTTGATATTCAAATCTCATGCTTAATGACAATATTGATGAAATTATAATTTCTCCATTTAGAGCTTTCATTTTAAAAACTTCATTATTTATTACATAAATTACATATCACCAGTAACAAAAATTGTCCCCAATAGGCCTGGGTTAGCTGGTCTCAGGATCATAGATCAGAAATTGACATTTACATAATGTAATTTGCAATACACTATTAATTAATGTTCATTATAAATACTATTTTTATAGTTCATTAATTAAATTAAATCATATGTTACAGCACTGAATTGTACTTATACCCAATGATTGAATGAAAAACAATACATTTTTATTTATAAATTACATTTGTCTGGAATTGATCAATTGATTTAATAACCATCATTTTTATTTTATATACCTTACACCAAGTTATATTTCATGAGATTTTCTTTGTTTATTCAATACCAATATGTATACTTTTAATTTATAGTAGTAGTAGTAGTAGTAGTAGTAGTTTATTCTGTGTGATAAAATAATTATATACATTCGTCAGGCACAATATACAATACAACATACAATACACATATCAATAAAAAGTAAAATCAAACAATATATACAATTATACAATCACTGATAATACATAAATTATTCTTAAAAGCATACATTGAAATGTTTATAAAATTCTTCCATATCATAGAACACATTTTCTCTCAGAAAATGTTTACAATGATTTGTAAACTTTTCCAAATTTAATTCTCTCCATTCTTCTGGCAGACTGTTGAAACATTTGAGGGACTGGTATTTGTAGGATTTTGAATTTTTGTCGAGTCTAAAAAGTGGCATTTGGTAGGGTCTGTGTCTTGTTTCGTACCTGTCTTGTCTAAATAATGATGATTGATTCTCTTTCGCAAATTTTAGAGCTTCCAGAATATATTGATTTGTAGTGGTTAAAATACGAAGCTCCTTGAACAAGGGTCTGCAAGGTTCTCTATAATTTGATTTTGATATGACACGCACGGCTCGTTTTTGCAGTAATAGTATTTGATTAGCATGTGATGAATTACCCCACAGTAGTATGCCATATGACATTACACTGTGGAATAGAGCATGATAGGCCATGACTATGTGTTCTTTGTCTATCATGCTAGTTAAATTTTTTAAGAGAAATATAATGCTCGCGAGTTTGCTAGATAGTTTGTCTATGTGTATGGACCAAGTTAGTTTATTGTCCATGTGAATTCCTAAATATTTCACAGAGCTATTCAGAGATGATATCATTGGATTCAAACTGAAGTTTAATATCGTAGTTTTTTCTTCATTTAAGGAGAGTTGAATTGAGTTGAAATAACTCTTTGCTTGGGAAATCATCTCTTTCGATAGTTTACTCGTGTCTGAACTGGTTTTGCATGGTGCTATCAAAGTTGTGTCATCCGCAAAGATCACTCCTTTGTGTTCAATATGATTTGATATATTGTTCACGTAGATAATGAATAAAATTGGTCCTAAGACGGACCCTTGAGGTACACCGAAGTTTAGTGATCTGACTGATGACACATCTTTACCTATCTGGACGTACTGTGTTCTTTCAATGAGATATGATTTGATGAATGATAGTGCAGTGCCTCTTATACCATAGCATTCCAACTTGTGGATTAACAGTTCATGAGATACACAATCGAAAGCTTTACTTAGGTCGAGAAACGTGGCTACCGTAGTATTCCCTACCTCCATCTGATCTGATACAAAGTCTACTAGTGTGATAAGTGCTTTTGTGGTGGACATGCCTGCTCTGTAACCAAACTGCCCAGGATTCAACAGTTTATATTTTTCCAGATACTCTACTAATCGGATTTTATATGCTTTTTCTAAAATTTTTGATAGTATAGGGATAATGGATATAGGTCTATAGTTATCAACTGAACCCTTATCACCTTTTTTAAAGATAGGTGTTAATCGTGATCGTTTCAGATTATCTGGAAAAATACCTTCTTCAAGACATTTATTAACAAAGTGTGTCAATTGGTCCAGTATGATATCTTTTATGAATTTCAATGCATCACTATTGAGTCCATAGCAGTCTCTAGATTTCGAGTTACTCAAGTCAGATATTATTTCCAGGATTTCAGATTCTGTCAACATTTTGAATAAACTTTATTTATTATTATTATTATTGATATCCATTGACATAATATGACAACAATAATATAACATATATTTGGTAATTTTGTGATTAAAATGTACTCAAACACGAGCATTTCAATAGAGATTTACATATATTATATGTTGCAGTATTCTTTAAAGTCACTGGTACCTCATTATATGCTATTACTGTTCTATTTATTGGGTTATTCAGTTCTCTAGTTGTTCTTGGTTTCTGCACAATTTGGTCATGTTTAATTCTTGTATCATGTGAATGTATTTCTTTTCTATAAGATAGTTCAGTATTAGATTTCAATGGTCCATGAACCAGTTTGTATATAATATATACATTGTTCAAAATTGAGAATAAGTTTTAATTTATCTAACTTTGTGTTTATACAGGGTGTTTCCTAACTACGGTTCCTAACTGCAGGGGGTGATTTGTTAGGTCATTTCAAGAAGAAAAGTTGCTATGAACATATGTCCGGAGTTGCTTCGTTTCTGAGATACAGGGCGTTGAAATTAAAGAAAACAAACGGTAATTATAAAATATCATGAATATTCTGGAACCGATATGGTTGAAATTTGGTACTTTTATCTGTCAAATTTTCTAAAATTTCAGCATTTCAAGTGTGAATTGAATTTTTGGCGGAAATAATAAAAAACTCATTTCTCCAATGCAGGTGTTCATGATATGCAATACAGTGGCTTTTATTTTTTTTCTCGAAAACGAAGCTGGATATGAAGAAAATGCACGAGGCCAAAAAGTTGTATTTTGAGTTGCTCAATCTAAACACAATATAAAATTACCAAAAAAAGTCAGTGGCGTACTTTTTTTTCACAATATTGTTGGCTGTGGTGCCCACTGAGACGCCACTGGCCCCAATAATTTCAATCTAAATAAGGCTAAATAAGCGCCTTATTAGTTCAAATGAAAGTACCAAATTTCAACCAAATCGGTTCTAGGATATACATGATATTTTATCATTACCGTTTTTTTTCTTCAATTTCAACGCCCTGTATTTCAGAAACGAAGCAACTCCGGACATATGCTGATAGGAACTTTTCTTCCTAAAATGACCTAACGAATCACCACCTGCAGTTAGGAACCGTAGTTAGGAAACACCCTGTATATACAATCTCTGTAGACATGTGATGGTCCAAATTGAATAAAACTTCAACCACCCTGCTTTGTAGCATTTGAATTTTGTTAAATGTTGTTGTTCCACATGTTCCGCATATTGTTATCATATAGCATATCTATAGATGCTTAAGAAGTATGCATTATACAGGGTGTCCCGAAATTACATAGAAACAATCAGATTCTAGAACCAAAAATTGTAAAGAAAGTTTATATAAACCTGATCCCAGAAATGGGCCCATGAGGAGTTATAGCCATCTGAAAGAGGGCCCGAGATGATGGATTTTTGTGAATATTTCCAAAACTAACACGGCTGTCGGCCATATCTCAGCAACGAATAATGATACAAGTTTGAGATAGAATAAATCTAACGGTATGCATATCATTACACGATGTAATAGAGAAACAAAATCTCAACAGACCAACGGAAACCGCAACATGATAGCTTTTCGCCAACGGAAGATATTGACTATCAAAGTTAAAAGAATGATAGATATGACAGCCATTCTAAGTTGTTCTCCGGGTACATTACTTTTTATGCTCGATTTGGAAATGTTGAGAATTTTCCGGAATTTTGAGCTGGGGCGTGGAAAATAGGTGGTGCTACGGGAATTTCTACCCCAATTTTTTTTCTATGCAATTTTTGGCAAAACTCGGACCCTCTTTCAGTGGTTGAAATCTTTCTATGTAATTTTGGGACACCCTGTATATACAACATTTAGCTTTAGCATCGACGTAGGTTCTACACCTATAGATTGCACCTATCATAGGACACATTTTTTGGCACATCTTTTGAACATGCTCACTCCAATCTAGGGACTCGTCAATTGTGAGACCTAAACTTTGTGTATTTCACTTGGTTTAAAGTTGTTCCATCTAATTTTACAATCATTTCATTCACGTTAGTATTCTTCTGTTTAAAAATCATCTATGCACATTTTGACTCATTAACCTTCAGCTTATTATGTAGTAGCCATTTTTTATATAATATCAGATCTTCATTGACTTTTATTTCCATGTTTTTCAATGTTGTGTCAGTATACGCCAGTGCAAAAGTGAAGTACCTAGCATCCAAGTTCGCTTTTTGTAGACTCATTACATATATATACTAGCGGCCCAATTACAGATCCTTGAGGAACACCCCTTTTAATATCTAATAACTCACTTTTGGTGTTATCCATAACATCAAATTGCTTACTATTGGTCAAATATGAATTTATAAATACATTTATATTCCCTCTTATGCTCATTTGATCCAGCTTATACATTACAGTTTTATGGTCCACTACACCAAAAGCGTTCTTCAGATCTATAAATACTGTAGTAACATATTTCTTTTCATCAAGATTTTTATTGACATAATTCACAAAGTCAGTTGCCGCACACAGTGTATTACTATTTTTCATAAAGCCATATTGATATGGATCAAATCTGCCATATATTATGCCTTCAAAAACTTTATGATCCTAGTTTAAATTACTATCTTTAGTATTTTGGCAAAGTTGCAGTCAACACAAATTGGCCTATAATTACTCATTTCATTTTGTGAGTCAAGTTTTGTATATAGGACTGACCTTACTGATCTTCAGCACTTAAAATTTTTTCCCTATCTGTAATGATCTGGTCGTTCAAGGATATACATTCTACATTTTGTTTTTCATTTCCCTCACCCTTAACAAAACCATTTATGCAATGCCACTGTTTCTCACTGTTTACACCTGATTTATTCCATTCATTTCTGAAGTAATCATGCTTAAGTGCTCGACTTTTATATCCATGATGAATTTGTCACCTAATTTTCTTTCAGCTTTTTCTTCGAATCAGAACGAGGTCTCTTCCCGAACACAGAATTTGTTTTTGATCTAGAACTTCCAGTAGATTTTGTCCCTGAAAATGCTGACGGCGAGGTAGAAACTTTTGAGCTTGTCCCGGCTTGTCAATGTTTGGAAAAATTGCTCTCTGAAGATTTCAAAACAACTAGTACACCAGTTGCACTAGACTTTCTTATCAGGCATGGAGTAGTAACAGCAGAAAACGGTAAGAAAATTTGTTTGCAAAAGTTCCTTGTAAAAGTTAAATCCTGGATCTGGAATAAGATCCAAAATAATAGGCCGAAATGCAAGAGCATTATTTTAATATCAAAATGAAATTGACTAGTAGAAATCAAAATTCAAAAAAATTATCAGTGTCTTTTCTCACGCAAGTTTTCTTTGTAAAACTGATTGCCTTTTGTTTGGTTTTTGGAAGTCTGTAAAAGTGTGAGTTTAATCGATTTTCAGGCTACTATTTAGCTGATGAAGATTTTGTTTCAGAGGAAGAATATTTGAAAATAATAGAACTATTACATGTTCCCCTGCAGTCTGTCTACCAAAAATTCTCCAAATCGAATGCCAATGACATAATTAAAGAAAATGGAACCTCTCTGTGTTTGAGGAATATATAAATAGTAGTAGTGTTTTACAATTCATGATTTTTTGTTCTAGGAAATATGAGCCTTATGCCTCAATATTTTATTTGAATTATTCGGAAAATATACAGAGCGTTTTCAGTTTGTTGATGAACACTTGGAATTGATTGTGAAAATAGCTGTATATTAGGCGAAAATTAATAAGCTATCTCAAGAGCTAGTAATGAATTTGTGACTACTATTTGTCAATTTTTTTTTACTCCATAGTATTTTATACAAACTAAGTAGATGGAAATAACCTGCTATTCATCTGAATCTAGTCACCCGAGAAAATTTCTGCACAAACATTTCGAATTTCATCCACTTTTTTACCTTAATTTTTTTTTGTCATTTTTCTTCTTCGGAGCAAATTCCTCAAATTTTGGTTCAGTCAAATGATTCTTGAGCCAAATTGAATTATTATTTTATTTTCATGATCATTGACGTTTTTTAAGGAAATACATATTTTTATGCACGGGCGTAACTTGTTTTTATGGATCTAGCCGTTAATAACCCTCATTATCGCTCAGGCATAAAAGCCTACTTTACGCCCTTGATACATGAATAACTATTATTGATTCCTACTATATCTTTCTACATTCATTGATTATTCTATGGTGTATGAAAGAAACATGCACCTAAAAGGTACTTGGCTATACAAGATGACTCAACAAAAAGAAGGTATTTCAATTTGAAGAAAAAAAATTGACCGACGCTGGCTTCAAAATAAAAAAAAAAGAAATCAGTGCCTCTTGGAAAGTTATTTTACCCACTTTGTAGTATACACGAAATTTTCGAAATATTTCTTCACACGAAATTCAGTCGCAAAAAGAGTTGAAAATGGGGTATTGGAATGTTTGAGGTTGAACCTATTTTAACGGCTTGGCCCACTATTGTTATGCTAGGTGAATATTTTTTATTTATTGCAAATGTTATGTGTGGTCTCGAATTCAATAAAAACATCACCATTTAAACTAGTCAAAATGCAGCAAAGTTACCACATATATTTGTACAGGGTTATCCATCAAAGAGACCTACCCCTATATTCACGTTATAATAGCATGATGAATCACATTTTAGATTTTTGATCAAATCTGTGATTTTTTGTGATCAAGAAAAACATTTACAGTGTGTCCAGCTTCAAAGTGTATCCATTCTCGTATTCGGAGTTCTATGAAACTCCGTATACGGGTATTTGAGCCATAAGAACATGAAATATGCGATCGGATATCCAAAGAAAATAATGCCTAATATAGCTTCCTGATTTTTGTGACGTATTTTGAAAAAATATATTGGGATTTTAACCTTCATTTTCCCGCGCTGTCATTCTGTCAAAAATTATATGTTTTTGACGCAAAGTGTGATATGTCAAAATATTAATTTTGCCAGAACAAATCGGAAGATATGTTTCTACTATATTCGGTTGTGTAAACAAATAATCATATGATAATCAGTCACATAATTGAATGAACAATTATTATATACTTCAATACTACTACCAAATAATCACACTTGATGATCACGTGATATATGCCGTCAGATGGCACATTGCTTAGCATTAAAACACAATTACACTTGAAGCATAGTCCGCATTTTTTCATAACAACGTATACAGGGTGTTGAGAATAAGTAACCACTTGTGAATCGTTGATGAATAACCCTGTACAATCTAGACCAGTGGAAAAAGTCCGAAAGAGAAACCATTTTTCACTTTGTAGCAGCATTGACCATTCTCGAATTTTTATTTGCATGATTTGTGGTTTGAACAACAATGCATATTTATGATATTGTATGTGATTTTGTATTATATCTTAGGAGCGTACTAATTCATTGTGATAAAATATGTTGGTTTTTGCAAATGTGTCAAACTGTCAAATGTAGTCAACGAAAGCATTTACACAACAGAATAAAAAATATACATTCCACACGACGTGGTTTCATTTTTATTCCAGCATAAAAATCGTTTTCATAATTTCAAAGTACTGACTGTTGATCCGGTAGGTGAATTTTTGTCTTCCAACTGTGTCTCTGCTTTCCAACACCTGTTTGAAAATTTTGTACCAAAAGATTATTGCTTTGATGCCATATCATATTTTTTTACCTTTCTCGAATTTTGTTGCATATCAACAAAAACAAAAGTGGAAATGGGGTGAGAATTGCGATAGACACTGGAACAACTGAAAGAGATACAATTCAGCAAAATATCAATAAAGGACCCCGCACTTTCCTTATGGAAAATGGCTTTCGGTTAAATTCCCTGAATTTTTGGTATAATGTAGATTTTGACTTCCTAAGCAAAAGTGTTCAGGGGCACAATGAAATCGTTTGACTAGTTTTCGAGATACAGGGTATCAAAGATAAAAAGGGAAGCTTTCTGCTCAGAATTTTTAACAACTCCGAGAATTGACAAAACGGCCATTTATTCATGGAATAACATGCCTGAATGATGGTACAATGTCATATGGATCTCGTATCCATTATAATTTTACGTTTCGGGCTCTACAACAGGGCGAACAAAGAAAAATCCAATTTGATTAATTTTAAACCAACCAGGGTAAGTTCTTTCATGAGAATTAAGGATCCAACTGAAGCCTGGACGAACTTCCTCAATCTCGATCGAAGTTTACTGAATTTTTTTTTCTATATACAGGGTGGTTCGAAAATAGGGGTACGTCAATCCCTAGTTTTTTGAATCGGAAAGGGGAGAGCATGTCATATATATATCAGACATTCTTTAATGTTGAGAACGTCGCATACTCAGTTCATATATATAGGGTGAGGAAAAAGATACAGTCCAAGTTTCTTGAAAAAATGCGGTTTTTTCAATGAATACCCTGTATTTCGAAAAAGAATCGGTTAATTTTCTTGAATTTTTGATATAATGTACGATTTGAGGATTCAGAGATATTGTCATCAATATTAGCATAGGTCTCCGGACTCGTTTGTCGGCTATATACTTTTGAATGTACGGGTTTTATTAATACCTGATATACTCCATTGGAATCCAAAATGGGCTATTTTCTAACAATTTATGTTGAAAAATATTTCGACTAGATTAGTGCGGTACCTATTCCAAAAATGCATTACCTTATATATAGGGTGAAGGAAATGTTTTTCATTTGAAAGCCCTATTTCCGAAGAAACTAGAGAAAATTGAAATGTATCAGGAGCAATAACCCTCTCAAGGTTGGAACTAATTCTACAGTATTTGAAAGGTATTTCAATTCAGATAAAGAAATATTTTATATGATTTTTGTGAAATGTGCGGTTTCTACAAAATTGGGATATTTAGTAAATACTCAATGAACAAATGAATGGTGAAGGTATTATACCTCCCAAAATTCAGAAGTCCGCGAAAAGAAATATGTACGTTTTGTGGTCATTTCTTCTTTGAATTGGAATAGCTTTCAAATACTGTAGAATTAGTTCCAACCTCGAGAGGGTTATTGCTTGAAAGAACTTACCCATATGACATTGTACTATCATTCAGGCATGTTATTCCATGAATAAATGGCCGTTTTGTCAATTCTCGGAGTTGTTAAAAATTCTACAAAATCTACATCATACCAAAAATTCAGGGAATTTAACCGAAAGCCATTTTCCATAAGGAAAGTGCGGGGTCCTTTACTTGATACAATCTTACCTGTTGTCAGATCAGCTTCAGGTTGTGGTAAGGTGAATCTCAGTAGAAATATAGCTATGCCAGTATTTTGAATGCCTATTTCTATGGATATAGCTGTACAATCCGGTCCTGTCCGTCTCAACAATTTAGAGATTGAAAAACCAATTAAATACCCAATCCATGGTACTGCCATACCTGCTATAATTATCTGAAATTACTTAGATGGGAAAAATAATCTTGAAAAAAAAATTCGATGTCTTAGAACAGGGAAGAAAAAGTATTGTTCAGAATGTCAATATCAAATTTCAAAATCCTTGAACGAACATATTTTATTTATTTAGATTAGATTAGAATTTAATTCTGAAGACATTTATTGTATGTTACCACATGAAAAGGTGCTTCACTGAAATTAAAATGTTCATATATATGTGGTTTGATTATTCAACTTTTTTTCACTCAGATTATTAGTTGACCGAATTATTTCTTAAAATCCATCATTGAATTGATGAAGAAAGGACCCCGCACCGCAATAGGGGGAAATTGGCTTTCGGTGAATTTTCTCGAATTTTGGATATATATAATAGTAGAACCCGCGTGATGCTGATCAGATGTCCCAATTATCAACGCTCTAAATTCAATAGTTTTGATTATACAGGGTGCTGGAGTTGACTTTTTCAAAATGTCGAATGACCATTGTGAAGTTTCCTTTTTCGAATACCAAAATCAAATCGACTATGTTTTGTTGGTCCATGTGGACGGTGAAAATCCACTATAGAGTTCAATGATATCTGCCCGTACTCACGATATACATAGTTGGTCCAAAAATAGCAAAATGTTCCAATTATTTCCGAAAAAGTGAGCGGTTGAAATCAATTCATATTTGGACATTTCTTGAATTATTCCACATATTATACACAAGATGTTCAAGTTTCCTTGAAACCGCACCCGTCCTAATATTCATATCCATCGAATGATTGGAATCCCGTAAAACTTGGTGAGGGAGTTACTGATTCGTGATGACAATATTTTATGCAAATACCTGAATTATACAGGGTGCTTGTGAAAGTAGTAGTAGTAGTAGTAGTAGTAGTAGTAATAGACCGTACGTTTCGAAGGGCCAGTAACTTCAATCATGCTTGAAAGCACTGAGAACTGCCGCTACTAGTAAAGTATATTACTTATAGACGAGAATAGTTTTTCTGATGAAGAATTCAAGTCTATTGCCCCACTTACGAAGGAACAGTGCAATGACTAATGTACTTATTGTGTACCTGTACCAAGGCAGAGATTAACTCATCTCTGACCAAGCAGCGTACATACATTATGTACGCTGGACCAAGGCAAGATAGAGGTGAGAGACGTATTTCAAAAAAACATTCATTGGCATTTTTATGCAAATTGTGTACGATATGTAGTCTGATTCAAGTAATGCAATCATCATGTATCGATGTTGATATTAGTATACTACGAAATGTCCAAAAACGAATTGATTTCAACTCCTCACTTTTCCGAAATAATTGGAACATTTGCTATTTTTCGACCAACTCTGTATATCGTGAGTACGTGTAGATATCATTGAATTATATTGTGGATTTTCACCGGCCACATGGACAGACAAAACTTAGTCGATTTGATCTGGGAATTCAAATAGGAAACCTCACCATGGCTATTCAAAATTTTGACAAAGTCAACTTCAGCACCCTGTATAATCCAAACTATTGAATTTGAAGCGTTGATAATTGGGACATCTGATCAGCATCACGAGTTCTACGATATATCCAGAATTCGAGAAAATTCATCAAAAGCCAATTTCCCCCCTATTGCGGTGCGGGGTCCTTTGTGATGAATTTTGAAAATGAAATTTTTTCGACTTGCATACTCAAGAAGAGGGGCCATCGAGGAAACATGATTATATAAGTACTAAAATGGAAACCAATCAATAAAATTCAGATATCATGAAATGAATAGCAATCAAGTCTTTATCTTGATTTTTTCAGAGAATAGTTTGAAAAGGTAAAGAAAGAAGGAATATACACAATTACACATTGACTAACGATTCACAATTCCTAGGAGAAGCAGAGCAATAGGGAAAATAATGAGAACCAATCAATTCAAATATCATCAAGTGAATATCAATTGATTTTTTATCTTGATTTTCTCACAGAAGTTAATTTAATTTTTTTGAGTTTTTATCGTTTGTGAAGTTTTTACATTTCACAGCAGATAGTTTCAAATAAGAGAAAAAGAAGAATAATAGGCCAATAACACCGTCTCCGAGAAAGAACTGCAAGTCTGTAAATTACTAAACAACCACTAAATTCGCAATTTTCGAAATCAAATCACAGAATTAAACTGAGAGATATTTGATTACTTCACAAGAATGATGAAGATGCCTGCAACGCAGGTGTCATTACTGTTAAAAACATCAAATTTCACGCCGATAATTTTTCGATTTCAATATAATGTAATATACTGTCTGTAGGTTAATCGAGGAGGTGGTACATTCATTATTCCAAATTTTTTGGGATTTTCTCTCCTCGTTTCTATAAAATAGAAATATGAATATTATTTCAATATACGTGTAGTAAGGACATGAAAATGGTAAATTCAAGATTAATTAATGAAAACATCCTGTAACTCATTTGATTGCCAACGTCACCAATTGTCAATGAAAACTGAAAAGCTTCAAGACATAATATACGACTTCGCTATTGAAATAATCTTTTCTTATGTTGAAAACGGGTGCAGAATCGGTCCCGAAACGTCCAAAGATAAGTGGAAATTTGATATTTCTTCTATATACCTTTATTTCTCTTCTCCAAACTTTTGTCAATACAAATTGTCACTGACAAGCCAGTGAATTTTCCTTTTAGGCTCTCTGATAGGAAAATTCTTTAAACGCAGTGACATTTTGGGGCAAATCATCTGATTTGTCCTTACTAGAGTCCCTGTATAGAGATTGACGGCACAGCAGACTCTTTCAATTTGAAATCCATCAGCTTGAAAGAATCTCTATCAAAATGGGCCTAAAATTTATCTTTTTTGTACTGTTTTTACAAGTGAATTCGAATATTCACCTCACATATTGCGGATTTCTTGAAATTAATTTTCCATTCTGGACGTTTCATTGCATTCTTCCATGACATTATCTTTAAAGGATCATTCGGTAAATTGAATAACTCGAATCCCTTTTCTAATGAATTATCGCAATAATGTACGCAGCCGGACATTAAAATGTAAAATTTTGGCGGTCATAAAATTTCAAAGTGATAGTGACAGAAATTCGAAATAATTAAAAAAGTGGGCGAGACGACTATGGTGTTTCGTCACATTGTCAGGTGGTCAAACCAAATGAAACAAAATATTAAAAACCCCAACGGCTCTCAGTTTTGTGTCCGGACTCTTGTCTAAAGTATATACAGGGACTCTAGTCCTTACTACACGCATATTGAAATAATATTCATATTTTCATTTTATAGAAACGAGGAGAGAAAATTCCAAAAAATTTGGATAATGTAATATCTTCTCAATATTGATTCGTCCTTATTCCTGCCACAGAAAAAAATATACGGGAAAAATATTAGATTTTAGCTCACGGTTTTTTGGTTCCCTCCGCTCACGTTGGGAGACAACACAACCTGGAGCTGAAATCTCCTACTTTTTTCCCTTGTATAATAAATAACTATTACCTCATAGGAGAATAGCTTGAAAAGCCAGAAATTCGCTACTATAGCAAACACGACGATAAACACCAGCAGAACCGTGGAAAAAACCTTCATAGCCCGCACCAAAAAATTCGACACCCTCCTCAAATACCTCTGTATCAAATACCCAACCCCCAGAGGCACTAGGAGCCCCACGACGTACGACATTATCTGCGTGTAGGGCACTTCGAGGTTGCCGCTCTCGAAAATCGTTCTACCGAGCGTGAATATCCACAGGGGCATCATCGCGAAAGCGGCTATCGTGCTGACAGCCGACATGACGATGGACAGGTCGATGTTGCCTCCAAGGAGGAGGGTCCACAAGTTGGAGGCGCCTCCTCCCGGGGAGCATCCCGTGAAGAACATGCCCAGCTGCATCGCTGGGTTGGATGGGAAGAGGACCAGACCCAGACCGTAAGTCAGCTGAAAAGAAATTGTTCATTAACCCAAAATTTGTCTGCCTGCCAATTGCGCTATAGTCACAGTTTTTTTATCGCTTGGAGCGCACGAAAGGGAAGCCCTATAATGTTCAAAGAACATCGTGCGTTCCTAGGGAGGATAGGGATAGGAGGTAGGTTTTGGAATTTTTTTGGAATTTCTGGAGATTATATGTTGTTGGGAATACTTCCTCAGGCAATGAATTCCAGAGCCTAGCCGTTCTATGGATGAAGGAGTCTTGATAAAGTGCTGTACTACATCTTTTGAGGTTGACAACGAAAGGATGTGCTGACTGGGCTTGTCTAGTTCGCCTGACTGGTATTTCTAGTGAAGGGATGATAGCAGAGATTTCCGAAGAACAATTCCCGTGGAAGTATCGATAGAAAAGTGAAAGGTCGCCGACCTTTCTTCGCTGTTCCAATGATGTCAAAGAGTGAGTGAGTGTGGCGTCACCCACCAGGCGGATGGCTCTTCTCTGGATGGAATGTAAGAACATCAGCGTATGTTTTGGTGCTGAACCCCATATGTGGGAACAGTATTCTAGAACAGGCCGTATCTGCGCTTTGTAGACAGCATTGACCTGCCTGCGCCGTGAGTTCTTAGTTTCCTGGGAAGAAATGGGAATTCTCAGTTACTCCCAACAGATCATTGATATGAAGAAGGAATAATGTTGGTGCCAAAATTGATCCTTGTGGAACGCCGGAATTGATGCCAATTGAATCAGACGATACACCGTCCACCACCACATGAAGCGATCTGCCTGAAAGAAAACTCGATAAGAGATGGCATAGCTGAGGTGGTAAGCCGTATGATGGTAGTTTGTGGAGGAGTCCTTCGTGCCAAACACGGTCAAATGCTTTCGATATGTCCAACGCGACAGCTAGAGATTCCCCGTGTTTTTCTAATAAAGCTTGCCATAAATGGGTGACGTAGGCAAGTAGATCTCCAGTAGATCTTCGGTGGCGAAAGCCGTATTGTCTATCATTGATGATTCCCGAGCTCTCCAGATACCTACTTGATAAGCTCAATATTGATGGCTTTCTACATCACTTTGGAGATTTCTGATAACAGGGCAATGGGCCTGTAGTTGGGCAGGTCCTTGTTCCCTTTTTTGGGGTGTCCGCTAAAAGGAGGTCAATCCATTAACCATATATTCCTTGAACAAAAACAATATTAGTTTCCAAATACCATTTTTCATTTTAGCACTTCATATTCGATATACAGGGTGTCAAAGTTGGAAATTGAAAGCTGTTTTTTTTAATGACTCGCGTATTTAATAAGATTAATCTCAAAATTAGAACATTACTTCAGCATGAAGAGTTACATCGTGTGAGGAAAACAAAACAGAAAATAACTGTCAAATATTCAAAATACTGGGGACCAAGTACAAACTTACCCCCATATTTTTTTTGTACGTGTGCTAATAACTTCCCATCAATTCTTCTTCTAGTATTCAATCATTTTAGAGTATTTTTTGTCTCTTGTAAAATTTCGATAAAATTATTTGTTTTTAGGATAATTCGAAAAGTACTGGTTATTGTTTGATGCCTATGCGGCTAACGGTAATCTCATAATGTTCACATATACTCTTATTTATTTCGTCGAAATTGGCAGATGGCGAAATTTTTTACGTACGAAAAGGTAAATATGGAAATACCGGGTGCTCAGAGCGAATGTATTGAAATAATTTTTACAACAAAAAAATTGATAGACATTCAACACATTTAATTTAATTTTCAACTTTGACACCCTGTATATCGAATATGAAGCGCTAAAATGAAAAATGATATCTAGAAACTCATATTCTTTTTGTTCAAGGAATATATGGTTAATGGCTTGACCTCCTTTTAGCGGTTATACAGGGTGATTCATGAGGAACTGTACATGCTCCTACTACGAATGGAGGCACCTGAGGGGAATACGAAATGACCATCAGAAAGTGTCTCCGCCTCTTCTAAAATAATCTATAGGGTGATTAATGGAATATGGCCAAAACTTCTTTCAATCATAACTTTTCAACAGTTATTCCGATTCCTTTCATTTTTTTATGGATTATTATGCTGTCGCTCAGCAATCGACTGACGTATTCAGAATCGTAAAGATCCAGGACCGGTCTTGAGAAATTCTGCCAATTTGGTTCATATCAAAAATTTCACCCTGTATAAGGTTTTAGTAAACTGTGATATGGAATTTTTGAAGTTGATGAACAGGCAACCAGAATGAAGTATTCGAAATTTTCCTCACACTTTCATTGAATTTCTTAGAAAATGATTAATTTATACTACACGCGAAACTTGGGCAACAAATGTATTAATTTGAGAATTAATACTTCGCAATGCATGAATTTAACGAATAAAAGTAAGGATAAAATTATTCCCAATTCTTCAGCTCAACAATAATCAACATTCGTCTATTTCCAGGCTTGGATTCAGTAATTTTTTGGTAGAAGGTAATAATCACCAAAAATCTCACCCTGTATATGATTTTAGTAAACTGTGACATGAAATTTCTGAAGTTGAGAAACAAGCAACCATAATAAAGCATTCCAAATTTTAACACGAAACTCTAGCAAAAAAATGAATTAATTTTAAAATAAATACTTCGCAAATAATTGCCAGGGTTGTATTTCTTTTCTTGTGGAAAGTAATAATCATCCTGTATGATGTTATAGTAGGTAATGTGATGGACGAATGTTATAGCTTGAATCATTTAAATATTCTGAGGTTTTTAATCGATTTGTAATACAGATTCTGAGTATTTCTGAATATTCCAGATTTCAGTTGATGACCCGTCTGTTGAAAGAAATTGCCTGGAAAATTCTTGATTTGAATTTTCATAATATTGAGGATTTCTAAAAAACACTACAAAAGATTTTTGCGTCAATGATTTTCAAGATTTGCACATACCATTATGATAAAATCATACAGTGTGACTAATGCTATTACCGTCTACCAAAAAATTACTGAATCCAACCCTGGATATGGAAGAATGTTGATTTTCAGTGAGCTGAAGAATAGGAAATGATGTTATTCTTGCTTCTATTCGTGAAATTCTAGCGTTGCGAAGTATTAAAATTTTCAAATTAATACATTTGTTGCCAAAGTTTCGCGTGTAGTGAAAATTGATCGTACTCTAAGAAATTCGGTGAAACTCTGAGGAAAATTCAAAATACTTCATTTTGGTTGCCGGTTCATCAACTTTGACAATTCCATGTCACAGGTTACTAAAACCTTATACAGGGTGAAATTTTTGATATGAACCAAATTGGTAGAATTTCTCAAGACCGGTCCTAGATTTTTACGATTCTGAATTCTGAATAAAATATTTGTCAAAATGAACAATGGGCCTTTCTAGAAATAATATATCTTGAAATATATGGCTCTGGAATGCCCTAAAATAATTTCTTGAGTTTTTTTTTTTTTTTTTCATCAAAATAGTGAATTCGAATTATTAAATAAAGGTGTCGGTGGAAGAACAGATTTGGCTGTTGCTGAAAGCTGAACCGAAAACCTATATTACCTTTATAATTATTGTAAGTACCTATGTATTGCCACAGAATACTCAACAGTATTCTGTGGTATTGCCATGTAACACATTTTGATGATGGGTAATAAAAGTTTTATTATCAAGTTATCGTATAAAAAATTATGGAAAATGCCAAAATTAACGAGCGAATTTAAATGATCAGACATGGCCGCGAAGCGTGTGACGTCAGTGCGCGAGCAATTATGATTGATGATTCCTTGACCTTCTCGCGGGTGCCAATAAAATGAACGATGGACTTGACAATGTTGGCAATCAACTTTTTCATTTTAGCAAATAATACAGATGCTGTTAGTTAGATAACTCAACTTACTCAACTAATAACTATACTTACCTGAAAAGTCGTGGTAACGAAAATTTGCTTTAAATAATTAGTTAGTTGTTTTTATTTCTGTTGGAGGAATATTCAAAATTGTAAGTAAAATTACATTTTGTATTGAATTACAGTACAGGTATTCGAAGCAATTTTTAATACGTATATGATACTCACCTATGTAACTACCTCTATACCTATCTACCATAGGGAAAGAAACAAATTCTGAATCAATCAATACTAAATTGCTTACTTGGTTCTTTTTCTCTCGATTTTAGTCAATGATATTGAGAAATAAGAAAAGTGGAGTTATGCATGGAATAAAATATTTTTAATTTGACAACAATGTGTTAGCACCATGCAGTTGCTCCATCTCTTTCTCCTGTAGATATTGTTGCCAGATAAGCTATTAAATTTTCCAGGAATGAGTGCTTGAGATATAGTAACACTGTTCAATTTATTTATTAAAATTTCAACATAACTGAAATCAAACTAAAATTGAAAACAATCTAAATTACCATCAAATGACGAAAAGAAAAAACTGTTGTTATTGTCATGTCAAATAACTGCGTGTTTTGACACTGATGGAGGATTACTCCAACAATTCGGTGCATCAGAGAGTGACGTCACTTCCATCAATGATGAAAATGTGTAAAAAAGAACATACCTATTTCAAACTTTTTCCTGCCCCAGAAAAAACAGTCTTAATGCATTCTGGATTCTTCACTTATGTAAGTATTGTGTAAGTAGTAACGTGGTTGTAACTGAGGCATCTTAGTAGTAAATACAGGGTGTCTTATAATAGTCATGAAATACCTAGGCATAACTAAAAATTACGTTCGACTCAACTTGAGGAGGAAAATTGCACTTTTCATTAAAATATCCAAATAATTCATTTTTCATTCATATTTAACTCACCAGTGGCATCATGATGAATTGTCCGAAGAATCCAATGGCAGGACCGATTGGGTTCTTCAAAATATTCTTAAGTTCGGCCCAGTCCATTGCACATCCAAAATTTATGTAGCTTAAACTTACTAGCGTTGCTACAGATGCGATGAAAAGTGTGTCTATAATTTTTTCTTTCCTAATCACTGTCACTTCTAGGCTTGAAGAGATGTTTTCTTTGGTTCGGACATTCTCACAGTAAATAGAAGTTTTTCCTAAAAAAATGCGAGTTAATTGGATAAAGTAGGTATAAGTAACAATTATTATTATAATACAGGGTGTTAATTAATAGAGTGCCGAAAAAACAACAAAAGGTATAAATCCGCGGGTGATTTTAAAAAGAAAAGTTCCTATCAACATAATGTCCTAATTTTCTTAGTTTTTGAGCTACAGGGTGTTAAATTCAAAGACGTACAGTTTTTTTTAATCAAATCAATAATACGCCTAGGTGAACGTAAACTGAAGGAAACAAAGTTTTTGGTTTTTATTTTTTTACGCGAAAACTACGTTGTATGGAAGTAAGTCCAAGATCCAAATTTGCTCCAAAATAAATGAGGTTTTCAAAGACATCAGTGGCGTACAATTTTTTTCTTCCAAAATTGTCAGTTCAATCTCCGTATGGACGTCACTGGTGAAAATTTTAAAAACTCTTTCACGTCAAAAAATGCTCCTTAATAAGGAAAAGGTGTGTACAAAATGTCACAAAAATATCTGAGTGATGAAAAATTAAGATGAAAAACTCACTTTTTCTTGAAATTTAAACACCCTGTAACTCAGAAAAACCAAGAGGTACTCAATTAATTAACATCCTGTATAAATCATCTATTGAAAGTCTCTGATATTAAACTTTCCTAACACATTGAAGATAAACTATTCTCAAGATTAAAGTAGGAATAACTCTTCTTTTGAAAATTGCAACATATTCAAAAGGACAGGATTTTAAATTTCCATAACTGCTTCAACCTGTGATTATTTTATTGCCTTTTCTTACCTAAAAATATTCCGGTAAGCTCGAATATCCCCTTTGTACCATTTCTGGTATCATTTTCGACTTTGGCGACACTCTCATTCTCACTGTAAATGATATAATCTGCAAAGAAATGTTATTTTTTCGTCAGTTGATTATTTTGACAATACAACTCACCTTCATTTTCAATATTTTCTTTGGATAGATTATATCCCACAGCAATGGTTTCATCTATAAAAATGGTAAGAACACTTGCATCAAAAGAAATTATTTGTGTTTCAGCACAGATTACTTTGCAAATTAAAAGGAATACTGCAAGTCTAACACTTTGGTTCATTATTTATAATTTCCAATGACTTTTTAGTTGTTACAAGGCCATGATAGTAGTCGATATATGAGTAGATACTGATAATATGATGATGTAGGAAATATTTTGTCACATAAAGATTATGTTCAGTAGATCAAATAGGATTAAATTTATTACCTTCATTATCATTGCTGCAGTGTATTTATGACACAGTAAATAGCGTCACACTTTTGGATAGTAACTTTCGGGAACTAAGAAACATACAAAATTCACCGGTCTCAAAGTTGTGTTCTCAAATAATTTTAAAACAATGGAAATGAAATCTGGAAGTATTTTCATGGTTAGAATGATTTTGATTTTTCCTTAATGGATTTTACAACTGTCAGTAGTATAGGTATCTCCTAGTCCTCGAGAAACATTACCTATTTTTGATTCTAACAAGTGAAACAGATTTTACAAAATGTAAGAGATAATATATATGCAATGATTTGAGACCATATTTTCCTCAGGTAAATTCGTTGTGCAAGAGAATTTTTTGTTTCAAAATGAAATGTTATTTTTTTTCATGATAGTTACCTCATCCTGATTTTGTCTTGGTTTGCCAGCTCCATATATCAATATAAAAAATGCATTTCTATAAATAAGTTTCAAAGTAGGCATTCCCAAATGTAATAACATAGCTATATATCTATAGGATTATTTCATAATCACCTTAATAATAAATTACATGATGTTGCATTAGTTCTATATTAGCATTTCACCGCCATATATGATTTCAAAAGCTGAATGAATGAATGAATTCATTACGTTCCAAAAAACATAAAAATGTCATCTAGGAACACATCTCTTACTAGTAACAAGTCACTATACCGGGTGTCAACGAATCTATTAGACAAGTCATAACTTCTATACCATTAGGTGTATCAAAATGAGATTTGGTATAGGTAAATGCTATGTGAAGAGAAGAGTTTCCACATATTTGTCACTTCCGGTTTCACCGGAAATGGCTCCGGTTCTACATTTTTAAATGGAACACCCTGTATATTGTAACATTTTTGGATTTCTGAGACAATTCTAGATCAGAATGTGACATTTTCGGAAGTTTTTATGCCTACTCAAGTCGGAGTCACTTTTGAAATTACGTCTAGGTGGCCATGTTCGGAAGTAAACTAATCTAAGGACCTCAGGTGATATCAGAAAATTACAATCGCGAAGTTTCAGTAACAAGTATGATAGATATGAGTAAGATAAGTTGGCAAAATTATATTTTCGTGTCTATTATTTTTCAAATGGCGACCATTTTTTGACAAGCACTCTCTGAAAGAAGGATATTTTGACGAATCTAACGATACTAATTTATTTGCGATTGGATTACAAATAAGAACATAAATTGAATATTAAATATGTGTCTTGAACAAGGAGGAATGCACTTTGAAAATTTTTAAATTAGGAAATGAAAAAAAATGTAAGTGTATCGCTGAAGTTATTGTTAATTTTGTTAAATCTGTTGATCCAATCGCAAATAAATTAGTATCGTCTGATTCGTCAAAATATCCTTTTTTCGGGAAGTGCTTACAAGTAAATGAATTATCAACGATGGCACACTTGACAAAAGTGAATAAATTATTATGAAGTATTTTCGTCAGTTATATTTAATTCATGTTCTTATTTGTAATCCAATCGCAAATAAATTAGTATCGTTAGATTCGTCAAAATATCCTTTTTTCGGAAAGTGCTTGTCAAAAGATGGTCGCCATTTGAAAAATAATAGTTGGTCACGAAAATTTAATTTTGCCAACTTGTCTTATTCATATCTATCATACTTGTCACTGAAACTTCGCGATTGTAATTTTCTGATATCACCTGAGGTCCTTAGATTAGTTTACTTCCGATCATGGTCACCTAGAAGTAATTTCAAGTGACTCCGAAAAAATTAAGTAGGCATAAAAACTTTCGAAAATGTCACATTCTGATCTAGAATTGTGTGTGTTCCATTTCCGGTGAAACCGGAAGTGAAAAATATGTGAAAACTCTCATCTTCACATACCATTTACCTATACCAAATCTCATTTTGATACACCTAATGGTCTAGAAGTTATGACTTGTCTTATAGATTCGTTGACACCCGGTATAGTTTTACAAATTACATAATATCGGACATAATGATTAGATTATTGATTCAAACCTGTATCGATTTAGTGAATATACCCTAGTTTGTACAATAGTAATATATGGGTAACCTTTTTCACTGAACTATAAGTATCTATAATTGTTTTCCTTTTAAATCCAACCTCCTAATCTCTTAATGCTAACTGTACAAATCATAACTTCAGTGGAATGTGAGACTTAAACAAAGCTTTGAATTTTTTTACACCTCTTTTTATATTTAGGGTATTTTGTTGTACTCTGAAACTCCATTATAAAATATTGAACTGATTCCATATAGTTCGTCATTACTCTTGGGACTTGAAAATGTCAACAGTTTCGAGTATTATATCCGTGAATTTCCTCTCTAGTTTGGAATGTAATTTGTGAATGTCTAGCACTATTTACTATCTGATGTATGAATATATCTATAAGATTTGTTGTATAGCAGTTCAAACAACCTTTAAAGAAGGCTATGAAAGTTCTACTTTTAGGGAGGATTGCCATGGAATAAAACAATGTGATATAATTAAAACTTCTACCTGGTATATAAATATCGATAATACAGATAAAAAATATTATTCACCAACAAACAGAGATAAAATTATTCACAAACATAATAATATCAACACCTTTTCTTGAATAATTCAAGTATACCAGGGGACACACCAGAAAAATCGCAGCCGGTCATTCTCTTATTAATATAAAATTCACAGGAATTACTCAAATAATGGCACTCTTCAACTTGAAGTAACCCAAACTTTCTCAATTTTTATGGAAGCCTGGACATTTTTACAGCTAACACAACTTGACCAATCCCTGCTGCTAATCAATTTTTGAGATCTAAATGGATATATTTAGTGGCTGCAACTTATCTCCTATATCTCCTGGTATATAAAAACATCTTGGATGAATTAACAGGAAATACTGGATTTTTTTAATAGACAATATCACACCTATCACACCTCTACAAGAAGCAAAATGAGAGCAAAACTATAGTAAACTGAACATATCTTAAGAAAAACGAAAAATATGCCTGAACATTTTACTTTTGATTCACCAGATAATAATTTGAGCATCTGGATTCCTCCACTAATGATTTATGGAGATTGAACATTATAAAAACATAAAAAATTACGGAAAATGAGACAACTTCAACTTAGTTCTCAGAAGTAAATTTTCGAAACTGAAATAACCACAAAGATTTCAAAGGGGATAAAAAACACATTCCAATAGAGACAAAAAAATATACTCAGAAAAGTTGTTAGATGGTGTTTTTGGTCAAGAGACGTTTTCGAAAAAATCGCAAATAAATATGAACAGACTAAAATTTTCACAATCAGTATTATACTTCACAGGCGAATGCCCCGTTAGCTGATAGTTTTCACAAGACTTATAGGCATTAGGTCTTTCGTGTTATTGTCAATTTTGGGGTCATCCTCACAGGGTATCCTGCAATGGGAATGACTCAGTCTCTCGTTGAGCTTTTTGAAAATGAACAGAAACAGCAGAGGAAACGGTGTTAAAATTGCAACCGACACAGGAGCAACTGAAAAAAAAAGAGGCACTTATTGTAGAAATAGAGGAATGATCAATTTGTATGCAATTACAAAATCGAACTTGCATAATCAAAGTTTTTGAGATGTTTTTGTGGAAAATAAAAGAAATATCGATAAAATTTGGACTCCTGTTATGACCTTTTATCATTTTTCATGATTCTGGCGTATTATTCAGTATATTTCCCTTTCAAATTGGTGGAAAAAATACTCTATTCGAATATAATTCCTCTAAACTTCATCAGATGATTTTTATTTGAGGCAAAAAAATGTGAACAAACCAAATAGAGCAGTTCAGCCAGCATAGAGAGAGAAAAAAATGTCTCCCCATCTGTCCTTGTCTTCAGTGTTCCAACATAAAATAATGAAAATTTTATGTTGGCAACACTGGAAATGTGGAAAAACGAAGAAGAAGACTATTCTAACCTCCTTTATATTGAGGTTATTTAGATCTTCTTCTCCACTTCTCCATTTTTTTCCATTTTCAATGTCACCAACATGAAATTTTCATTATTTTACGTTGGAACACTCAAGACAAGGACAGATGGGGTAGACGTTTTGCTCTCTCTCTGCTAGCTGAACTGTTCCTTCAAATAAAATCACTCATCCTAATAACGTACTAGTGATTTGATTGTTTTATCTTCATGGTTGTCCTATAATAAATTGAGTATAAATTACAGAAAATGCATTCATGTATATCTCTAAACGACGCCTCTCAAGTGAACTGAAATTTGATATTAAATTTAATAATGAAATCATCAAATATTCCACAGCCATCAAATTCCTTGGGATATTCCTTGATGAACATTTGTCATGGTCCAAACATATTGAATTGATCAGAAAGAAAATATCTCCAGTAATCGGAGTACTCTACAGGATCAGACAGCAAATCAATTTCAGATACTTAAAATGTATATATTTTTCCTTGGTTTATTCAAAATTACAATACTTGATTTCAGTTTGGGGTACAGCTAGGTTATCAATTATAAAGCCAATCAGAATCCTTCAAAACAAAGTTATTAAATGTATATACAAACTAGATTACTTGGAACCAACAAGAAATCTTTATAAACGTAGGCAATTGTTAGATATCAACTCCATTTACAAATTCAAAATATTAAATTTCATCCATAATGCAAATATAATCATGAACATTCAAATCTAAATTTTGAAATCAATAGTCATGAACATGAACACATAACCAGACAAAAAGATATATTAACTCTCATCAAAATTAAATCAGATATGGTTATAAGATCTATTTTATATAATGAATTATTTGCCACACTGAAGAAAAAATTAACTGTTGAGGAATTCAAAAAAGAACGAAGAAAATACTTTTTTCTTTGATTCTCTTATATCATCCTAAATCAATTCAAGAACTTATATTCAACAGTCACTAGAAGAAACAACATTATATGTACAATCCTTGATTATTATATACACTAGTTGAATACTCAATGGTACAATGAATATGATTTGAAAAATGATTATCTGATTATCTAATGTTTTTTTTTAGTTGCTCTTTCATAAATTTGATCATTTTACCTCTTTTTATATGGATATATATTTACCTGTTGTAAGATCAGCCTGAGGTTGAGGTAGAGCAAATCTGAGCAAAAAAATCGCTATACCAGTATTTTGTATGCCGACTTCGATTGCTATGGTAAGACAGTCTTCAGGTTTCTGATTCAACAACTTTGCTATCAGGTAGCCCGAAAGGTAACCTATCCAAGGCAGTGCCATACCTGCTAGGATTATCTGAAAAATCACCCAGTATATCAGTCAAACATAAATACAAAAAAAACTTGAGATGAAATCAATACTATATCAATAGGTGAAGAATCGAGACATAGTAAATAGAAAAAGATAAAAAAAACATCAGTATAACATTGTTCAGTGCATTGAGGAAAACTATATTTCGAAATGAGTGGAATACAAATGTGCCTCTCTCTTTATTTTTTCAAATATGCTTACATTAATAACAATGAAGATGATGCTGTGTAGTACACACTGTAAAACAAGGTGGTCGTCTAATGATCAATTATTATTATTTGTATTAAAAATACTTTTTTTCTGTGACGGGAAAAAAGTTTGGCATTTCATCTCTGTTGGCAGGTTATAAAATGTCACTTTTCATAAATTACTTTTTTCCCGTGGGAAAAAAGTGAGTACTTTTTTCCCGGATATATATCACATATATATACTCTGTTAATGGCTTTTGTTGTGCTATAGTTCCGAAAAATGAGTCAGTAATACCGTCTCCGAGAAAGAACTGCAAGTCCTTTTATCTTCCATTCGACTTCGCGGTTTCGTATATTACTAAACAACTACTGAATTCGCAATTTCTCAAAATCAAATCACAGAATTGAACTGACAGAAGTGACATCAGATATTTGATTACTTCAAAATAATGATAAAGATGTCTATAAAACGCAGGTGTCCCTACTGTTAAAAACTTGAAATTTCACGTCGATAATTTTCAGATTTCGAAATAATGTAATATCTTCTCAATATTGATTCGTCCTTCCTTCTGTCACAGAAAAAAATAGTGTATTATACACGGGAAAAATATTAGATTTTAGCTCACGGTTTTTTGTCTCCCTCCGCTACGCGTCGGGAGACAACACAACCTGGAGCTAAAATCTACTACTTTTTTCCCTTGTATAATAAATAACTATATTTCGATAGGCAACCCGGTAAAAATATATTCTCCCATTCATGAATATAATTATGAAATATATGATTTTCATTAAATAACCGATGAACGTAGTAATCTTGCGGTCGGATCTCGTACTATCTGAACAAGCCCGAACTGAAAGCCAAAGAAAAATAAGAAGAAGAATGAATAACATTCTGGAAGCTTTTTCGAGCATTGTAGACCCCCAAGGAGAATACGATGATCGACAGGAAAGAATAATTTGGGAATCTTCATGCACTGGAATATTTATATTAGATTACGGAGCATTTCTATATTCGTGTCACACCAAACAGTTTCCAATACTGTTCTTTCAATTTCAATAGACGAGTGGACTATTTTTTTTATCTCTTGAATAGAATCATCACTCAAATAGTAGTATTTGGGAGTGATCATTGATAATCAACTGAATTTTAACAGCCATTGTGAATACATTAAAAAGAAAATTGCGCGAAAAATAGGTTTCATGTACAGGCTTGGTGATAAAGTATCTCATTTCACGAAATTAACAATTTACAAGTCAATAATTTCACCTCATATTGATTATTGTGGTACTTTACTGAGTTTCTTGAGTAACGAACAGATTAATACACTGCAAAAAGTCCAAAATCGTGCAATGAGAGCTATCTTGGGTTGTAAAAGACGCACACCAGTCACAACAATGCTGAACACATTGCAATTAATGAATATCAAGCAAAGAGTTTCATATAATACACTTATTTTTGTTTATAAATTGAAAAATAACATGTTGCCTTTGTATTTATCAAGTGAGCTAAATTATGTTCAAGATGTACATTGCCACAATACCAGAAGACAAGCAGCGAATGATTTCTATATAAATTCAGTAAATATTATCTGTGATACTTTATATACAAAAGGTCTGGTATTGTTCAATAATTTGCCCTGTGAAATGAAAAGATTTGTGTCACTAGATAGTTTGAAAAAATCGTGTGTGTTATTTGTGAAAGAAAATTATTGATTGATCAATTGAGGAAGGAGAAATCTGTAAATTACCCTTATATTAAAATATGTGACGTAATTCATGTGTCTGTGTCTTAGTTCCATATTTCTATGTTTTTATTTATTGACTTATTGTATTTTATTGTAGATTCAACTGTAATGAAGAGCACTGTGCTAATAAAGTTTGATATATATAAATACCTTAATTTCATATTTTCAAGAACTTTTCGTTCGATTTTAAGGTGCTAAAATCAACAATCAATGGCTAGAAATTTACCGCGTAAAAACTGACGTTAGTCAGTTGAAATAAGATTGGAACTTCAGAAATATTAGTTATTAGTTATTCAATAATTCACAAATTCTCAATAATGTATTGGTTATATTCCTAATTAGACATAAAAAATCAATTGTCTCAGAATATTCCCTCATCTGTTGTGGCTTATTGCTTATAATACATTTGTGTTAATAATGAAATCATTATATTAATTCACACTAGAGAATATTTGAGGGTAAACGTGACAACACGGCGCACTCGACGGCGTACGAATTGTGGGCGATGACTTGTCAGTTCTCAGCATTCAGCACATTGTTGCCAAGTCTTTAACATCAACATGATATTTTGTTATGGAGTATAAGAGATATTTGGACATGCTGGTTGCTCGAAGAAGTCGAGAATGATTTATAATATCATGGTCTCCTCATATTATGTTTTATCTCGTGTTTTAATCAACGACAGGACTCCAACCTTTTTGATAAATTGATTATAATTGGTGACTTGACAACATTGCTTCATGAGTGGAAATGGAAGATTATTAGACCAATAACGAATCAGCATCAAAACTGACGTCACCATTTATTCGACGTATCGCCAAATGGCGGCCATGACGGTACGTTTGAAAAGAGCTCTGGAATTCAACAATTTTGAACAACGCATAGACTCATTATTTACACAAAAAAGAGCATGAGAAATGTTGCAAAAATTTATTTAGGTCCCTAAGGACACAGTGGAGTAATTGAATGCCATTATCAGTCCACTCGCCCATTCAATGTTGAGAAAAAATATATATAGGAAGTGTGGAAAATCATGAGCACTATGTTTTTCTTACCTGCCAAGAAAACAGTTCAAACAGGTAGAGATTCGTAACGATAGCAAACACAATAATGAACATAATTAGGCAGGAGGAAAACCCTTTGATTATCTTCGTCATGAAGTTCGCCACCCTCTTCAGGTACCTCTGGATCAAGTACCCAATAGCCAAAGGTACCACCAGTGCTATTACGTACGTCATTATTTGTGAATATGGCACCTGCAAAGATAAGAAAATTGAGTTGTTTCTGTGGAAATTATAATTTTGAAATTTTGTAATATAACGATAGTGAAAAATTATAGATACTATCGCAAAATAACATAATTTATCTTTATTAACTTCATTCAGCCAATGAGAGATTTATGGAAATTATTCATAATGCTTGACAAAGTAGGATTGAAGAACCTATTATATCCCATTGCTGTTATGATATAGTTACTATGCATTCAAAGAACAATTTCCGGAAATCTAGATAATTGAATATAATAATAATAATAATAATATAAGTTTATTCAAGAACGTTTACAAAATATACATTGGAATAAAACATATAGGTAATTTGAATAAACTGGGAAAAACCTTACGAAGTTAACCTTGTAGTAAGGATAAAAAATAAATAAATGTACATAGGTCAATAAATATTTAACAATATCAAATTATCACAAGGGAAAATTGTCTCATTAAGAAATGAGACAAGTATTCAATTCATAATATATAGTGTACTGAGCATTTCATTCAATTCGCATAATTATTTATATTCATTCATACTTATTCACAATTATTATTAAAATTTATCTAATGAATGTGGATTTTCAGAAAGTACGTCATAGGAATGGTGGAGGAGCCAAGTTCTCTGAAGTAAAATTTAATCTTAAAAAAAAATAAAAAAAATACGTATATTCGCGAGATTGACGAAGTGGGCAACATCTAGGTTACATAATACGAACTTCAAACTGAGGGAAAACAAACTGTTGTCCATGAATAAAGTGCATAGAGTACATTGCATTCAGCTTGTAGCTGTAGTCAAACTTGTCAATGACATAAAGTGTTGGCACTGTTGGTAGTGATAATGGTTGAGTTGGTTAATTTTTTTACATTATTACATTTTTATTAGCTCAGTGACCGGTGAAAAATTGGATATAGTTCAAACAATTCAAACTAATTATGACGAGCAAGAGAAAGAACAGCTAAAACATGTTTTCAATACCAAGATTGTACTGCTTTGCAGGAACAAATACAAATCCATTGTTCTACAGTTGTTCCTCTGGACCCCAACTTCAATTTTACTTCATGTGGGGAAGATTTAATCGCCGAAGTTTGTAGACAAAGTGCAAAAATGTGCCTTTTGTCGAAGTCTTCTGCCTCACACAAAATCACATGATTAGCACGGAGAACTGCTTCTCCTTCCACTACTGGTCGGCTTTTTCCATCTGAATAGAGCAAAATATCTGCCAAAAGAACATCTACAACAGGCGTTTTCGATCGAATATTGACAATTAATGTCAAGAAATTTGAAAACTTATCAGTACACAGTACACAAGCTAATGGGACTAATGGGATTGAATTTGTTTTTCCTCAGTTTTGACGTGGCTTTGACATGGAACGATGAAAACCGAGCGCCATCTGGTAACATTGATTCCCGCGAATATAATTTTTTTACAAACTTCACAGTGAGATAAAAACCTCAATATAGGAAATTCCCTCATTGATTATGGCTGCTGTCTGAATACGAAGGCCACAGAAAGGAAGAAGAACCTTATACACTTAATCAGACCTCACCTGCAGCTTGGCATTATGGAAAATGACTCTTCCCAGCGTGAAGATCCACAGCGGCATCATCGCGAACGCCGCTATCGTACTCACAGCCGTCATGATGATGGAGAGGCTGATGTTGCCTTCCAGGAGGACCGCCCACACGTTAGAGGCGCCCCCGGCGGGTGACACCCCCGTGAAGAACATGCCCAGCTGCATCTCGGGGTTGTCGGGGAAGAGGAGGAGGCCCAGAAGGTAACTCAGCTGGAAAACAATTGGATAATATACTGGGTATCAACGAATCTATTAAGACAGTCCACAACTTCTACAATATTCGGTGTATCAAATAGTAGATTGTTTTATTAGGATCAAAAGTGACACTTTGTTTGACAAGCGAATTTTGCATTTGCGAGGCGGAGCGTTTAGCGAAGCCGAGCGAAAGCAAAATTTGCGAGTCGAACAAAGTCACTTTTGATCCGAATGAAACATGCTATTTTTTCTGCAACCGAAACAATTAACTCAAATAAACATGTGAAGTAACCACCAATGCCGTGCCATATGTATGCAATGCAACAAATATTGCCAAATAATCCATGTGGTGAGAAAAGTCTACCTGCATTAACAGCAGGTTAGGTTTTCTAGGATGTTCGAATTGTAGTTTCAATATAAATACAACTACAGAGTGACATATTTGTGTATGGACCAGGTGCTCTAATGGCAAATACCGCGCCAGTGCCAGCTATAGGAACAAGACGTGGAAAATGTTAGGTTAGTGAGCATATCAACAATGATAATAGTGATTATTTATTCCTCTCCATACTACACTGTGTTTGACTTGATAATCAAATGAAGCTAAACAATATCGTTGAGACAAAAAAACTATTGCTTGGCGAGATTATTCAAAAACAAGTTATCCATCCCGAGAATAACGAATGAAATACAGATCAAGCAAGTATTTGAATCATGAAGGCTTCCCTGATCAAAACAAAAATACTCAACTGAGATGTTTATAATTCCAATACTAAACTATAATAAGGGTGTATTTATATCTCCAGCATGGGTATGAAATGCCAATTCTGCTGAAATCGGAAACAAATCAGGTATGCGTCTCAGCCCAAATAATCAACCGTCACAATGTTGTTTATTCTTGATGACGTCCAGTAGATCCTTTTTAGTTCCTAGGTGCTAAAGTTCAACTTTAGCTCCTAGGAACTAGAATTCAACTTTAGCTCCTAGGAACTAAATATGTTGCCTAGCAACATACCTATTTTTGTGTCAGTAATAGAAACGTCAATTTAAGAGCTAATTTTGGTATCAAAATGGACGACTTTTGTGTCGGTTGCAGAAAAATGAAATTTATTATGTGTTTTTGGTAGGGCTGGGCAAAAATATCGATATATCGATATACAGGGTGTCCCAGAATTAGCGTGCCAAACTTCAGCAGCGATTTCTACGATCAAAAATAGGAAGGGAAGTTCCAATGAATATGAGACGAGAAATGTCTCATGGGGGAGCTACGGCCCCCTGAAAGGGGGCTCCTGAAGATGATATTTCTTGAGTATTTCCGAAACTCCATGTGATAAAAAATGCAATTTGCTACAAGAACTAAACTTTCCATGCACAATGCTGTGAAAATGGAATCATTTCAAAATTTCACTCAGGAGTGTATAATACAGGGTGGGACTACATTAAATATTGCTCAAAATTTTTTTATGCATACTTTTTGACAATTCAATCTCGGATTATAAAAATCCATATCATTTCACAAAAAAAGGTGCTCTTGTTCCGCATCGATCAGACGTATCATCGTTTAAAAGCGATTCAAAAATATTGTTACATCTCAGATATTATGCATAACATTGCAATGAGTCGTAGTGAAAATGAGAAAAAATGCACATAAATTGAAGTAGGTTTTTCTATCTTTCACGCTTTTATGAGATTATTAGGTGAAAAGAAAGTTGATTTTTTTATGGCCACTATGATTTGAAAATTGGAAACGTTATCCATAAGATGTGAGTGTATCAATATTTTTAAATCGATTTCACTCGAAAATGATACATCTGATCGATGCGGAACAAGAGCACCTTTTTTTTGTGAAATGATATGGATTTTCATAATCCGAGATTGAATTGTCGAAAAATATTCATACAAAAAATGTGGGAGAAAAAGAAACCACAACCCCCCTGTTGCGCACCATTGAATGAAATATCCGGAATGACATTCTGGTCAAAAAATGAGCCGTTCAAAGATGAAACCATACACTGAACTTGAATGTAAAATATTCAATCATTCTAGAAACTATTTTTATTTCTCAACTTCCACACCCTGTATTTCGAGTACTGAACACTTATAGACCATATATTATGTCCCTATCTCAGTAATTATGAAATCAGGAGGGCTATCACCTGTCAAGCGTTATCGGTCGAATTTCGAAACACCCTGTATATCGATACATATAGATACATATCGATGTATCGATACATATCGATACTGAAGCATACATCGATTATCCAGTTTTCAATATCACACAGCACTAGTGCTTTCTTCCAATCAACCTCAACTAGGAAATAACAAAAATTAAAGAAAAAAGCATATAATGCAGTGCACATTCTGAAACGACTTCTAGAGAATGTTCTCTGGATAATACTGCTATTCCCTCGAAGTTCCTATAGGCACACATCTTATTTTCACTTCCCAGTCACTTCCGGTTTCACCGGAAATTGCTCCGGTTCTAAATTTTTGAATGGAACAACCTGTATATTATAACATTTTTGAATTCCTGCGGCAATTCTGGATCAGAATATGACATTTTCAGATGTTTCAACGTCTACTTCATTTTTTCAGATTCACTTTTAATATTGCATCTAGATGGCCATGATCGGGCGTAAAATTATCTAAAGACCTCAGGTGATGTCAGAAAATTATGATTGAAAAGTTTTAGTGTAGTATGATAGATAGAAAGAAAACAAGTTGGTTCCTGTCATGATCGCAAAGTTTTAGTGTAGTATGATAGATAGGAAGAAAACAAGTTGGTTCCTGTCATTGTATAATCATCAATAGAACAATAACAATTATCAAATTTCAAATGATGGATTTTGAAATTGAAAAGATAATTTTGAAATATATTTCATTCTTTTTGTAAATAAAATGTCTAATTTGAAATACAAATGACCCATTTTGAAATTGAATCGATAATTTTGAAATACATTTGATACTTTTTGAAATTAAAATGACTGATTTGAAATACAATTGATACTTTTTGAAATCAACTTGACGCTTTTTGAACTAAAATTGGAAAAGGTGTAGTCCATTGGATATTATCTTTCGGGAGGGGCGAAATATTCTCGTAAGTATTGACGCTCTGTCACTAACATAAATCAGTTTGAATCGCGGCACGTTTGTATATTACCGAAGGGAAAACCATAATATTATCATCCCCTTTTGTTTGCTTTGTTTCAACTCGTTTTCACATGACGGAAGTAGGTCCAGAATGACGGCAGCAAATAAATCCCTGTGCCGTGAATCTGACTCAGATCAAGGGGGGGTAGGTTTTTGAGATCTACCATTCAATTGGTATCAGATCGCATAATTCTTATCTCTCTATCGAATCGCGACATTGGGTGCAAGTTTCAACATGCCTTCGGAACATAATATTGTTACGTTATTCGGGTGCAGAAGCGAACACGACACTATTTATTTTCGAACTGATTTATTTGAACTATAGAAACACTAATTTATATCGAACTTATAACTACTATTTATGTAAAACGATTTATATCACGCGGTATATAACTGTCTCTCTGACACTCGCTGCTCGCCTCACTGACGGCAGTTATTCGGCTGTAGAACCTTCTCGAATGATCTTCCGTCTCCTTCTTTTTGTTCTAGAAGCTTCTTAGAACAAACCTCTCTCTCTAATTGTTCCATCGATTGTTTCCAGAACATTCCAGAATCTTCTGTGACGTTATTTGTCACTGCGGCATATATTGAGTGTTCGGAAATATGCTAGTGCATGTAGGAATCATTGGGAGGTAGGAGAGCAATCTGAGATGCGTGATACAGGATGATCGTTGTACTCCTGCCTTCCTGCTGATGTTTCTAAAGCCCCTCCAAGGGGAATATCATTACAATATCATTTTCTTATCAGATGACGGTCGAAATTTGCAGCTGGCTCTCCTACTATTATATAATCAGTCCTTTCATCTAAATAGGAAATCTAAATGTAGACAAACTCCAAAAACGATAGGATTTCTATTCTTTAAAACACGAAATTTTTCGCCAACAGAATATCTTCCAAGTGACTTACCTAACTCAATAACATACTTAGGAACCTGAGAGATTAGCCTTATCTCCTTCATTTGGGATAGTATGCACAATATTTACATATTTGTAATGTAACTGATAGTTATGCTGATACTAATTATTAAAAAAACAAATTCAGAAGTAGGTAGTTAATTGATCATTAAGTGAAATGTGAGAATGTCTGCGTTTGCTGATTTCTAATGACAGAAAATAGTATATTATGTAACAAGTGTTATAAACGTCCTTTTAGTAACGAGTATTTTAAGCACGAGCGGAGCAGAGCGGAGCGAGTGTTTAATAAACGAGTGTCTAGAAGAGTTTATAAACGCGTTACATACTATGATTTTTCTACGAACTCCGAAAATATCATTAACATACCTGCTATTCTTGCTAACCTACAAAATAATTCGAAAGGAATGGGACTTGAGAACATAATACATGCAACTGCATACAACCAGCGAGACACGTATGAGTGATATTGGTTGTAGATGTGTTCAGTCCATTGCTTACTAACCTTTGTTTCACGTTTATTGTCATGCTTAGCGCAGAATTAATAAATTGTTCTCAAAGATGGATGCTTCATTTTTACACTTCTTGGAGATATGCAAGTACCAGAACATTCTCTCCGATTTCACTTTCGTCTATACTTTTCGCATATATTTTTAATGAAGAATTCTGATACAAACTAATATTGTTTGAATGATTCTGATACAAAATTTGAAAATAATAGTTGACAGTTCTGTTAATACAACTGACAGGCCAGACATGTCTCAAACTACTGAAGCTGTGTTTAATGAACTGTGTTGCCATGGTGAATGTGTTTAAGAAATCGTGTTGCCATGGTAACGTGTTTAATATTCTGAATAAATCACAGATCGACAATTCGTGATTAATCGATCATTTAGCGTGGTACATATCCGTACGCTAAATGCCATTTTAGTTATGTGAGTAGAAAAACTATATTAGCCATTTGTGTCTATCGCAGAAATTCATTTTCCATACACCCTGTATTCGTGTTATTTTTCTTACCACTGGCATGATGACAAAATGGCCGAAAAACCCAATGGACGGCCCGATCGGTTTCTTCAGAATATGTTTGAGCTCTCCCCAATCTATCGCGCATCCGAAATTGATATACAGTATGCTGACCAAAGTGGCGACAGACGCAGTGAACACTGTATCAATCACTCTCTTTTTTCTCACCACAACCACGTCGAGTTGGCCATCGGCGGTATTTTGAGTTCTCTTACTTTTGCATTTTATCACAGTACCACCTAAAAATAAGGACTCATTCATTCAATGTTTCATTTATTTTGGTTGGAAATAATTGGAATAATCCAGTTAAACTCTCAACCTACTGAATATTTTTCTAAAAATGTGTTCTGCTTGAAAGGGAGTTTGAAAAGTACTTTAGTACTTAGATATCAATTATTTTGGTTGCAGGTTTCATTAGGTTCAAAAATGACTCTATTTGTCTACATGGTCATTTTCCTTTGATTACTAGCTGTCCCAACAGAAGTTGTTCTGCTATAGCCATTCAATTTAATTCTAGAAAATATTTTTTCAGTTAAATATTTATCAGAACAATTTCATTAATTTATTATCTACTTCTCTTTAGTTCCACAATCTATCTCTTCAGTTTTTTAAACGGCTATCTTATTATCTACTTCCTTTTATCGGCTATCTATTAAAGCGTGTTTCATTAGTTTTTCAAACGACTATTCATCACAAAATTGTTTACGAAAATATCATAATCTCCGACCCAAAAAAAAAACAGATACCAATTTTGAATAGAATCGGGTGATATAATTACAAAACTCGTCTTCCATGTTGGATCCGCCATATTGAATTTCCCAATTTTGATGAAAATATCATAATCTCCGACCCAGAAAACCCCGAGATACCAATTTTAAATAATATCGGGTCATATAATTACAAAACTCGTCTGCCATATTGGATCCGTCATCTTGAATTCCCTAATTTTGACGAAAGAATCATAATTTCCGACCCCCAAATCCCCCAGATCCAAATTTTGAATAGAATCGCGGATCATAACTACAAAACTCGTCCGCCATATTGGATCTGCCTTCTTGAATTTCCAAATTTTGACGGAATAATAGTAACCTCCGACCCCGAAAACCCCCAGATACCAATTTTGAATAGAATAGGATCATAATTACAAAACTTGTCCGCCATATTGGATACGCCATCTTGAATTTCCAATTGAAAAAATAGCTTACGGCCGATTTTCAGACCTATCAAATATGCACAAAAATTTCCATCAGAATCAGTCAAACCGTTTCGGAGGAGTTTGGCAACAAACACCATGACACGGCAATTTTAGATAGATAACAAAACAAAATTTCATTTTGGTGTGAAATGACATTATCTAATTTGATTCCCTATTTAGCACTCCTATGAAATGGAGAAAAAATAGGCGACTTCTGACATTCTTTGATCACGGGTGTGGAAGAATCTTCCATATATATACATACCTAGGAAATTTCCACTTATATTGAACTTTCCAGTCAAATTATGGGAGCTGGATATTATAAACTCTTTATCCAGTGATGCCACGTGTTTATTTTCCGTAAAGCAAACAAACTGCGTCTCATCTATAAAAGAAAGCGTCTCTAAATAAGCATCTTTTATTATTTCAAAGAGGATATTGATGCAGTTATGCAATCAATTGAGGACTAAAATAGGTAGGTACACAAAAATATTATTAGTGTCATTGAAAATAATTAAATGATAATTTTATATTATTTGCTGCATAGACCTCAATTTATTTACCTGGTGGAACATCACTGATTTTGTACGTAATTTCTGCTGAATCATACATAGTGACAGTTGTAGAATTGGGCTTGAAAGCGATTTTGAAGCTGTTGACAATGACTGCATGGCATACCAGTAGCAAAGTAACTACAACTATCAGAAATTGGACCAAGCCTGATATGGGACACATCTGAAAAATAACATAATCTTGTCCATATATCCAACAGTTCATAGGCAAAAATCACGAATTATCAATAAAATTTGAAGAACTCGTTGATAAAATTCACAAATATACAGGGTGTGAATGAATAAGTGGAGAAAATACAGGAGGAAATAAAGTTCATACAAACATGTGTCCTAACTTGCTTCATTTTTGTAATAAAGAATGTTGTAGTTAGAGGTATTTATTGTTTATTTATGATCCCCCCTGTACCCTGTATGGAATTTCATGGTGATAAAATTCAGTGTGGTTGGTGACTGATGAAGTCTAAAAATTCAATCCCGATAATATACATCTTCATTTGGGGGACTAGGATCGTGGATTCAATTGAAGGTACTTAACTTGATATTTTATTCTTAGAAAGAAGCCAACAAAATTTTCAATTGATACGCCATATCATTTCCCTTACCATTTTGACTGGTAATCCTACACTTGAAACACAAGAAACTCAAACTAGGTAGGAAGCCGTTCCGTAAACAGTTTTATATATCAAATTACCTTCCCATATCTTGTGCAGTAGTCATATTTATTCGGTATCCAACAAAAACAGAAAACCACACAAAAATAAGATAGCAATTTTTATGACCACATTGAAAATAGATTTTACCGGGAGTGAATTAAAGAAAACTAATCTATCTTTATATTTAATCTATAAATGATAGTTAATCAAGATGTAATCAATTAAATAACATGACTCTGCTGTTTTGTGTTTTTTCTATGAACTGTGACTATACTTATTTGAGAAATATCTTCCATACCTATACCATTTGATAACTACGAAAGAGGAGAAAGACCATTGTTGGTTGGGTGCATTTAATTTCTTTATTCAGACTTTTTTCTCTGAATTCAGACTTTTTTTTCTGAATTCAGACTTTTTTCTCTGAATTCAGACTTTTTTCTCTGAGTGTAAACAGGGTGTTCCAAAAGTGAACGCCAACAAATCACGAACGCGTATTCCTTGAAGATGAAATAAAGGTCCCTATGGGCATATTTCTGCAGGATGACCCTTTGTTTCCGTGATATATAGGGTGCAACTCCTGGAATACATTTTATAATTTTTAAACGCTGTAATGGCACATTTTATTCTGGTACATCCTCACTTTTCATTCATAAACACACCAGCGTGGGAACAATAACAGTACAAATATATGCCTGCAATCGACAAATGAAATCATCTGGAACATTTATTACATGCCCAATTGTTATGATAAAATGCCTATACTTCATCCAAGCCACTATTTTCAACGACAGTTGACAGTTGTTATCAAACAAAATGCGTTCCTGGAGCTCTAAATGAAGCATCTTACTTCATTCTTCATGCATATAGTGTAAGAATACTGTTCTCACATAAAAAATGGGGGGTCAGCACCCAAACATACGCTGATGCTCTTCCTAGATCCATCCAGAGAAGAGCCATTTGTCTGGTGATGGGTGATGCCACACTCACTAATCCTTTGACCTCATTAGAACACCGTAAAAAAGTCGACGACCTTTCACTTTTCTATAGATACTTCCCCGGAAAAATGTTTCTCAGAAATCTCTGCTATCAATCTATCACTAGCAACACCAGTCAGACGAACTCGACAGGCCCAGTCAGCGCATCCTTTCGTCATCAACCTTGAAATATGTCGAACAACAATATACCAAAACGACAAAGCTTTGGAATGTTTTGCCAATGGAAGTATTTTCGCAAGTTCCTACTAACTCCACAAGTAAAAAAAATCCAACTCCTACCTCCGCTTCCTTTCCTCATTAGTTACACGATGTTCTTGGAACATGAAGGAATATCTTTTCGTGCGCTAAAATAGCGCAGTGGTTGATGGGTGCTTGACTAACAATCAGAACACCGGAAGGTTGCTAGGTTCGATCCCCAACAGAGCAAAGAAATTTCATTTAAACGAGTTATGAATCCTAATTTTCGTATCCTCGGCCGGAGATGATTCCTCGCGATTCGTATGGAGTTAATAACAAAGCCTACACAGAAAACACATGGGCTGAAGGATCTCTCATGAGGTCGATGGCCAGTTTGTATGTACAGGGTGTCCCAAACTGGACGCGTTCTTATGAGAACACCCCTTATTTGAAGAGATGGAAAAAAATAAACCAAGGCGTCCGGAGCTCAAATTTAATGAGGAAACCACTGGCGTGAACAAAACTTCGCTATCTCTCTTCGTTTGGCCGCCAGAGGGCTTTTCTCGAATTACGTCGATTTCTTCAATTCCCCATAACTTTATTATTGATAAAGTCAAAATTTTTGTGCACCATCTCAAATTTTTTTTTTTCAATGGACCACCCTATATATTATGACATTTTCGAAAAGCTCGTAAAATTTACTGAAGTTTGATGTATCACTCGTCATGTTTATTTTGGAAACTATCTGCAACATTACGATTTAAAAAATAAAATATTGTGCTCGATATTGTGTCTACAGAAATCATGATTGCCATGACTATAACGAAATGACATAGGATGTAGATTGTAGAATGCTAACATGTTATGATTGAAACCACAGATCTAAAGTTTCTACGCAAAAAAGTAGTAGGCCGTGGTTATGTTTGGTATTTTTAGTAGAAAATAAGTATTTTTATAAGGTTTTTGGAAAGTTTTAAAGAATGTATGAAACTTTCGAAAAGTTCAACATGCTTGAATGTTACATAGAAAGTAACAGAAATTCTCAGGTGGCAAGAAACTTGTATTTTGAAAGATATCCCGAACGACAGCAACCATCCAGGGATGTATTTGGTAGACTTGCCCATAATCTTCAAAATTTTGGCTCTTCCAATTCAATAAACCCATCTCACGAACGAAAATTCAGTTCGCTTCCAAAGCACTATTCGCAAAAATGTTTTTTTCCCAATTTTGATCAACAAGAAAAATTTGATCATATCGTGTGATACATCATTGTGATCAGAAAAAAAATTCTTTTCTGAAATGCCAAAATCCAATATGGCGCCCATAAGAAAAAACAAAGTTGAGTGTTGTAACTTTGGCATCAAGAACGTCATGGAAAATACGATGACAGATTCATATTCCTTGTAAAAATGTGTCTCATGAATGTCCTAGTCAGAAACGTCTAGGTCTTTTGGTTTTCGCTTGAAAAAATAAAAACGAAAATTGCAAATAATTGACTCTTACATTTTTGAGGTACATTATTTTAGAAGGGAACCACAATTTTTTACACACCAAACACTTTGGATTACCGTTATGGACTGAAACATCGCTATAAAATAGAATGTTTGGGGGTACTTATCCTCTAGAAATTGAATTTGGAAAATCAACTCAATCAACCTTATCTTTAATACCTACTATTAACACGCGAACAATATCAATAATTTAGGGATACAATGTGAATGAGACACAACATGAAATTAACATTGTGGATGGTTTCAAAACACACCAGCATTCTTTTCTCATTGCCCAATTCAATTTGTTTTGATTGAATGCAGACCCTAATACTATAGTGTCACAATTTTATAATTTGAACTTTTCATTGTTTCCATCAGGAAAATGAATCTAAAACGAATATATTACTGAGGTGCTACATAGAATAGGTCATAATATTGTATATTGGATTCTGAATATACAGGATGCTTCAAATTTCAATCGGGAAATTTCGAGGAAAAATAATTTGATAGGCCATAGTACTCGCAAAAATAAAAAGACAAGTTCATATAAACTTGTATGTTTCGTAATTTTATATTCATTTGTTTTTTTTTGGAAAATCTGTGGGAACTAATGAGCAAGATACGAGAAAACTCATGGAACAAGAAAGTTTTATTTTCTAAACTTGAGAAAATTTGGAGCAAAATGATTTATACCATACATAATTAATCAGGTAACACTGGGGCGCCACTGGAATTATTTTGGTGAAGATAAAAAAACAAACCTGCTGTTTAACAAAAATCAGCTAAGGAGTTTTCAAACTGAAAAACTATTTTTTTTTTCAAACAGCTCAAGAAACCAGTGAGTTTTCATATACTTTTCGTTTCATTTTCACGATTTCTATAAAATTTTTCCGAGTCTGAAACATCCTGTACATGCATTGAATTCTGTTTACCTAATTTTGTTATTGCCTATTGTCTTTATTAATCACTGAATGAAGCATTTTTGCCTTTCCCTTGAACTCTACTGCTTATGTAAATTGCATGAGATAAATATTTGTATCTGTTAGCAATAATGAAATATTCATAGTAGCATTTCATAAAAGCACAACTGTTTCTCATTCAGAAAACATTATTCAATTTACAGTTGATAAGGTCAAGTCAAGCTGTTATTATTTGTTGATGCTTGAAAACTTTTATTGATTGGGCAGTAGACAAACAAAACCTACCCCTCCCTAGGTACGCACATTATAGGAATTTCCTTATGTACGCTCCAAGAGAAAAACAGTATCAACTTTCATAATTTCTAGATGCATCTATTTACCGAAAAAAGTCAGAAATAATGATCAATTCAACATCATCCACTGTGATATCTGCTTGATAAAGATTTCTCCGAGGATTTCTCCAATATGTTGCAATCCCATGGCATTGCATTTTTCTACAGATTAGAAATGTTCAAGGCAAACTGCTATAATGATAACATGCACATCAAAACCCCAGTCAAAACCTACATTGAGACATAGGTACCTATTACATAACTACCTATATAAAATCAAGGCTGAAACTTGCACCAAAAAAATCAAGATCAAATAGTTGAAATCTGGGTTGAAATAAGAATATCTCTTTGAAGATATATATATGAATTCATAATGAATAAAATCCTTGTAATCTTCAAAATGAATTGAAATGACCCACATTTTACCTTCCTATATCTACTTTCACTTTTTATTCCACTGCTTTTGCTGCACCTAAAAAAGTGAAAGAAGACAACTCATATGTTATGGTGATTTTAGGAAGTTTTATCAAATATTCATGTTCAAATTTCTATTTAATAAATATATATAAAAAATATTAGACCTAGGAAATTGTCCAGGGGAATTGAATGGAAATTTGCTGTACAAGTGATGGGAATTTCATAGGGAACTGCAGGAATTCACAATCTTCAGTATTTAATCAAAATTAGAGGAGACTTGTGTGAATTAGAGGAGAATTGTGTGAATTTAAGGAGGATTGTGGGATTTTAATCCAGAATCATGTGCATTTTGTACACCAACTCTTATATAATTGGTGTACAAAATGCACATTCATGAAATGCCTCTCAGTAATTTTGGACAGTGGTTTATGACTGAGATTATATGGTTTATTACAATGTCCAAACAAGCTCCAAATAGCCAATTCTTGTCTACTCATAGTATATCAAGATAAAGGACTCTTTAGAGATTATATAAGATCTTGAATAAAAAGGAAATTCATGATGGAGAAGCGTGGAGACTGGAGAAGTATATAGAGAAGAGAAATTAACATTTTTTCCAATAGGTAGGAAGGTATTACCAATATGTATTCAACGTTTTGGTCCAGGGCTACTCAAGTGAAGACTTCAGAGATTATAAAAAATATTTTAGATATTCAAAAATAAAAAAGCCTGGTCCTCAACATGCAGCACATTTATCAGGTTGTTACTTAAGTTACATTCCAATTTTTCTAAAAATTTCACAATCTTACCTTATGATGACCTTTTCTTATAAGCAGTTCACAGAACACAAGAGGCAACAAAAAAACAGGAACTCTTGTCCCTTGATAAAGACCGTAAAAAACTCTGTTATCGCCGGTGCTGATGCTGATCCACCAACTGACCACTCAGAGTGACTCAGACTACCCAGAGCTTCAGAGGGGAATGTGTTCTCCGATATTAGATTCTGATTCTCTCAAACCACATGCTTCTACCTAGCACCTAAGCAAGAGCTACGTGTTTCTCGACATTCTCGAATCTCGACGACAAGCCCCAACCAAAGTGCCAAAAGTAAAAAAGAAACGAAAATAGTCCCCCACCTCGTCCTCGTGCCCCACAACGCAATGTGACATAACTTGACATAAGCTTGACTGGCTTGACAACCATAACATAACCTTACCGTTGATTTTACCTTGTTCATGTCATCAGGTGAAATGTGAAATGAGTTAATGCAGGAATCTGTTAACGAAATTGCTAGTTGCCAAAGCGCCATCTAACAAAAATTTGAAACATTGGAAACTAACTCAGAACTTTGACAGATACCTGCAATTAAAATAGATACAGAAAATCTTTCTTTTCTTTTTGAATGCAAATGCAGAGAACTCAGATTAACCAGTGAATAATCAGAAAATCCTGTTCATTGTTTTTGTTTATGGCCGCCCTAATAATAAATAAACACCTTCCGTGTCTCTCCCAACTCTCCATCGTTTTCCTTGTGTTGTGCCAGAAGTGTTCAAGTTGCTCCCGTCAGGTGGTGCGATGTGTTATTTTCTAACATTTCTAACCTTGATTTTCCGCGGAAATAGCTTCCTAGAATATGATCATTGTAGAATCCTAGAGTAATCGATCGATTTTCAGGCAATCAGAAGAGAGGACTGTTTCCTGTCAACTCCAACCTCCATCAGCTGATTTCGAGGACGTGCGTTTATTTATGTTTTCATATTGTGGCTCAAAATGGCAGATGTGAAGTCTCTTGAACACCCTACCTTAAAAGTAAGTCATTTCTTCGTATTGTTTGTTATCAGTTCTTCAAGTTCATTATTCGTCCAAGAGCTTTGTTCAATAAATATAATGAATATTTTCGTAGTAGATTAAACTGTGTTATAATCCTGAGATGAGTAGTTTTTAGATGTATAACCATTGTTGTTGGTACCTAGCAATTTGTATCATAAACTATATATAGGAAGATAGAATACAGGACATACATTATTCATAGGGACTTGAAGATATTAATTCCAAATCTTGCATAGTCTATAATATTGCCTATATTACATCAGCTCTATTCATGTCACACAATTGATTCTGCATCATTTTTACTAATGAATAATATGGTTATAGTACAGGGTTACACCTAGTTAATTTCTTTAATGACATATTTCCTAGAATTATTGCTGATTGGACTAAAATCCATTAGTTTTTATTGGTAAGTGCTGATAAGCAAATTCCAAGTAAAACATAGGACGCTAAATGACAAATCTTTTTTTTTTCATCTGAGTACCACAAGAACCTCAACTCTTCAATTCCTATAGGTTCCCTATGAAATTTTGAACAAGAAATTCAGAACTGCTCAGAAGACATTAGACAGGGAAGTTTCACATGTTCAACAGACAGCATCACTCATAGAAGTCTCTTTGAATACACCAGACGTTAGGGCAAAAGACATATCTTCTTTACTAGGAGGCATGGTTGAAAAACTGCAAGTTCTCAAAAGGAAAGGTAGGAAAAAGGGTTGGATCTATATTTCACATATCACATTATTACCAAGTATGAATGAGGTACAATTATCTTGAAAGGAATTAAATAAATGTTGCCTGATGCTTTTTTAGCTGAAGAGAGCATTTCTGAGGAACTAGCAGCTTCCACAGTTTGTAAACGGCGTCTGGAACACCTCAAAGAACACAATACTCTGACTCCCAGTGGAACAGTCTCTCAGGGGGCACTGAACCAATGGCGGCGCAAAAGGTTGGACAGAATGGTGGTTGAATACTTTCTCAGAAATGGGTACTACAATGCTGCTATTACACTAGCTGGCAGGTCTGATATCAAAGATTTAACTAATATTGGTAGGTGGACATTCCTTTCCAAAGGATTTTTTTTATTGTATAAAAACTGGATGAAGAAACATTGTAATTACATTTCTTCATAAATGGAGGGACAAAAATATTGAGTGAATGCCTATGCAGGGACTTATCTTATCTTTCAAATGGGTAACATTATGAAACATGGGAACTAAAATGAAATTTCAAGTTGCAATCACAATCCTTCAAGTGATTACTCATAATGTTTTGTTAGGTAGGTAACTAAGTGTCAGCCATGATCAAAGTCATATATTCACTTGACAAATGTTTCTCTAATTTGCATTATCATCTGATGACATTTCCCCCACTCCCCCATACCAGCTAAGTGAATTTATTCATCATTTTCAATGGTAACTGCTCGGAAAAAAAATCATGCATGAGTAATTGACTTTTTTCCTTCCTAGAATCACCAATACCTACCATATTGACTTGGAATGAAAGTACCTATGATGATAACAGTATTGTTGTGTTCTAGGGTTTGTTGTTGTTGATTTTGTTGTCCAGGGTCAACAAAACTTAATTTCTCAACTCTATTAGATACAACAAAAAAAAAAGAAACAATAAAAACATCTGAAGAGGATTTTCTTATGGATATTGAGATTGAAGTATTTATGTCATTTCATGTACCTCAAGAGATTTAAAAAAAAATCATGGAAGTCAGTTTTTCTGTTCATGTTTCCCTATTTTTCTTATTAAACTTTGTGTAGAAAATAATTTGCCATCTCTTTGAGTGTAGAAATTATGAACAAATTGGCGAAAAAAGTGTTATAAAAAATTTGCAATATCAAGATTCAAACAAATGACATTAGAAAATAAATTACAAAATTGCAGAAAAAACAGAATAGAAGGGAAAGTCTGTTAATTTTTATAGGATTATTTTCTTTTTCCTCAAAATAATCCAATATGGACACTGTTGGATTCTATATCTTGTGCTCTTTTCATATTTATAAGCTAATTTTAAAAATTTCATAACAGCTAGGTTTCAATCACACATCAATTTATCGAATTTTGGTTAATTTAGGCCTGGATTTTGCAATGACTAGTGTGTTGGTCGCTTGGGTAGTGGAATGATGTACCAAATATAACAAAAATATACCAGTAGATTCATTAGTTATAAGCCCATGAAGAAAATTGCAGAATCAATATGGTTATGAAGATAATTCATGATAGAAAATAAGTGTACGCCACCTATGGCAGCTCGTGAACGCTGTCAAAGCGACCTGTTTACTTTGTTATTATTGGGTGACATTTGTGTTTTGTTTGTGCTTATTGGTTATACCATCAAAACAAATCACTCTCCAAGTGTTCAAGTTGTGGTCGTCAGGTGGGGCGACGTGTTTTTTTTTGTATGGCGAATATTGGCAAAATTAACTTTCTCCGAGCAGCATAGAAAGTGGCTTTTCTCTGACATTTAACAGGCAGGAAAGGTGTTGCTATGCAACGTTCCAAGTAATTTGACTGAAATTGGTAATCAAAATTGACACTGACATTGGGTGAACACAAAATGATGGAGTTTTCAATGAAAAAATAACACAAAATTGGTTTTATAACATTTGGAGAAAAAATTATATATTTCACACTGCAGCAAATGGAGATTGACTTCCTCGCTACGCTCGGCTATGAACTATCAGTCGCGGCAGTCAATCTACTACTTTGCTGTCTAGTAAAACAAATAACTATTGTATATTCAGAATAACCTCGGTGACCCCTCTATCTACTGATGACGGATTCATTTTCCAATGAAACACCGTGAATATAAAAATAAAAAGACGTTGAGTCAATATAGCAGACTGGATCAACATACCTACTTGATTTTGAATAAAAAGAAAAAACTCGAAAGCTACTGTTTCAATAGGCCTTTTAATTGAGATCGGTGTTTACAACAATAGGCCTTTTAATTTAGATCGGTGTTTACAACCAAGGCCCTCTTTAAACTATGCTGGGCCTTGGGCAAACAAGAATTTAGGGCCCTCTTGGAATAAGTAAATGTAGCCAATTATACTAACACATCTCTATAATGATCTTCTATTCATTATGGGTAATCAAGTGAAGGATATTAAAATATATGCCATTACAATAACTTTGACGGTGCGGCTGTTAGGTATTGTGCTGGACAAACATATAACTGTGAGAGAAATTGTCAGTCCTTTGAGGCCTCTGGGCACGGGCCCTGTGTGCCCTTATGGTAAAGACGGTATTGTTTACAACTAGAAACCACCTTCAGTGGCTGGAATATTTATTTATCTATTTATCAAAATTAAATTAACATTCTCAACTTTCGCGATTTATTTGTTCCATTCTGGTAACGGTGGTGGGAACAGAAGGACGTTTGCAAATAAAACGACAATCTTCATGACCTCGCATGAGAGAATTGACATATTATAGATGATAGGGGTTCCGAATAATTTCAAAATACTAATACTAGAGTTGAATATCAAGAAAATAAATCAACGCATATCTGAAGCAGTGCTTGTGGTTATTGGAGAAAGTTTACTGAGATCGAGAGAATTTATTTTATCTGGGAATGAAGATTTAAAACCTGTATTACTTGGAAGAATCATAATTTTATGAATCTCATGATGAAAATGTCTTCTAATCGTCTCCGACTTTCAAAAAGTTTTGTTTTTCTTCAATCTAATTTCAATTTTTGACAATAGGCCTTTTCATCTAGATATATTTTTAAGACGCATGCGCTCGTTTTCAGATCCAAAAATGTATTGGATGATGCGAAGGTGAAGTCTCATTGACCATAGTTCCAACACAAAATGCTGATTGGCCATTTCGAATATGGCGGGTATTATTGACGTTCTGTCAAATTTCAATTTTTGTTTTTATATCCCTGGTGTGTATTATATTATAATAATTTAATTCCAAAAAACGTTACTCATTCGTTACTGAGGAGTGTGGTACTGTGGTGTGGTGTAAATGGTTCGGTGAAAATGGCCGCGACCTTCATTGGATGCGAGATGTAAACAGAGATAGTCATTTGTCATCTAAATGAAAAGGCCTATTTTCAACAGTCATTCCACATCATTCCTAGTAGTGGGACGGAATGAAAAGCAGCAACCGGAATCGGAGAAGTTGCAAATAAAACGACACATTGAACTCATTGAAGTGGTTCCGGTGGCGGAATCGGATAAATAAAACGCAACTTTTGTTTCATTCAATTTGGGATGGCAGGAAAATAGAAACACTTTCTTGAAAAAAAATCGCTACAGTCCTTGAATTTTCTCGTATCCACTTCGTCCGTTCGGTCCTTTCAGATATATTCCTGACATCCCGGGAAGTGGAAAAGTCCCTAGCAAACAGAGAGACCTCGAAGTGTCTCATCTGGTGCCATGACAACAAGTCGAAGTTGCGCAAGCTCAAGTCCAATATGGAGTTCAACCTGCGGATACAGGAGTTCGTGGAGCTGATCAGGTCCGATCGCAGGATCGAGGCCATCAAGCATGCCAGGAAGCATTTCCCGAGCTTCGAGGATGAGCACCTGGGGACCATTCAGCAGGTCATGGCTCTCTTGGCGTTCTCAGTCAATACAGGTGAATTTTTTCTGAGGTATTTCATCCAAGGTGGAAACGATGGATCCTTGATTTTGATTAGATAACAGTTGATGAAACAGTGCCCCCTTTTGGAAGAATTTTACCACCTACTTGATTATGTCCTTGATTATCCACACGAACAAGATGAACCATCCTTATCAGAGCAATGAAGCCAGAAATTCTATTCACTACGTGGCGAAATTCGTTTCCGCTAGAAAGTACTAACCCTAACTAGTTCACTGTCGGAAATGCGGTAAAACGTGACGTAATCCGAAAAAAAATGGACATACGTATCTATTTCTGTAAGACAAGTGCAAGAATATTCCTGATTGTCATCTCAATGGCAATATGAAAAAAGTTCGCCTCTTTTGGAGTCGCTTGCTCTAGACTAAAATTTTCTGGAGTGAATAGTTACTGCACATAATAGAGAACACAACACACATGAATCAGATAATAAGAGGAATATCTTTGAATAGTCGCATCTACACTAGATGGAACAAGAATTTGAAGATGAAGGTGACGTTAGGAAGTCAGGCTGACAATGTAGTTCGTCTTCTTCTTCTCTCGTGTATTTCTAGGAACTCTAGGCATTACGCTGTTGCCAGTACCACAAAATAATTTGGGTTTAAATAAAATCTCGATCTTTATTAGGAATACTAGGATATTTTTATCAGCACTGAAGCATCTTGCATATAATTATTCAATAAATAATTATTAGGTACCAGGTCGGACTATTGTCTTCTGTGAATGTGTAAATGTGAATACTGTTGTCATTGTTCATATTGAATCTCACGATTTCGTAATCAGGGACAGGCCATAGCACAGAAATATTAACTATTCAATGATTCATGAATTTTCAATTTTGTATCGGTTATATTCCACATAAAAAATCAATTGTCTAAAAATATTCCCCCATCTGTTTGTTGCTTATTGCTTATTATACATTTGTGTTATTAATAATAGTATTATAATAATTCAGACTACAAGACATTTGAGGGTAAACGTGACAACACGGTATCACGAACTGTGGGCGGTGCCTTGTCAGTTCTCAGCATTTAGCACATTGTTGCCAAGTCTTCAACATCAACATGATATTTTGTTATAGAGTATAAGAGATATTTACTATTTAGACATGCTGGTTATAATTGGTGACTTGACAACCTTGACAACAATGTATTTTATTACTTTCTTTAATGACAATTTCAAGATGGCGCCTCCATTATGGTGGAAGATTTTGTCATTTCTCTAGAATTTGCTTAAACATTCCAGTTAGTGGATTGAACGTCGGTAAACATGAATGTTCAAGATGGTACCTCAAAGGCAGTTTTTTTCATTTTGTTACCGATCCATCTGAAATTATTATATATCTAAGAATTAACAGAATTGAGGAAAACGATTTTCCAGTCGAATTTGTAAATTTTTTTATTTCCTGATTTTCGGATTAAAATATTTTAGAAGAGTATGTTTGCACATTATCTCAAATATAATCATTATAAAAAATATGGCCTTACTCTATAGCCGTATATATTTCCTCATTATGATTTGAATTTCAGTAATTGTTCCATATAAGAATTTATTCGATGAGAAGAGATGGGACACCCTGATTGAACAGTTCAGACAAGAAAATTACAGACTTTTCCAACTGGCTTCTCAGTCTGTGTTTACTGTTGCTTTGCAGGCAGGCCTATCAGCACTGAAAACGCCATATCCTTTTCATAAACATTATTTTAATTTTTCCCTGAATGTTACATTCATATAATATTTGCTTGTTATTTTTTCTTCTACTGAATTACTTCTGTGTGAAACAGCGATTTGTTTCTAGTTATCACTCATAATTATTTTTCGTATCTGAAATGACAAACTAACTATGTTGGTGTCATTTTAATAAAATGGCAAAGTTATCATCGTTCTTGACAGGATTACGAAAAATATCTAGGGTTTGGATGAAAAATGGGCAACTTAGTTTGAAATAGCACTGGCTTACTGAAATTATGGTCGATAATGGAGATTTTTGCACATTTTTGTCCAATGAATAGGCAATATTACTATGTTTTCATTTGCGAGCGTTTCATCACTTTTGAATTGCCAAAATCAATAGTCACATTTTTCATTTTTCATAAATCAGTGAAAAGGGCGTGAAGAGATTATAAAAATACAATAACTGATATGCTGAGTGAATTTTTTAAAGAATATTTAGGAACTAATTATTGAATTGATGATCATTTCATGTTTCTCTCTTACTTACTTAATTTTTCTTGCAGGCCAGTATTTATTTTTTTATCCTAGAATTACATCATTCAGATGCTCAAACTATACAGGGTGTTTCATAGATGAAGGGAAATATTTCAATAGTAGATAGGGGTCGCCAAGGTGGTTCTGAAACTACCATATTTGATGAGTCTTAACAGTCCGTATAACGGAGATACAGGGTGATGTATAGATTTCGGATAATTATTCATATATAGGTGTGTGATAATTTTTGTCGGTTTCTCGACCGAACAGATACATATAATGATGAAGATGATGGAAAGACCTAATTTCGAGAGACAACGGAAAATGAAAAAACTCCACTGCCCCGCGTGAGAGTCGAACTCACAACCTCTGGGTTACATGCCTATAATTATTTATAATTGATTATAACTAATTGGATTTAATCAAATATAATTCTAATAATAATCAATTAAAATTGGTTTCATAATTTTAATATTGACATATTTTCAACTTTCTATTTATGAGTGTTACTATGAGAATTGGTGGCAGGATTCTTTTGGTGAACTTTGTAAATTATTGAATGCAATGTGTTTTTTTTATATTTCGAATTAATGTAAATTTTTCCTGAAGCCGAACCTGGATTCCCATTCCGCCCGATTGGTCAATAAATTCAACGTCTCATGTACAATACCAAATTTGAAGAAAATATACTGGCTAGTTTAATACTTATGGACGAGTGAATAATTGTATCTCTGTTATAAAGACTGTAAGACTCATCAAATATGGTATTTTCAGAAACACCTTGGCGATCCCAAATTTCAGCCATTTTGACAATCGCCCATAACCATTTAATTATGTGGTATAGAAATTCTATGAACAGGTGATCTAGGCACTTGTTCAAGTATAATCCAGTGACGTACTCAGATGTATTCTACGATCGCCCATTTAATCAGAAATAAATGTAATTTCCTGTTGGAACGGACCCCGAACAGTCCCAAAATTGCCGAAAACAGCAAAAAATGTTTCCTTAACGCTTAGCACTCAGTGTTATTCGGAGAACTGCGAGAACAGGAACCCATCTTGCCCGGTGTGCCAGCCCTATCTGAACGAACTAGCCGAGGCGTTGCCTTTCGCTCATTGCTCGCAGTCTCGGCTCTATTGCAACATCAGCGGGCTGCCGATGAACGAGAACAACCAGCCGATGATGTTGCCCAACGGTCACATATATGGAGAGCAGGTGAGCATCGACACAGAATACCCAACAATCAGAAGTGCTTCTCTGGTCGGCGCCTTTGATATTTTAGGATCTGTTTACTGTGATCCGCCATGTTCTTGGGTTAGCAAGCAGGGCCGTTCTAAGGAAAATGACTGGGCTGTACTGATTGAGTTTATTCGCTTTGTGTGTCATTTATCGATACTAGTAAAATGTATTCAATTCTTACGAAATTACACTTCAATGAAAAATAGTTTACAGAAGCTAACTTTTATTTTCAGTAGGACAGGTTTGAACACTAAAAATGATAGATTTGACCAGGTTCTCATTATATAATGTTTTCAAGTTGTTTTCTCAATTGCAGTTCTTCTTGGTCAATAGGTACCTATACAGGATATGTTCATTCAACTGACTCTGATCAGATGAGGAATAAAACCAAGGCTTAGAATTGTTTTTGCAACCTATAGCAGTGCACACATCATGACCACCTCTTTTTTTTTTAGCACAAAAAATTTTTATTTCATAATTCGATAGTACTCACCCAAACTAGCTCACCACCGCAAACCGTTTCTTGCTGTGAGCTCCCTACGTTTTATAAAAAAATATTGAAATCCCCGATTTTTCGGACCTCTGAAAACGAGGCGATGATGTGACGTCAAAACCCTAATACTGAAACAATACTATTCCAGACAGAGATGAATGATACATGATTTCTGACAGAGTGAATTAGCGCGAGATCACAGTTGAAAGAATTAATATATCAGTTGCCTCAGTCTCCGTCGAGCGTTTGGTATTTTCTCTTAACTATGGCAAGATGAGGTTTCTACGTCATAAGAGGGTCCGTTTCCAGTAGAGTCACTGGATGGTATTAGTTTGATAAGAGTTCGGACACAGCTGAACTTTTGTCCTTTTCTATTTTCTATAATACAATGGTTTAAGTGAATAAAAGAATAAGACATATATTCTGCTCTTTGTCTTTTCAATTTCCCTAGTAGCGCCTGATTGTCAGATACGATTTTAGAGGTTATATTTTCTGTCAAATCGATCATAGCCGTAGATGGACAATGGATATAGGGTACAAACACCCACTTTAATTCATAGTGATACGACCCTTCTAGCAGAGCAAGATTTACATAAATGAAAAAAATGCATGTAACAACATTTTAATATCAGAGAATATATACATATGGATAAATGTATAGCTATAATTCCTTATTGTATGTGAAACTGTACTCCAGTGAAGTATTCCTGAGACAATTTTAAGAAATAAAGTCTATATAAGCTTGTGTCTGGAAATGCTTCATTTCTGAGATACATGGTGTTGAAATACAAAACAAATCATTTTTCGATAAAGATTTCATGGGAAAAAGGTAATTTATTTTGACGAGACCTACCAAATACTTGGTTTTGTTAAGTTCTCAGCAACTTCACTTATCGCCCGCCCTAAGAGCTAAGTAACATGGATCGATATAGAGAATATCTCCAGAACGATAACCTCCAGCGTAATTAAGGCCCTTATAATAATTCCCTTGATACATAAATATCTATTCACTTTTCACTGTTGAATTTTGAATTCGCGGTCAGCACCAAAAACGCCATTCAATAATATATCACGTTGTAGTTTACTTGCTTTTCTTAGTTTCGTTTTCAAATTTTCAATTTCATAAGGTAATTTTGCGAGCATTTCTCCTTCTTCCATGATTATTTTGTTTTGTATTTTGTGTGATGATAATAATGGAATTTTGTTCTTGAAATCGTCTGCTTTGTAAATTGATGGAACAGCAGATTCTCTCAAACAGATTTTGAAATCTTCTGTTTGAAAATGGGCCTAAAATATAGATTCATTCCAATCAGATGCTGTTATAAGAAGTGAATTTCAATGAGTACCTCACGAATTTCGCTCGTCTTCAAATTGATTTTCCACCCAGGCCGTTTCATATCTTCCTTCCATAAGCGAATGCTTGATATTTGAATTGGAAAATCGAATAAATGATATCCATTTGTTTCAAAATTGGCACAATTTATTATACAGCAAGTGATTTCCATAGCTGCTTTCATCTCGAAAGTATAATAATTATGAAATTTTATTTCAATTCTGACGTTTATAAAATGAATTGTCAAATTCAAAAAATTTTTAATGAAAAAGCGCGGGCGACTATGGTGCTCTTGTCACAATGCATGGTGTGTAACTTTATAAATCTAAACATTCAAAAACCCTAACCGTTGTCATTTCTGTGTCCGAACTCTTATCAAACTAATTCCATCTAGTGACTCTAGTTTCCAGAAAGTACTATTATTTATGTCCAAAAATAAAACATTCCAGTTAATTTTTCAATCGAATTATGTCGTCAATCATTATTTAAGTATAAAAGGATTATTATAAACATGGTTTGAGTTAAAAGTTCTACTAAGGTGTACACGCCCATTACAGATGAAGCAGATGAAGAATCTATAATTGGCTTCTTATTCACAATCAAATTAGGTAGGCACCAAAACTTATTCGAACACTACAACCCAAATAACAACACAATACAGCAAAAATAGAATATGTTTTCAAATATCTGAATATTTAACAAGATCATTCCACAGCTCAGTATTCGATAAACATGTAAACAAGTAACCCAGGAAGATGGCCGACAACCTGCGCCGTTCAAATGCTCTAACCCACTCCAGCGCGAAAGATGCTATTCTGATTGTTGGGTATTCTGTGTCATCGATCTACAGAGCGTTGAAAAAAAAATATCATTTTTGTCCACGTCAAGGGAAAATATTTCATTTTATAATTTAGTTCAAGCAAATTTGGAGTTCATGACCAATTATGAAACCCAAATGTTTATTGAAACGGCTCCTATTATTTATATGTTATTTATATAAATTCATTTATTGGAAATATAACTCCCAGTCATTGTATTCTCCAATTTGAAACTTGTTCAAACAAAAAAAGATCCTCTAGCTGGAATGATTAGAATTAGTCAATCAAAATCATTAAAATTTGTTGGAAAAAACTTCTCAAACAACATTTTTAAACATTTTGAAGGACAATCTAATTGTGTATTATTTTCAAAGTAAAATCTCCATGAATAATAAATTTGCGTAAACTAAGTAATACAAAAAATCCAAGTGGAACTTACAAACTTCTCATACAACATTTTTAAACATTTTGAAGGACAAAATCTACTTAATTGTGTATTATTTTCAAAGTGAAATCTCCATGAATAATAAATTTACGTAAACTAAGTAATACAAAAAATCCAAGTGGAACTTACCTACTCCCACTGTATTTATGTACCTGTCGATCAGTTTGTCATAAAATATTGACGAAATGCTGTTCATATCACATCAGAATTCCATTAGAATGTTCATAATTTTTTATATTATACAGCTTGTAAAAAATACAATTAAAAGACATAAGAAAAATACCAATCAGAAGCACCTTTGTTTTTGTGATGAGAGTTTCTTGTTGTTATGCAGGCTTTGCAACAAATGGCCCGTGAAAATAACGGCCAGGTGATTTGCCCCAAGACAAAGGAAATGTTCCCCTTCAAAAAGGTTGACAAGGTTTTTGTCATGTAAATACATGTGATATAGCTCAACTACCATATTAGTATATAGGTTATAAATATATTTTGTTTCTATATTGTATATAAATAATTTCTTTTTTTTAGTTGAGAAAAAAAAAACATTCATTTTATTTTGTATAATTTTAATTTGACCATTTGAATGTGCTATAAAATTATAAGTTATGGAATAAAAATCACTAAGTAAGGTTACAGAACAGCGTTTGATTTTCAATGGAAACTGGAACATAATTACTACTAAACTAGGTATTGAAGTTGAAATCTTTATGTGTTAGTATGTTGATAAATTAACATTGATGAATTTTCACTATTTGAAGGCAACTAGCTCCCTTGATGATATTTCTTCTGATTAAACTTATTAATAATAACAAAACCAAAACACTTACTGTAACATACAAACAATAATGAACAAAAGTCAGTATTATTCAAAAATCAAGCGTTTTTTCGATAATATTCAAATCGATATTGTCATTTTGCCAATCCATATTATTCATAATGACAGAAATATTGGAATTTTCACTGTCAGAAGATAATATTCTCCTACAAACTTTATGTTTCTTTTTCGCCAAAAATATCTCCTCAGTTCCCTGTTTCTTCGGCTTCAATACCCTTTTGCTCAACTTTTTTTTTTGTACAACTTTATTCAATAGTGGCTTAGTGTATCTCTGAATGAAACTATATTTCTTCAAGCGATCAATCAGAGACAAATTTACAGCATCTTGGGCCTGTTTGAAGGCAAACTCCACCCTGGATTGGAATTTGTTGAATTTGGGGATTTTGAATTGGGGATTGGTCATGTTGATTTTAAAGGGTTGCAAGAATGTTGGACGCAACCAGGCTCTTGTCACGTCATAGGAATCGAAAAAGGTAACATGGTAGTGGGTCTGGAAGAAAATGATATAGGGAGTGATATGGGATATGAATACGGGAATGAATTCTGTTTTTTTTTTAGATACAAAATCTATCTCTTTCTGATATTTGATACACAAGTTGTCCTACTACTAGCCAATAAGCTATGAACGTACTAGTCAGTAAAAAATCCAGGTCCAGATGAAATGATACAGGGTGCTTGCAGTATATATATATGGCATCAAGAACATTCAACCACCTACCGTCCTCAATAACAGGAATAGTTTCACTAAATGTTTGAACCATTTATTTTGTATAATATATCTCTTTTTATTCTTATATTCATACAATATTAACATGTAAATTTTCAACTCATTCTTACAATATCAATATGTAATTTTTTACTTATATGTAAGCTTAGAGGCATTTTTTGAAATATTGTGAATATGTTCACAAACATCTTATTTATTTTTATTATTATCATTACAATTTGTGTAATTGCTTATTATATTTGTGTAAAAACAAACTATAAATGAACTGCTCTTCTCAATAGCTCACAACTGAGCTCCAGCATGCATAAAAATCTTGCATTGAAAAAAATTAATTATAGTTGTATGTAATATGTGTGTATTCGAGAAATAAATTCTATTCTAATCTATTCTATTGATCACACGACAATTTTTCCTGTTTTTCATCACAGACTAGTAGGTTGGTTGCTTGGGTAGTAAAAGGAGAACATGTGTACCGAAATTTCAATGCACAGTAGTGATAAAATTTGTGGTATAGTCATAATCACCTTGGTGACCTCTATCCAAGGTCTATATACTGTGTAAATGTTTGGAGATGAACATTCAAATTTTTTTTGTCCTGGACTAGTTTGTAGTGCTTTCAATTGAAAGAAATTTCAAAATTGGGCATTCAATAAACAGTGTATCGTGTATCTAAATAACACCGAAACATTTTAGGGGGAATTCTGTGATAAAAATGAAGGTGGGTATTTGGTATAACATTGTTTGATAAACCTCTCCCCGGAAAAGTTATACCCCCCCAAAAATTAACAAAAAAAGGTTTTTCTTTTTTATTTTCCCTGTATATTAAGCTAAATACACGAAACTTGGTAAATATTATTTGTCAATCGAAGTACACATTTTGGAATGTTTTCATTCTTTTTATTCATATTAAAAATATATTTTTCGTCGACGTCTACAAAAAATATCATTTTAGTTCTAATTTCCGAACGAAGAACGGACTATTTCCGAAGGCAAGTTCTTTTCATCCGTAGACACTATCTTTTCGTCCGCAAACACTTCTCGTCCGCTGCAGGGTTGCCAGTTCTACTAAATTTTTAGTAGATCTCCTGATTTGCATATTGATCTACTGAGAAATTTCATAATCTACTGGAGAATATCTCAACACTATTCATTATTATAATTACCTATATTATGATTAGTATTTAGTTAATCACATACACTTATGAATTGCATATGATATTTCGGCATACTATGTTTAAATCAATTTCAGAAAATGAGTAATAAATTTATATATATAGGTAGATACTAATGATATGTAAAAATCAAAAAGGACAATAGTTCATGTGATTCAGATCAAATTCCAGTTATCCTCTGTTATAACAGTTTGTAGTTTGTTTCTTATGTTTGTTGGTAATTTTTACAATTTGTTCCTGTTCATTATGTACTCAAATCCTATGTAAGTACCTATGTAACTGTATTTTGTGATATTCGTAAGTATTTTTGAATTGATATTTAGGAATATGATTATTTCTGAGATCCCAATGATGAAGCATGAACTCCAGCCACCCCCAATACAGGGAAAATAAAAAAGAGAAACATTTTTTTTTTAATTTTCAGAAGGGTGTTACTTTTCAAGGGAGAGATTTTTCAAAAAATTGCATAACAATAATACCCACCATAATTTTCATTACAGAATCACCTCTTGAATTGTTTTGGTGTCATTCAGATACACCCTTTATAATAGTTGTAATTATTATTATAGTTATTAATAAAGTATTATATGAAGTATATTAGGTAGGTACTTTTGATGACATACTAATTGAACCATCAATAGTTCTTGAATTGTGATTTGAAATATGATTCTATGTATGTATTTATATAGTTTGTAACATATTAAATTATTTTGTGAACAAAATTTGATGTTGTAGGTAGGTATTTTAATTTTTTAGTATTATATAATCCTTTGTATGTATCTATATATTATATGATGCATTCTACCTATTGAAAAAATATTTCATCACTTTATTGATATTGATCCAGATCAATATTCAATAGATGAATGATATATAAATTGCAACAATTTTGGAAAATATCAAGAAAAAAAAACAACTCACTGGTTTTGAATCATCCTCCTTCTCGAAATAGAAATAATCCTCAGTATCAGGATCATCTTCCACCATAGCTGGCCACCATGGGTACCCATCCATCTTAGCCCAAACGATGCTTCCAGCATTGAACAAGTTTTCCACCAAGAATTCCTCATCCACCAGAGCCTCTTCTGGATCACTGCACTTGTTGTGATCAGGATCAGGATTCATAGAGCAGTACCACTTAGTTGGCAAATCAAGGGGGTCCTTTATGTCGGGTAAGTATCGGGCCTTGTCACAAGTGTCACAGAGACAGTACAGCCCTACGTTTCTTGATTCTTGAATAAGAAGCATCTTCTCACGCAGAGACAGTGTGTTGTCGTCTTCAACAGACTCATTATTTTCTTTGCTGGCATTCTTATTAATCTTATTAATGATATTCTGTTTTACTTTTTTGTCTTTCTTTCTTCTTGGTTCTTTGAAAACACTTTTAGACTTGGAGCCTTCTTGCTTCTTGGAAACAAGTTTCTTAACAGGTTCTTTAATCTGCTTTGGTTTTTTCTTAGTGGGTTCTTTTTCAATATTATTCTGCTTTTTTATTAGTGATTTCTCTGAACCCTCACTGTGTGAAACAGAAATACTTTTTCGAGTTTTTTTCTTTGCAGGTTCTTTGAAATTCTTCATGAAGTTAAACTCGTCTGTCTCCATCATGTTGTTCATAAAATCCAAGTACTTTTCTTTCACCTCTTGGCTGTTCAGCATTTCCTGACTAAGTGGAAAACCGGAATCTCCTGATGCCTTTTCTTTTTCATCTTGGCTAAGCACTTTTATTTCATCATCTTGGACTAGTTTTTCTGATGGAGTAAAAATATCCTCAGAATCATCGTATTTGTCCACCAACGGAGTTGAACAAATTGTGTCATTCATGGTCGCTTGACTTAAATTTTTAACGAAATGCAAGTAAGCATCTTTTACTGCTGGTTCATTCATGCGATATGATATATCAGAATAACTGCTTTGTGAATTTGGTTCTTCAAAGGATAGCTGAATGCTTACTACTTTTCTGATAGTATTTTTCTTGGATTTTGAAGAAATCGATGAAGTTTTGGATGATGGTTTATTTGAGGAATTTGGGGTTTTGGAATCACCTAGTACTTTTTCGATATTTTCTTTAGTTAGTAGAGGTGGTTTGAAAGTATCATGCGCTTTTTGGGATTTTACGAAATTCTTCTTAGAGAGCTGCGGCATTTTCTATACAATCACAAATAAGAAATTTATATACAGTTAAATATTATGCTGAAATATACTTACTGATGTTTAATATCGATTGTGAAGTGGAAACAATGTTGTTATTGGCAGTTGGCTTCTTCTGTTTGAAAATATCAGATTCAAGTTTTGAAATAGAATATTTTATAAGGTGTATGAAAGGAGTTTCAGCTTCAGCAATTATCGTTCAGGTCAACAATCAAAAGACGTTATAATATGTAGCTAAAATCTGAAAACCCACACGATTCTCACAACTTCCCAACTTAACATAAAAATGGTGGAAGAACGAAAGGAAGATCGTCAAATCGTCATTTGTTTTTGAAATCGCGGCAAAGCTAACTTGATTTTAATTGGCACAAGACCTCGTACACGGTCGGGTGCTTTCGTTGGTCACCTATGCTCTTACCATGGCGTGTGGCGCTTGCGCCTTATCTGAGCATGAATGATTAATAATAATTTATTATTATCCTAGATTGTGAATACTCAAAGTTATTATGCATCAATTTTAATGAGTACATAATAAAGCTGATTGTCGAGTATCGGGTCCATGATATAATATGAATTTGAGCCAACTTGTCAGCGCTCGTGTTGAAGGCCAAACTCTTCTCAAACCTCACTGCAAGATTTCAAATAGCCATGACTTTCGGAACGGATTCATTTTTTGGCGAGTTTTTCGGCTAATCAGATCGTTTGTTATTGCTACTGTTGTTCAAAATACGAATCTCTATCCTTCACTTAATTCTACATTTTTATATTATTTATGTTGAGGAAGGATGCTATAAACTTGATAATATCAGTGCGTGAAGTTGACTCTTTTTATTCGACTACTGAACTGAGGAAGATGAAATAATAGGGTAAGTATTCATAAAATCACCTTCACGTATTTTTCCAAAAAATCACTAAGAAAAATAAAAATGAGGTGCACGTGGCTGATGGATTTGAACCTGTGATTTGAACCCAGTACCTTTGCCAGTACCTTCGAAGTATCGAAGGAACAGAATCGAATTAACGATACTATAGCTCAGTGCTCACTAGATTTTTTTCTCCATAGACAATGGAATTAAAAAACCGCCATAGAATAAAATAATGCGTTGATACCGAAAGTCATGGTTGTTTGAATTCTTCCGCTTCCAATAGATGACAGACAAAGATCGAACTTCGGGACACTTCGGAAAACGTCGAGACGATAATGAAAATGGAGTCAAGTTTACGAGCACGACGTTTTGCAGTCGATTTGATGGTGCGCTATCGTGAAGTCATTTGAGTTCATTAAGAATCATTACGGTATGTAAAGCGACAGTGCATCGAGATACGCATAGAATTGTTCAGGAAATCGAGCTGGATCGTTTGAAGGTAAGAATTTTGACATTTATGTAATTTTGAGAGGAAAATTCGAGTTGAAAGAGAGACCACTAGCCGATCCTCTGCGGTGGCATCGTGTTTGCTGTTTCCTGCGCATGCGTTGTTGCGTTCCTTGGATTTTTTTGCGGGAATGCTTGCATGGTGGTAATTTTATATTTGAAAACTAGGTATAGGGTGCATTTTTCTCTGTGGTTTATTTAGATATTGTTCTTTTGTGACTTGATCACGAGGGTACTTTGGAAACTACTTTGGCTTTGAGTTGAGAGATGAGAAATTTATTTATTTTACTATTGATGATAAAATATAATGTACCTATAATAGGTAGCTAGGTTGATTGGTAATGTAGGTACGTCGTAGATTACCTATGAAGTTTAATATGATTTATCGCCTGAACGAGTTCCGAGACGAGTTCTTTTTTGTGTTAAAATATATTGAATGTTGGTGGTATGAAATTCACAGGGAAATTTATGAAAATAATTTATTGGGAAATTATTGATCTGAGAAAATAAAATAAAATTAACACACACATAGAAGTTATTATAAGTACTATATTTATAATATTTGTTCTATTTATAGCTTGTAGCTATAGATATACAGGGCGTATCTAAATAACACCGAAAAAAATTAAGGCACAGAATACTCATGCAACAAGTATTCTGTGATTATAAGGGGTGATTCCTTGTGATATTTTAGGAAATAAAGTTCATAATTATGAACATGTGGGTATTAATATTTCCTTTACCTATACAGGGTGTCCCGCATCATCTGATGATGAAGGTTTGTTTTCGAGTAATTATTTGACTATCCACACTGTTTTTTCGGTGTTTTCCAAAAATGGGTTTTGCCATTAAATATTGATCATGTATACGTCCTCATAGGGGCACGGGACCCCTTTACAATTAACCTGACCCTTAACCGGTGCTTCGCACAATAATTTCATTCGAAGCTTTTCATCATGTTTTTTTCATTCCCACGTTAGTAAATTCTCTATTCCATATATTATTTTTCATGATTAACTTGTATCATATTATAGGACCTTCGGTTTTTAAGGATTAAGGCTGATGATGGACACATGACTGTCCGAAACATATGTACCCCGAAATAATCTTTCGATCATTAAACGTTGTGGAGATGTGGAGTGTTCACTAAAAGTGTTGCCTAGCAACGTTGCTTACCGCCGCTAGTCACAAAATGCCACGATTACTCGCACCTATACCTTACCACCGATTAAAAAACCTTATTACCTTATTACCTCATCATCTGTTTGAATAATCACATTTGGTGGCTTGGTGTGACTTGCAGATTTGGTTTTCGCTTCTTTATTTCCTCAGAGAGCAAATTATAAAATCCGAGTTGAAATCAATGTTTTGGCGCAACTGATAATCGACAAAAATGTAACTATGTTATTATTAAAGAGGAATTATTGTGTTTGAATTGTTGGATATCCATTCAGATAACAAAATAAAGCTCTAACGTTTTAGGCCATGTGGAAAATATACCTATATTATTACACATGTAAATTTTATTATGGTTGGAATTGACCTTAAAAATTTACGAGTAATCTCGAGTAGTAAACAAAATAAATGAAATAATAATGTGCCTGAAAATCTTCAAATGCTGGATAGGTATATAGTACCTATGAATAATTGTTCTTTGTAGGCTACTACAGAGTGGTTGTCAAAAAAATCAAACATATTTTATATTTAGGTACCTGATGATGAGTTTGTCATTTCCCGATATTTCGTTCAATTTTCACCTGAAATTGTGAACTCTGGGGTTTTTTAACTTACAAGAATACAAAGGACCCCGCACTTTTTCTATATAAAAATGGCGTTCCGTCGAATTTCCCCAATTTTTGGTAAATGATAGTACTCGACATACTGATTGAATATGCCAAGTCCCAACTCAATCCTATGACTAGTTTACGAGATACAGGGTGTTGAAGTTGAAGAATACCTAATTTTTCTCGGCCTATATCTCTAAGATAGGACAAATGAATTCCAATTTTTCGGGAGCACGTAATAGTTATGCCCTTAGGCGCAAGAACTATATAGGTATTCGACCAAAACTGATTTTTATTACAGGGTGATTCTCATTTCAAATAATGTGTTTTTTTGAATATCTGAATATCAATGCTACAAATTGATAACAATTACAAAATGAGATTTATAGCCAAGTATGCTCTTCTTACATCAATTGAATTCGTAAAATATAATAATTATACATGGTGTTTCATTATTGCTGTTGATTGCATAATTGGTCTATCCTAAAGTTCATTTAGTCTAGTCGAAAAATCCAAAAAAGGCCTCCATTAAAATTTTAGAAGCATTCCGTATTACTTTTTGGCAAAGGGTGTTTTTCTACTATTTCGACCCTGCTGATTACGAAAATGCCGGTTGCCAAAGCGAAACCGCAACCGGAAGTGAGATATTCAAGATGGCGTCCGAAATGGCATCAAAACAGAATTTTGCTGCTAAATCTCCCTTGTTTGAGGTAGGAACGCGACCAAAGGGTCTCTTTATATGTTTTCAGACATGGAGAAAACAAAAACACACAAACTAAACTCGTTCGTTGAATATAATTTCTAAAAAATATGACAAAAGCGGTCAAAGTTGCCCTTTTTGGTTTTTAGCAAACAATATACTTTGACTAATGAATTATATCGTTCTATGCACATTTGAGACATTTGATGTAACACTTAAAACAAAAGGTATTTCTTTAGAAAGAAGTGAAATTATCGTGTGTCTCCAGAGTTCAGGCAAGAACGTTTACAGGGAGTGCACAGTTTGATGCAAGAGACATTGGCTTTTCTACAACTGCAATTTTTTGTATTACAATGTCCTTTGCAATGACAGACAACTATTTCTGGGCACGTCTTAGGAATGGGATCCAGTGTTATTAAACGAGGAACAACTTGTTCTCTCTGCACAATCCAGCCACAGTCCTGCAGCCTAGGTAGTGACGGTTTGGGGATATGCGCATTCTCCCAAACACACACCTAAGATAAAAAAATATATAAATTATATTCATTTCGTTTTCATTTCTGTCAATTTGCGTTTTAGGTACGCTTACCTGGTAGTTGCATCTCTTAATATGGAGACGAAGTGCATCAGTTGTCGGTGGGAGAAATTCTGGCTTTCTTACAGCTCCAAATAAATAACTTCGGGCATCGTTTGAGCATGTGATGCTGGAATCAACCTGTATGAAATCAGAATTACTGTGTGTACTTCATTATAATTCAATATCATCTGGAAGATATTTAAGTGTAAGCATTTTTACCTTATACAGTTTGACGACAAATTTCTCGACATTGCTAAGGACGTCCTCCTCAAGTGGCGACTGTCCGAGGCGTCCCAGAAGCTCGCAGTTTGTCCCAGAAAAAGCCTTCCATGCTCCAACTTTCGTGCGCAGAGACATTGAGGACTGCAACGTGCCGCTGCCAAAGAACTGGAGTAACTTCTTGTTTTTATCAGAAAACAAAACTGATTTATGCAGGTTTTTGTCCGAAAGAATTATGCAACATAACTTTGGCGATCTTGAAGTAGTTATCTCCGGCGGCTTCACTGAGGAAGAACATGCTCAGTCCACGAATTTGCGTCGGAATGTTGATTGCCTGAAAT